GGCTCTGCCAGATGAAAATATCACTGCGCAGGGTCTGCCCCCCTCCACCATGCCGCCGGCGGGCATGACAATAGAGCCCCATGCGTTATATGAGTTCAGTGAAAAAGTACGAATCCAAAGTTAGCTAACTGAATAACAATTATAACACAATAAAAAGACTGAGAGCCTGATTAAGCTCATGACAGTTTTTTTAAGTTTTAGCTCAATTTTAAGGCATATCTGCAGATGTCTTTGTCCCTTTTTATAGATGTGACATGTAATACTGTTTTAACATATTCAAAATAATTAAATTAGATCAATTTTTTTTATGAAATCAACGACAACCAAATGTGTTCCATTTAACACAGTTTGCTAAATCCTTTTCTTGTTGGCCTCACATAGCCACCATGGCTTTTAAATGAAGGAAACTACACATTTATACTTCACAAACTAACATAAATCTCACCTTAGCCCAGGCAGGCCACATCAGCTCCCCACCACAGGCAGGAACAGCTTGCTGCTGTCCTTCACTCTTTTTCAGACCAGATGACACTCCACTCCACATCTCAAACTTTTTATGGTCTCAGACCATGTATTTAAAACCATCATCATAAATGAAAACCCTCCCAGTGTTTACCTTTTGAGTAGCATTTACCCATATTAGTAACATTGAAAGAGATTAACAAGAAAGTTCCCTCTGGGAAATGGGATCTCTTGCTGGAATGTGTACATTATGATGAAATTCTTCAGAGAGTTCTTACAATTAATACAAGTAGCATTCTGATACTGTATACAAAAAGCACACCTACAACAAACATTACCTTAAACCCCTAACCCTTTGTTAGATTATTATACTAATACATTATCTTCAAACAATCTTTACCCTTGCCCCCCTCAAAAAAAAAAAAAAATCTCACTCCAAAGCTGAGTTCAAAACTGCTACAAACCATTTTGGTTTAACTGTAGCTTGGACACTGGCCTAAGCTAGCAGTTAGCATGAATAACACAATGAGGCTAGCTAGTGATTAGCGCTTAGCCTTTAGCATTAGCAGTCTTTTTGGCGCCATAAAATAGGGTGACCAGGGGCCTTATGTATCAATACTTGCGTGGAACTCATACCAGAAACGAGCGCACGCAAGGTCCGTCACGCTGAAAAAAATCCGTATGTATCAATGTGTGCGGGCGCCGAAATCGACGTGTGTTTCCTTGATAAATCCCAATCAGCGTGGAATTGGGCGCAGATGTCGGAGTGACTGGGCCCGTCCCCGTTACGCCCTCCTATAAATATGCAGATTTATTTAAATCGGGTCTCCCTGTCCTCGCACGCAGACAAAATGACAAGAAAAACTAAGTTTATGGCGTGCGAGGTGGAGGTGCTGGTGGCGAAGGTGGAGGAGCGACAGCCTGTTTTGTTTGGCAGCCTGTCCAGTGGCGTCAGTGCAAAACGAAAACGCTTGGAGTGGGAGAAAGTTTGCGAGAGGGTGAATGCGGTGGGTTCCGAGACACGCACCCCCGCAGAGATTAAAAAAAAGTGGTCGGACCTCAAGGTGGAGGTCAAGCGGCGAGGACAGCTGTACAGGTGCAACAGGTGGGGTTCCGGGGGAGGAGACCCTCACGCCGTTTGAGCAGCGGGTGGTGGCGATTATTATTATAGGGTAAGTGGCATGTCACACAAATGTCCACATGCTTTGCCATCCCACTGAGCAAAAGACGTATATTAGACGTCTAGTCTAAGTTTATACTTCACTTCAACGTCGGGATTCAGTCTATTTTTGGATGTGATTTATACTTCGCCCTTAACTTCATTTTTCGATAACTTTTTATGCAAAAAACAACTGAAATGTGCATAACTGACCTCTAAATACTGGATTACATTACCTATGATACCGTGAAGAGAGATGTAAACACAACAGATACACAGAAGCAGGAATTGAAATGAACAAATATTTTAATTGTGTCACAGAAATCAATGTGTCGGCCGTGTCACCGGCTTGCGGAACCCCGGCCCGCGGCAGCCCATCCGCGGGCTCAGAGTCGTCGGCCAGGACCAGCGGCATTCGGGCCACCCCAGCCCCCAGCACCAGCACCAGCACCAGCATCAGCACCAGCGCGCCGACAAGCGGTGGAGCGTCCACCAGCCGCGGCGCTTCCACTGGACCACCCGGACGCAGTGGAAGGGTCCTCGCGGAGGGGGTCCTGCAATCGCAGGAAGAAATCATCAGGGGGATCGCGGGGATCAACGAGCGGCTGGACCGGCTCGTAAATGTCCTCGAGCGTCTGGTGGAGAAAATAAATTAATTTGGCTCATTGAACTGTGTATTCACTTCTTACCCATTCACACTGTGGCGATGAGATTCTCCCGCGTGAGGACGGCGGCCCGGCAGGGATCAGCTCGCATCCCTTCGTCTGCTGCTGGTTCGTCATGTGGGGCAACGTGCTGCTCGGCCACGGGGATGTGGTGCACGCTTGTCACATAGTGAGTCACCAAACACTGCCACACAGTGTCGCCAAAGTGCGAATCACAGTCAACGCAAGTATCTGCTCAACGCCAATTTCTACACCACCTCCTGACTTTGCGTTGATTAGCGCTGGAACCGACGCTCGTTTCGCGATGATAAATCTGGACGTGTGCGCTGATTTTGGCGTACGCAAGGTTTTCTTGCGCCGCAAGCGTTGATACATAAGGCCCCTGATGTCCCCAATTTCCGGGTATAGTCCCCGCTTTGGATGACTTGTCCCCAGCTAAAGCTGTCCACGGAAATGTCACTGACTTTTGTGTTTTAATGAAACTGACCCAAAAGTTTGCCAAATACACCAGAGGACACTCTTATATTCACTGATGGTCTTTCTAATCCATTTCTCAGAACTCAGGCAGTGAGTTTTATCCTCCTTCTCCCTTCGTCAAGTGGTTATACAGACAAGCTAATAGGCCGTGTTTCAGCTCACTAGAGTTCCTAACAGTAGAAACTGTCTCTGCTGATCACAGGTGGATCCTCCCCAGAATTTGCATTCATTGTAGCAGTCAGTCACACTTTCAAGACTATTTCAAAGTGTCCAGATGAATTGATCAAGACTTAATTGAAACTCTTCATTTATTTTTCAGCTACACTGCAGCCCAGTAGCAACTAAACTGATGTAAATAGCTTAGACACAGTAAAATTCATGACAGCTGATTTCGTTTGACTTGACTTTATGCTGTATAATGTATTGTATATATATCTCCCCTAATATGAGGCGGCAGCAGGTAATAATCCATCCCAAGTCTTTGTCACTCCTTTACCTGCAGGCACCTCAGGTGATGGTCATAGTGGTGATAATTTTAAGCTAGCTACACTAGGTCAAAGACAAACTGGACTCCCTGCAGTTTGCATACAAAGAACACATTGGAGTGGACGATGCTGTCCTCTACATGCTTCACCGTGCCCTGTCTCATCTGGAGGAACCTGAGGTTTATGTGAGGATCATGTTCTTCGACTTTTCAAGTGCATTCAACACCATCCAACCCACCATACTCAAAAACAAGCTCACAGAGATGGGAGTGGATCCCTCCTGTGTTTCCTGGATCACAGATTACCTGACAGTAAGGCCACAGTTTGTCAGGCTGGGGAACTGTGTTCCTGGGACATTAATGAGCAGTACAGGGGCTCCACAAGGGACAGTGCTGGTGCCATTCCTGTTCACACTGTACACGTCACACTTCAAATACAGCACTGAGTCCTGCCACATCCAGAAATACTCAGATGACACCACTATTGTGGCATGTATCAGAAATGGACAAGAAACTGAACACAGAGATCTAATAAGAGCCTTCAGTGACTGGAGTCACAAAAACTGCCTCCTCCTCAACGCCTCAAAGACAAAGGAGATGGTCATAGACTTCCGTAGATCCAAACCCCCTCTTCAGTGGTGATATCATATAAATACCTAGGTGTACATCTGGATAATAAGTTGGATAGGTCTAAGAATACAGACTTCATCTACAGAAAGAGGCAGAGCTGCCTTTGTTGCCTGAGAAGACTCCGATCAATAGACGTTTGTAGTAAGATGCTGCAGATGTTTTATCAGTCTGTGGTGGCAAGTGTTCTGTTCTACGCTGCAGTCTGCTGGGGGGGGGGGGGGGTTTCAACAAACTGGTGAAAAAGGCTGACTCTGTGGTTGGACTCAAGCTGGACTCAGTGGAGGATGTGGTGGAGAGATCTACACTGATGAAGGTGGAGTCTATTCTAAAGAACATGGATCACCCACTTCACAACACCTTGATGGACAAAAGGGCCAATGGTGGTGGACGGCTCCTCTCTCTTCGCTGCAGGACAGAAAGATTTAGAAGATCTTTTGTACCAACAGCCATCAGGCTTTATAACTCTTATGTAAATAATAGATAACTTTTATAGACATATAACGTGAGACATCAGACAATTGAATTTCCCTGCAGGGATCAATAAAGTTCTTCTTCTTCTATTTACCTGCATTTCCATCTATTAGAAACCATCCATGCTTGTACAAATACAGTGAATAAATCTGTTCAAATGTTTTTATGAACACAAGCTCAACATTTGTGGGATCCGAGGATATCAAGTTAGAGTTTCAATGTGAGTTGTTTTTGCAATGTCCCATTCATAGAGAACTTTTCTATATTACAGTAGGTTAAACAGTATATTCACTAACTCAATTCATAAACTTGTACAGTGGTTTGTGTTTTGTGATGATCTTTCATTTAAATCGCTCATTTACCTGTGATATCTCCACCTGCCTCCTCAGCTGCATAAGTTATTCCTCTTTAGAAAAACTAACTTTTTCAGTGTCACCTTTGCTCTTTTGGCCTAATCCATTGCACTTCCCCTGATCAACTGCAAAGGCCAATGCTCCTGACTAATGATGTGTGGTCAAATTCTATTATTGAATGCATAAAATAACACCAGTTTGATTTTTGAAAACAGGCTATTTTGCAGGGTTTTTAATTTGCATGCAAAAAGGAGAGAATCACAGCTGAGTTTAACCCAAAAATACCAGGCCTGACAATATTTATGCAGTGAGGATGAGTATTTATTTGAAGTATGCATTGATCCAGCACAGGAAAAATTAAATCAATAGAGATTTGAAAAAGAGATTGTAAGACATTGCAAAGAAAGAAAAAAATGACTTTTTAGTCAATTTTTTAATGAGTAAATCACGAGACAGAAAAGTTGATCTGTAGACGACTTATCAGCCTGTGTGCGGGTTTCCTGTCAGATGAATCCTGCATGTCTTTGGACTCTGAGATCACATGATGATAATGCTGCAAATGGATGGGAGCGAAGCTTCACACTGCTTTCTATTCAAGCATGCTGATGCCTTAACTGTGAATATAAAAACACACCAGATTTAGTCAACACAACACAAACTCACTTTTAACCTGTCGTTAGGTGCAACAGGATTAGGAGAGGACTGCACATCAACCAAACATGGTGAGTTATCAAATATTAGAGGTACATCTTGAAAAATTCAAAATATATAAAGATGTAACTCAAAATATTTGAGCCATGCAATAAGCCCAAGTAATCTGTCATTTCTCAGATTTTAAAATTGTCAATATCTTTTATCTTTTTATCTTAGTCAAAATAAATATCTAATAAGGTTAAGGTATCAGAGACTGGTCTACAGGCAGTTAACATGTATACAAGGACAGGAATAACCAGGTACCAAAGCCTGGAGAAGGCTCTCAAGCAGGGCACTCAAGTCCTTTCAAAGCATCCTTACTGTGTCCCTTCAGTGGGTTATTTTACCTCCAGAGGTTATCCGTATGCAGGAGGGCTCCCGATGTCCATAATCCGAAAAGTCAAAAGTACTCCAGTCCCATGAGTGATCCTGTGAGACAAACCAGGACACAATACTGTTAACAAATATGATTTTAAGAAACTGTGAGACTTTATATGACAGGGAAATACATACATCTGTTGAACAGCCTTTAACCCAAACATGTCCATTCATATGACCACCACTCTGCAACACCTTCTGAATATCTGCACCAAACTGTTCAACTGCAGCCACGAGGGTTCCTCCATTGGATCTGCAGTTGCCCTACAGTGAAAAGGAAGAAAAGACATCTAAAATTCAGGGCACAAAAGGAGAAGGCAAACAAATACAGACTGAGAGGCATTCAGGTCATTTCAGATGGTTTGAGTCCCTCAGTCCGAGTTCTGGACTAGCTCCATCGATTTGCTTCAGTCAGCAGCAGCGACACAGGTGTAAACATCTGCAACAACCCAAGCCCCTTTCTCACCATCCATCAGGTGATGCCAGAAACTTGATGCCCATGACAGAGGATTTAAAAAACTCCCAGAAAAACTATGTCAACAGACCTGGTGACTACAATCCAAAAGACTTGCGAAAACACTGAACCGGATCCAATGCCCTGCCAAAAAACAACCTTTACAAATCTTCACTGAATGAGGACACCAGAAGAACTTGGAGAAACCCTGACAACCGTCTCTACAAACATTTCCTCAGGGGGTATGTTTAGCTGTCCTCATGCAGCACCAGGGAAGGTTGAAGTCAGTCTCAACTTTGTTTATATCTGCTCTCGAAAGATCACTCAAGGTCATAAAAGGTCAGATGATGTGGTTTAAAACATCGTAGGGCAGACTTAATAGCTTTAATAATATCCTGTCATGAGTGATCGACAGTTAATGATTGTATGTTTGAGTTTAAAAGGAGGAGCGCCAAGTTCCTGTTTGTCTGTGTGTGTGTGTGTGTGTGTGTGTGTGTGTGTGTGTGTGTGTGTGTGTGTGTGTGTGTGTGTGTGTGTGTGTGTGTGTGTGTGACACCGATGAGAATGAAGTCAGGTCACAGAATAACAGACTACAAAACTCAGTATTTTGAGCAGCTATTATTTTGTGTTGCAGTTATGACCTTCTGGGCATCGATGTTGCAGCTCTGAAAGCATTTCTGTAAGTTTGACCTGAATACGTTCACACCTTTAACTTGATTCAAAACTATTTTAGTCAAGTTTATCTCTCTCATTACCTCAGCAGAATCATAGCTCATCTTCTCTTGAATGTAGAGCAGACAGCGGATACTGAACATCTGCCAACCATTAGGACAAGATGGAGACCAGCCCCCAAAGTTATCATCTAACAAACACAGGAGAGAGATTAATAACATGTGAATAATATGAATTTACTGTTTTCATGTGTGATTAAAAAATCATGTATATACTGTCTGTTAAACAGGAAAGGTTAAACTCAGCTAACACTAACCTGGATTGGGGGGTGGGGTAGTAGGAGGGGGTGGGGTTGTAGTTGTGGGTTGGTCTGTCAAACAAGATGGACACTGAATTGTAAATTCGACTTTTCCTTTGCATTTGTTCTGCTATTAAAAAAATGCATTGAGAACAACTGTGGTGCTGCATAAGCTTGTATCCATATCCTGGACAAACAAACTGTATCCCTACAGTGGTTGTCCTTCTGTGGCGTTATGCTCAGGGTAGGAAACTTGTGTGTTGCTGCAACATATACTTTGATAATCTGACTAATTGTTGTCATTTCACCGCCAGTCGTTAGCAAATAGCACAAAAATAGACAATTGATAGTACGATTCAGGAGAAATTCAACATCAGCTTTAGAACACAGCTAGCATTAGCATCTAGCCACAGTTCAGAAACAATGCAGACTGAAAAATGTCTGAACAGGTATAACTAAGGCTGTAACCATGTCAGATTTTCATAAAACATCATGATAACGATATCGGGGCTGCTACTACTAACTCACTAGCAGTCTGTTGCTTCTTCATCCACTACAATGAAGTCAGGGTGTTACCTTACTCTTATTTTTAGCAGGATATAAAGAGTTTGTCTATTTCAACATCAAATTTAAGCTGCTGTGATGAACTTGTGCTTTGTGTCAATTTTGGCACCCCCTGAGGAAAAAGCACTTGTTCTCCTCATGCTGGATGAGCAACAATAAAAAACTTAAATAAAAAATTATTCTACCTTTGACATTAAAATCTATCATTTTATGTGGAAACTGTCAAAACAGAGCTGTTGATTTAGCTGCTCTGGGGCATCATTACAGTACAGGAATTATCGGTATTGTAGCTGATGGTGTTTTGTAGATCATGATAAGGCATCTATATAAATTTGAATTATTGTGTGGTTGTCATAGAAACAGACCTAAAGTCTCTGATTTACAGGTACACTTTTTCCACCATACCTGTATTGTTGGCTAGCTGAAGTAATGCAAAAATTGAAGACTAAGATAAACCTGAGCACTTCTACAGAATTCATCCTTGATCAAGACTCTAGTGCAAACATTTCTTTATTCAATCTGTCGTGATATGTTCTGTTTATGGAGTTTTTCCCTGTGATTTGAGTGTATTTTCCCTAGTGTTTCTGTGCCCTATTGCTCCTGCCCCCCTGTAGTCTTGTCTTGTTAATTTTCAGTTTGTTTCTGACTTGGTTTCTCTTATGTTCTCAGAGTTTTATTCTCTTTCAGTTTTCAGTATTTCCTGTTTTTTTTTGTTGTCGTTTATTCCCTGTGTTTCTAGTCCAGGAGGGTATTCTACAAAGCTGGCTTAGCTCAAAGCCTGGCTTATTTCGGTTAGCTTGGCTAATTTTAGTGAGAGCTCAGTTCCACAAACGAGGCTTAGGTCTAGCGTGGCTAGGTAACCATGGTAACTCAGCCAGCGCGACAAGCCTGGTCCCAGGCAGGCTTACAGTCAAGCTAACCTTAGCTGCGTCTCAGAAAAGGTCTGATGGGCTTCCAGAAGACGCTTTGTGAACCGCATGTCACATAGTAATTTCAGCTTTATCTGTAATAAATGATGCTCTTGTTCGGAAAAATACATTGAGAGCTTTTTAAAACAACTTAGGAATACGTGAATCCGGATATGCCCAATACTACGCCAACCTCAAAGAGAAAGAGAAATTCTGTAGCTGAGTGGGTAAAGAGAAGTTCCGGTAAAGTGTGTTTTTCACTGCTCTGTGGGTTCGATCCCGTCAGCTGTAATTATTTGGAAATGTCTGATTTTCTTTCTTTTATTCTGTGACTCTCAATGTACTGTCAACACATAACAGAATAAAGGCACAAACGATCTCATCCAAAACACTGAAGGTGACAACAGCAACAATTTCCCATTAAAAAAACCTTCCTTTCACCAGTGGTCCATTCTGATTATGATGATGATCATGTTAAGGTGATGGCAAATGAGGACATGACTACTCTGTGTACAAGCTCATTTGTGTCTTCTCCCTCATTTAAATGAAGGGCGCTGTGCCACTATTATCCCTAATAATAATAAAAAAAGACATCTCCAGGTACATGTTTTTCTTCACTTTTTGTCTAAGTTTGCCTACTTTGGTTTTAGGTCTTACCTGTAGCTGCTATACTAATCCATTATGCGATATCTATTTGTCAAATCAAGAACATGAATTATGCCAACAGTACAGTAGCGGTTTAAGGCACGGGTGAACTGGGCAGCTGTCCAGGGTGGCATTTGTGTCATGACTCATGGGGGGCGGCACGAGCACTTCCAAAAAAGAAAGAAAAAAGATAATAATTACAATAAATCTGCACCGCAAAGCTGTTTTGTAGTAACTCTTGTCAAATTGGCGCCCCCTGCTGCTGTAGGTGCCCCTGCTTGCTGCGAACGTGCTGCACAGAGGCTGACAGACTGTATGAGTGAGCTGCACAGACACGAGATGAAAAGTTAAAAAATAATAATGTTTACAGTACATACGCAGAAGTGAGGAATAAAATTAGACAGCCAAGCAGGCTGACTATATCGAGACATGCGTCGGTTGTAAAATATTTGTCGGCTATAACTTACGAATCTAAACGGTCTGCGATACTTAACCACGCCATCTCCCTGGCTTTCACAATGGCAACAGTGTTGCCCTTCTTTTGAATTCTTCCCTTGTACTCTTCGTACAACTCCATGAGGAGTGTTCACTGAGAAAGACTCCACTCTGCCCTTTTTCTTCCATGATCTCGTCATTTCGACAATCGATACGTCGAGGCTTTTTATGTACTGCGGAGGCACGCATAGCCACGGCTTGGATAAGCCTGGCTAGAATAAGCGTCTCTGAAAAACAGCTGAGCCTCGTTAGTGGAACGAGTCGCAGCTAAGATTAAAGTGGCCGCTTATTTAAGCCACGTTTACCGGCGATAGCCCAGCCTTCTTTAGCCAGCTTCGTGGAATACCCTGCTTTACTTCCTCAGTTTTCCCTCCTTAGTAATTGTCTGCACCTGTGTCTCAGTGTCTCACCTGCCTCTCGTTGCTCGTTTCCCTGTGTGTGCATATATAGTCCTGGACTGTCAAATATGGCTAAATTTCGGTTCTAATTATCTCTGTTTGCTCTATTTTATGCAGGTTCACTTCACTCTACCCCAATAAGGGTGATGTATTATTATTATTATCATTTTTGTTGTTGTTGAATCTAAAGGGCTAAACAGAAAACATGCCAACCTGGCAATGGTGGGTTTGCAGTGGGTCTGCTTTCATCTGCATGAGGGGAACATTTATGGTAAAATTAACAGAAGTAGTATATTCTCCTGTTATCTGTCATAGTGTAATAACAGCTTTCATTTAATAAAATGAATTAAAGTGGCAGTAAAATAATGTGCTTGCAGATGTTTATATCTGCTGTATGCAGCGTACAGAGGAGTTTGAACAGACTATAGCCAACCTGGCAAAGGTGGGGTTGTAGGTTCACCTCCATCTGTAAGAAACAGAGAGGTTGTACAGTTTGACTCTTCATGTCTCAACATTAATGCATTGAAATAAAACAGAAATAAAAATCTTTGTATGACTAATCTCTATTCAATGACCGCTGTCATATAGAGCTAAGAGACATTTCACAGAGACCATCTTGTTTTTCAAACAAGGGTAACCTGTACCTGTAGAGGGTGGAGGTGCAGGTTTGTCTCCTTCATCTGCATTAGAGGGACATTTATTGTTCACTTTGGACATGTAATTTTGTCTTCATTATGTTTGAAATCAGCTCATCAGATCTATCCAAAGTCAGACAATAATGCAGCAAACTGACCTGAAGGAGGTGGAACTGTAATCGGATTGTTATCAGCTGTATGAGGTGTACATTCAAGACACAGTTAATGACTTTTTAATCTTATACTTTGTTTTTCAAGTTGTTAATCGCGTTCATTTTGCAGCAGGAATCTTATCAAGCATGAGAAAAAAAGCAAAAACTCACATGAAGTCTCCCAAGGTGGGTTATCGTTACAATAATCCCCTGGAATGGCTGCAGGAAAAGTTGGATGTATCAGTTAGCAGCTGCGAAAAACTGTTGGACTTACAGCTGTATTTTTTTAGATCATTTGTTTATTTATTTAAATTTTTTTGCAACTCCAAGTCACATTCAAGGTCTTGGAGAGGGTTCCTTTGGAGGTTTCTTTAGTTCTACTGGGGAATTCAACACCCACAGGCCAATGATGGAGACACTTGGAAGGGGGCTGTTTGGGTGGATAGCCTACCAAATCTGAGCTTTGCTGGAGGATGTCCATGCCAGCCTTAGACTGACAAACAACACGCTGTAGCAGAACCTGATAAATAAATGTATCTGGTACAAGAACATCAATGATCTAGCCTGGCTGGGCCATCCTGTTGCGTGAATCCCTTGCCGTTCCTTCCCACAACAGTCTGGACTTCGGCCAATTGGGAGCGTGTATTAGAAATCCGAAAATAACCGGGCCAATCAGTGACTGTGTTTCCACTGTTCCCCAGACATTAGGGAAAGGCAGCCCCTGATTGGTCCATGTGTAGATGGTGACGTTTAACACATGCTGCGGAACTTTTCAAAGCGCCGTTCATTCAGAACGCCATTAATTCTGCAGTTGACTTTGCAAAGTCGGCAGAAATTGTTTATATCCGACGTCTTCTGCGGATATAAACGATTTCTGCTGACTTTGCAAAGTCAACTGGTAATCTTTGTTTCTGCAGCAAAGTCAATCTATCAATCAAACTTTATTCATAAAGCGCTTTTCCTACAGGAATGTGACTCAAAGTTCTTTACAGTCTTGTTAAAAAAAAATAAAAATATCCCAGATGCCCCCTTACCCCCCACCCCCAATCCCCCACCTACACACACACACACACACACACACACACACACACACATGACACACGCACGCACGCCAAAGCACTCACACATACACACATTAAGAGAATGGGCATGAGGCCAAGTGCAGATGAACTAGTTGAGAAGGCGCCATCAGAGGAGCCGTCAGCACCAGGAGCAGAGAGCCGCCCGCAGCCACAGGGGCCAGTGGAAGGATGAGTCAGACAGCAACCTCCACCAGGAATCCCATGGCCTGCCCCTGCAACCACAACTGACTACTGCTCCTGGTGCCCAGGGCTCCCTCAGAGGCAACACAAGGGTTCCTTAAATGATAAAAGGATAAAAACAAGTAAAAACTGAAAAATGAATAAAACACAGACCTAAAATAAACCTAGACTAACTAGAAAAAATGAAGATAAAACAAATAAATATCAATTAAAAGCGAAGCTAAAAAGATGGGTCTTGTGCCTGCTCTTAAAAACATGAATGAAAAGACCCTCGCCATGAGTATGTGTCCTGACTTTTGGAATGACTAAGAGCCTGGTGCTAGAGGAGCGCAGGTTCCGTGAAGGTTCATAAGGTAAAAGCAGTTCTGAAAGATAAGAAGGCCCAAGACCATTAAGACATTTAAAAACAAGTAAAAGAACCTTAAAATCAATCCTAAAACACACAGAGAGCCAATGCAATGTTTCCAAAACTGGTGTAATGTGGGCCCACCTCCGGGTCTTAGTCAGGACACCTGCTGCTGAATTTTGTAATAATTGTAGACCTGAAATATATATTTTTTTTTGGGAAGACCAGAAAGCACGACATTACAAAAGTCTATATGACTGGCGATAAAAGCATGCATTAGTGTCTCTGTGTTGGCCCGGGAGAGAATGGGGCGGACTCTGGTGATGTTCTTTAAGTGATAAAAACCTATTTTTGTTATGTTCTTAATGTGTGGACTAAAAGTCAGCTCAGAGTCAAAAATGACGCCCAGGTTTCTCACTTGTGTTGATGGATTAAAAGACAGTGCTTGTAGTTTGGGTAAAAGTTTCTCTCTCTGGGCCTCAGGACCGATGACTAAAACCTCCGTTTTGTCCTGGTTAAGCTGGAGAAAGTTTTCTGCCACCCAGGATTTGATATCTAAAATGCAGTTAAAAAGAGCATCTGTTGGCCTGGTGTCATTAGGAGACACGGAGATGTAAAGCTGCGTATCATCAGCATAGCTGTGGAAGTTGATTCCGTGTCTCCTGATGACACCGCCAAGAGGGAGCATGTACAGGTTAAAAAGCACAGGGCCTAAAATCGAACCCTGGGGTACACCACATGTGATTTTATGGACTTTGGAGGAGCACATGTCTACACTTACCATTAATGTCCTGTCTGTCAGGTAGGAGGTGAACCATCTGTGAACAGCACCTGAGAGGCCGAGGTGTTTTAGGCAGTTTACAAGAATAGTGTCGTCTACTGTATTGAAGGCAGCACTAAGATCCAGCAGAACCAACACTGTCACCTTTTGTGCATCATAATTGAATCTAATATCATTTAAAATCTTTACCAAGGCGGTCTCAGTGCTGTGGTTCACCCTAAAACCAGACTGACACTTTTCAAGAATATTTTGATTATCTAAAAATTCTTTAAGTTGAATAAAAAACAAGTTTTTCCAATTTTTATTTTTTTTTTAAATGGTAAGTTAGACACTGGCCTGTAATTGTTCTAATCGTTAAAATCTAAATTGCTCTTCTTCAGCAGGGGCCTCACCACTGCCGCTTTAAAGGCAGCGGGAAAGACCCCTGTCTAAAGAGAGCAATTCATCATGTTTAAAAGCCCTTTTCTAAAAGAATCATAAAATAACTTAAAGAATGAGGTTGGGACAGGATCTAAAGACATGTGGTGGACCTCAGTGAGGAGAAAACTATCAGTCGTCATTTTTGGGGGCCTGAGCAAGATAATTTAAGTCGACTCGGGTAAAGGTCACTTACAAAATCATGAAAAAAGCAGCAAAATGTTGCCTTATAAAAAGACAAATTTTCAAATGTGCAATGGGACTTCTCTTTCTGAGCATCGGTATCAGGGCTGTGAGATAAAACTCTGATCTGCACATAGGCTGTAGGCTATTATCTGTGAGACAGGACCTGATTTTGAGTTTCAGAGAAACCTGCTCCTGTTGATTCAAGTGGTTTACTTGAATAACAGACAGGACTCCAAATGCACAATAACATTTGATGTTACAGATGCTCGTTTGCCAGATTTTTGAGCATTGCATTTGTGTTTTTGTGCAAAAGTTGTTCTCTGACAGGCGACATCTTCAAACTGTTTGGCACTGTAGACACAGAATATGCTGCACATTTCAGGTGACAAATATCTCAGGATTATTCTAATAATCTGGTGTTAGAGGCTATGCAATTTTTACAAATAAAACATTAAACACAAAAATGATGAATAAGAAAGTCAAATGCAGCTCAGTTTTCAACCCCTGAATAAAATAGACGACAAAGGGCGCTTTGTAGGGACACAGAAAGACTTCTTCAAACTGATCCTCAACTTCTGGACAGATGCTAACAGAAACTTTCAAACAAAAATGGATTTAGTTTGCATATTTGTTAAGCTATTCTAAGAATGACTTCATTTATTGTGCTGCAGTTTATTCTACTCTTGTTTTTCTTGGGAAGTACCTTAAATGACTTTAGGATCTGACCTGTGAACCATTCATAATAAACTGAAAAATCCTCCTACCTATAGCTCGGGTCAGAGCCAGCGTGGTGCACAAACACAGGGACAGAGTCGACAGATTCATGGTGGGGATGTTCCAGTTGTAAAGATGATGATGGTAGCCTTCAATAAACAGACAGACACATTACTGAATTTTCGGGCTGAGGCAGACGTCGTAAACTGATGCTGAACATAGATCTCAGACCTGCAGCAGAATATTGTGATCAGCCTTCTTCTGTGGAGCTGCTGAAAAAGGCAAAGGCCGGCCCTTATGTACATTCCTCTAACCAAACATGACACCAAGGCCATGTAACCAAAACCAACAACAAACCCAGAGATAAGACAGGAGATTTATCCAAAATTTCAGGGAAGTGTCGCAAGTCTCTTATGGCGGGAAAAGGGACTTTAGTCACTTTACAGCGGGACTAAACTGAGTGATATCACTAAGCTTTACTGTGCAAATATTTGATTCTTGGTAAAAATACTTACTCAATCTTGTAAAAAAAAAAAAATATATATATATATATACAACCCAGCTCTGTGGAAGTGACACCAGGCCACCTTTGACATTTGGGAGATCTGGCTTGGAGAAGTGCCAGTGTTTGCAGAGTAAAGTAAAGCATACAGAGGTCTAACAGAAGAGACACTGAGTGATACATCCTACATACACCTGAGTAGGATCTTCTTATTTGGCACATCCTGGGATGTTTTTTTTTTTTTTCAGAGAGTTGTTAGGAATGTCCTCTGCAACTTTTTAGAGGGCAGCAGTGAACTTCTCCACTTCATATAGTTTGAAAACTACTGTTACATCTACATTCGTCTCTTGATGCCTCTGGGCTCTCCTTTGTGGATGCCTCAACAAAGTCTTTCTCAAGCTGTAAAATTCTTCAGTGAATCAGAGTCAGAGCATCTCCAAAACCCATGTGGGCTCTGCCAGTCTGCAGCCTCTCAAAAGGGATCTGAAGAAGATCAAAAGCTGAACTGGCATCACTGACATGGACAACTAAGGCTCTCTGATGTATGTAGGGGGTATAGGGGAGGCGGACCTGTGTGTCTCATGCGGTCTTACACAGAGCCACCTTCATCTAAAGCCTTTTTGAGTCATAATTGTCTGAGAGATGTGGCATTAGCTGTTGTAGAGGGCTGGCTTCAGTTGTGGTGTCAGGACCAATTGTGGGCCAAATAGTCCTGTCAGTGCCTCTGATTCTGTGTGAATCTAATTTCTAAATCAACAGCCTGCAGGCTCATACGGTGACAGATACCCAGTTTAAAATCCAACTGAGGAAATACTCTGTGCTTAACTTCTGTTATCCCTATTTTCTACCTGCTGAGAGGTGTCTGTGGCTCAGATTCAAACACATGCCTCTTAGTTTTTAGAGAAAATTCATGTAAAATCGACAAAATAATCAAAGTAAACAGATCACACTGAACATGTTCCTACCTGTCAGGTGTTCCTGGGAGTTTGCTGAAGGTGTTTCATCGTCACACCAGGTAAGAGCTTATTGTTGTTGAATATAAAACAAGGTGCGTTCCTCAGGCGGAGCTGATATGTCATTAAAAGACAAATAAAGTTTGTGCTTTACATTACGCAAGACTTACGTAACAGGTCTGTATATGACATTATAATGCAGAGGTTGTGACAGTATCATTCTATAGCTGATGTAAAAAGTCAATATTACACATTATCTTTGCTTTTGTTAAAAAAAAAAAAAACTCATGTGACATGAAAAAATGGGAGTTCTTGAAAGTTTTGTCTGAAAGTGTTAGATTGAACAAGATTTTAAGGAACCGAAATGACCTGCTTTGTCCCTGTTATGGGTTATTATAGAGATTTCCTGCAGGCAGAAGCTGAGACGGCCTTGTGGTCTAGCAGCCAGCAGAGGACGCAGTTGTGCACATTTACAGGGACAGGAAAGAGGGAAGTGATGTGGGATCTTGAAGAATAAAACTACTTCACCACCTCTGGAGAAACATTACAGTAACATTGTCCCAGATCATGGGCGGTCACATCCCACTTTCCCCTTCCCTCTGTTTATTAGGAGACCTATCTACATTAAAACTTGACAAAACACACACACGATCACTTCTAGTGGTGCTGACCGTTGCCAGGAAAACTATCCTCATGAACTGGAAGTCTCTTTTATTTTTATTTTTATTTTTATTTTTTTACTACATACAAATATTATGATGAATATTATTGTCATTGTCATTTTCTATTATTATTTTTACTTATTTATTTATATACTTACATTTACATTTATTCTTTACTGCTCGGGTCCCTGCTGGGTCGCGCCTGTTAGGCCATGACCTGTGATCTCCTTGCCCTCCCAGCCTCCCCCAGTTCTCCGCCCTGGACTTTTCTTCAGATGGCACATCACCTTTTTTATTGCACATCACACTAGATTAGGAAGAGGAAAGGGGTCTCAATCACATCAAATTATAGTTCAGGACAACCCCATCTCCTTGGTTTTAATGCACAACATTAGAAAGCACATATATGAGAGAAATTAAAAAAGAAAAAAAAAAGGGAAGGGAAAATAATAATAAAAATACATAAATAAAAATACATAAATAATTTTAAAGTATATTAAGTAAATAACAAAGACTAAATACATATATAGACATAGGGCAAGGTGTTGTGCTGCATTCAGTCCAGGGCATGCGGGGGTTGGGGGGGGGGGGGGGTTCTGGGGGATGCAGGCAGGTCTCGTACAAGTGGGAAGGGACCCGAGGTGGTCCACAAATTTCAAGACCCCCCCTCCACCCATATCATTATTATTGTTATTCACCATTTTTATTAATGTTGAATGTTGTTGTTGTTGTTGTTGTTGTTCTTTTTCTTCTTCTTCTTCTTCTTCTTCTTCTTCTTCTTCTTCTTCTTCTTCTTCTTCTTCTTCTTCTTCTTCCTCTTCTTCTTCTTCTTCCTCTTATTATTATTATTATTAGTAGTAGTATTATTAGTATTATTGATATTATTCTTCAATTATAATTTCCATTTGATTGTTTGACAATTGTAATATTTTTTTATCATTATTATTCACATATATAATACACACCACACACACACACACACACACACACACACACACACAAAACCACAAATGCTGTTGTTTATTGTATATCTTGCACAGTCACTGTAATGCCGTATTGCACAAATAAAAAAAAAAAAAAAAAAAAAAGAAGAATAAAACTAGCAGCAGAACTTGGACCCTCTTTGGTTCTGTACACATATTCAGGTCTCTCTGATGACCTTTTTTGTGACCTAAACATGAACTTTAAAACATATTGATGTTATAAAGCAGAAGCAACATCAAAATCCAAGTTTACTGATTATTTCACCTGGCTGTGAACATACTGATTTTGCTATGATAATGAGCTTCTTTGAGTGAGTACACATGTAGTCTCTGGAAACCACCAGCAGGATTATATCAACTAAACAACCATCCATACACACTCCTGTGAATGTAGTCTGGGTATATTTCTACAGCTGATCACTGTCCTTGGGGGGTAGCACATGCCTGCAGACCCAGAAGCTAAAATTCTGAGAGTGACATGACAAGAATAACAGATGTGATCCCAGAACCGCAGCCCTAAAACTGCAGCCTCCAGCTCTGCAGACTCTGTGTATTGCAGTCTGCAGCCATGGAAACGGAGTGTGGAGTCTTAAATGTAAACCATTCAAGGGGTTTGATCCTTTAATCCTTTATGTATCCTTTAGTTTATTTTAGCAGTTGTTTGACTTTAATGCTTTAAATTAACTACACGAATGCACCATAGAGTGCATGTTACATATAAAAACAGCTGGCAAAGTAAACCCACTGTTTTTGGCTGTCTGATGGTGGCTTTGAATGGAATGGTACAATGACCAAGTGTTTTAAAACTTAACTTGAAAACTTCCTGCCTCTGTTTGACATTTAAATGCCAAAGCTACCCTTAGTAGGGTCCAAGATTTAAAAACAGGCCATAATTTAATTTATCTGATGACCGTTTAAACAGACTAGTATTGACAAAAAATGTTAATATAAAAGTATAATACAATTGATATTATGCTGAAATGTGCCTTACAGTCACACCATGTAGGTACCTGGACACAGCAGGTGTTCATTATACTGCTTTCCATCTACCATAACAAGCAGAGAAGGTGAAGAAGAAGCAGCAGCTGCTAGCTAGCTCGCTGTAGCAGTCAAACACTTTAAAGCTGCTCTAAGATAAACTGTAAAAATGAAAATAACATACGAGCATGGGCTGCTTCTTTTGACTTTTCTTGATTAGACGAAGAGATTTTTCTCGGAGCTTTCTAAAGGAACTGTGATACCATCACGATCGTTAACATTATAGATGGTACACAGCAGAGTATTGAGCACAGCGCTGATAAAGGGTACTTCAGTTCAATTATCATAGATCTCTGCTATCATTTAAAAGCCAGCGTCAGTTGTTGTGGCTGATTTGATGCTGGCCCCACACCTCCTGAAAAATCTATCATTCTTGTTAAGCACTGAGTAAATATTGACTCTAGTTCGACTTTAAAGCTCACACTGACTGGGTTTGTTTTCAGCCGTCGTCACTGAGCGAGAAGTAACTGAATTCAGATGTAGTCCAGCCTACGATAAGGTTTGAATTTAAAGTGTCCTTAAGTTAAAACAATAAAGTTTCAGCTTCAACTTTCACCCTTTGCGGAGCATACAGCTCACTGATATCAGCTGTTTTTGATGAGTCATCACCATTTAAAGACAGAAAACATGTTAAAAAGGTTTTTGACTTTAAGCAGAGAGGACCAAAAGTGTGAATTACCAATGGAGTATGATTATGAGTATATTGCATTTATGAAGGATTGCCATTTAAAGTCTAGAGATTTTGAGTTCTGTTTAGTGGAGTTGGAAAGTCTGTCTAGTGGGATGTAGTCAAGCACGACGTTTTTCCACAGTGTGATAATCATGGAGTGTATTGATTTCCAGTTCAGGTTTGTAACTTTAATCAAATTAACCCCATCAGACATGTCGGCAGTGTAAATGTCATCATTTCTTGGTCCATCACCTCTGTTAGCAATGTTTAGCGGTAGCAAGACTTGCACGGGGGAAAATAAAATAAGCGGCAGACATGTACTCGCTTTAGCATTCCAGCACAGCTCCTTGCTCAACTGAGAATTTATTAAGCACACAACCAAAAACAACGCTCACTCGCAGGTGGTGGTCATTACCACAATCAGTGCCCATCACAGCGTCAAGATGGCTCTTCAAAATAACACAAAAATAAAGTGTAACAATTCAGAGCACCTTTTAACAACCTCCTTCAGAGTAGCACCAGTTTCTCCTCCTCTGATGGGTCTCAGTTTTACTGTAAATAGTGGGTTAAATAGTATGAACCTGAAATAGAGGCTTCTGATTTTTACTGACATATTAATAGGTCTTACCTTCGTTAGAATAACCATGTCATGCTGCAGATTAGAAAAAAGTAAAAAGTCAAGCTTTGTCACACATCCTCAAGAGGAGAAGAAAACAACTTTAAAATGTTCATTAACTGGAGACTAGAGCCATGATGTCGGATGCATTCAGGGCAGTCAAGAAATTTAAATACTAATTGTCTTTAGTGACTCAGCATCATGTAGATTTGGGATTCAGTGTAAATGTTTGATTGAGAATAGATTTTTAGCCACTTACACAGAGAAATAGAATATCATATGACCTCTGATGGGGCCTGGGGGGGTCATTATGGTGGATTATGTTCCTCTTGCTTTTGCTCTCTATACAGACTGCTATTCCTGCAGACTCCAAAACCTCACAGTCTCCCATAATGCAGTGCTGCTGTACTATACCTGCTGATCTACTAAGGTACGAAAATCATTGCACACATTTAAAACTGATATAATATATAGAGGATATTTACCATGCACTGAAAAAAGAGAAGTGAACTCAATTAGAGTTACTCTCATAATTTCTGCCTTGTATTTTTAAGATTCAGTTAAAACTAGAGTTTCTTAAGTGAAATTAAACATTATGAATTATGGGGGAAGAGTAAGCTTTTCTCAAGTTTCTTGATACTATTTAAATGTTTAATAACTGTATGTACACAAACCTACAAATACTACATAAACTTTACTCTGAAAGTGTAGTGTTTTGAAACCATAGACTGTATATAGAATAGCATAGTTTAATAGTAAATAAAGTATATGTATATATATATATATATATATATATATATATATATATATATATATATACAGTACAGGCCAAAAGTTTGGACACACCTTCTCATTCAAAGCATTGTCTTTGTTTTCATTACTATTTAAATTGTACATTCTCAAAACTATGAATGAACACATGTGGATTCATGTGCTTAAGAAAAAAGTGTGAAATAACTGAAAACATGTTTTATATTTTAAATTTCTCAAAGTAGCCACTCTTTGCTTTTTTGATAGCACTGCAAACTTTTGCTGTTCTCTCAGTGAGCTTCATGAGGTAGTCACCTGAAATGGTTTTTACTTCACAGGAGTGCCTGAAGTAACCCTGACAAGGTACTTCTGTCATCAAGACCAAAGGGTGGCTTTTTTAAAGAAACTAGAATATAAAACGTGTTTTCGGTTATTTCACACTTTTTTTATAAGTACAAAATTCTACATGTGTTCATTCATAGTTTTAATGCCTTCAGTGATCATCTACAATGTGAATAGTCATACAAAAAAATAAAGAAAAGACATTGAATGAGAAGGTGTGTCCAAACTTTTGGCCTGTACTGTATAAATATATATATATAGTATAGTATAGTATAGTAAATACAGTCTATGTTTGAAACACATGTACAACCTATACGCACTGTAGCCTACAAAAGAAATGGCTCTGTGCAGAATCCGGATGTTGCAGGATCACAGAGCAAGGTAGGGAGCGGCAGTAGCTTTGGCAGTAGAGCAGTCGACCAATAACTGGAAGGTTGGCAATTCGATCACCCCCTGTCCCAAGTCTGTCCGTTGTGTCCTTGGGCAAGATATTTAACCCACCTTGCTCCCAGGGTGTGTCCTCTACTGGTGTATGATTGTGAGTGTTGTGTGGTGGTGGTCGGAGAGGCCGTAGGTGCAAACTGGCAGCCACATTTCCGTCAGTCTGGCCCAGGGCAGCTGTGACTACTTAGGTGTGAGTGAATGAATGATGTATCCAATGTAAAGTGCTTTGAGGGTCTCTGATAAAGTGCTTTATGAAATCTGATCAACCAAGTAAACTAAAATGTCAAGTACAAGAAAATAATAAATATCTACTCAATTACTTCATAACAGCAAATACTACAGAAACATAAAATATACTTTGATTTTGAGTAAAATCAGGTTTTTGCCTATAAAAAACAAGTAGACAATACTTAATTTTTAAAAATAAATATAGCTTAAAGCTTGGATGTAATAAAGTAAATGTTACTGAATATCTTCACAATTGTTATGTTTTATGGAAAGTAAAATTGACTTGATACTGGCAAGTGAGAGTTACTTGATATTAAATTTTACTTAAATCATTTGCATGCAAATACTTACAATATATTATTTAAGAAAATCTTATGAGCTATTTTTTTTTCTGTGTGGTTAAATTAACTTTCCTAGGCTTCAAATGAATTCGTCAAAGAGGGCTGGATTGCAGTTTTACGATGGTTCCTGAACATACCAGGGTTGACAGAGGCTGAGCAGACCTTTGGTTCAGACTGTTGTCCTGATTGCATCTTGATACTTGATGAGTTAGAGTAGATTGAAACTATATTTTATTATATTACATACAGTGTGTCCCTGTTGTTAATAGAATAAAAAATATTTTATAAAAACAGGATTTGGTCTTAAAGGGTTTAAGTACTTTAACCAAAAAAAGTTAAACTGCCATCGACCTGTCCTTCATAAGGTTATTAATCATATGATATAAGTCTGGAGCTAAAAGAGGCTCAGGTGACTCAAATACTTTGGTAAGCTTGAGTACTTATTGAATCTGTACTACAGACCTCAGACAAACAGAATAAGTGTTTCTTATGTAACAGCACAGATTGGTAACCAGCCTCACAATGACGTAGGGAAAGATTGATCATATTTTTATTTCAGCTTTTGTGTTGTTTGTTCGCTCGGCCGCTGTGTCTAGATCTGATGGTGCGATAACAAACCATTTAAAAGAGCAGAGATTTTCTTTGTTTCTGCACTTTGAAGCGTCACGCGGACACTGAGGAGAAGACAGTGGAGATCAGCAGCAGCAGCAGGTGAGTTCAACTCTCTGATAATAAAACAGATTTACAGGCTCTGCAGGTGTACTGAGTCAGAAGAATGATAGATATTAAAAAATATGAACATATTGATAATGGAGTAGTTTTACTCACATGGTTTCATAGACCTTAGAAACAAACTTTGGCTCATTACAGTGTCAAGTTGATATGTCTTTTTCTTCTCATGTGTATTTTTTATATGATTTTTTAAAGAGTACCACAAACCAACACTGTTTTGAATCCAGAATGGCTCCTTCCTCTTATTTCTAAGAATTTATATATGTAAATATTACAAAGATGAATTATGCAAGAAAACACAAGTGAACATAAAAGAAGAAAAATAAGGCAGACTAAAAGCCATTGAATTAGTTTATATATTTTCAAAAATCTTGTGTATTAGCGAATGTTGTATACTTTTTCTGTGATTTCTTGGTCAGTTATTCTACTATGAATAATCTTCTCTTTGTTGCTTTTGTAACTCTTGGAGCCTCGCACCTTTCTCTTGTTTTATTCAGGTTGTTTCTCGTTCATTTCTAACTTATATTTTCTCTTCATCACCTGAAAAAGGAGGTAAACTCTGGTTATTTTCTTTCTTTTTAAAGGTGACCATCATCTTAAATATCAGGCTCTTCTACACCACCACAATGTTCACTGTCTCTGCACTTCTGTGTTCAATGATGGCTCTGACCATCGGGGCTGCTGGTGAGTATGGTTAGGGTTAGGGTTAGGTTGATAATGTTTAATGGGGATGACTGTAAAACAAAGGAGTGTTATGGGAATGAAAATGAAAAGGTAGATTATGCTGCTCATTTATTCTAATTCATATTAAAGTAAATGTTTTCACTGAGATAAATGGCACAGCTGCAGGAGTTTTTATGCCCTCCATCCAGCTCCCCATCTGCTCAGAGCAGATGTGAGGCTTACTGTAATACACATGTTCAACACTCAGTGTGTTTACATGCACAGCTGTATGTAGCTGTCCTCCTCCCCACACAAGGGGGCGATATGGGTCTTTTCAGCTGCACTGCTTCTGACCCCATACAAATGTCAACAACAACAGCAGGTATGTGCCAGATGTCAGAAGAGGCTACAGCTGCTGCTGGGCATTCCCGAGCAAGAAGATGGAGCATCGTACGGTGTTGTTTTTGTCGAACATGATGTATACGCTACTTTTTCTGCAGATGAGGTGCACGCTACTCTTTCTCTGGTGTTTTTGTTCTGGGGTTACGGGGTGTGGCGCATGCGCACATGCATTGTCCAATAATCGTACTCTGACTACGCTGGTTACATGGTAGAGAAAATCAAATTCCACTCGAGAAAAACAAATTATTGCCTCACTCCAATTAAGACCGGACAACTGAAGTGCATGTAAACACTTTAGTCCGACTATCCGACAAGTCCGACAATCGAAGTTTGAAAACTCAGATTAGAGTTGGAGAACTGCGATTAAGACACTCAGATAATGCGATTGGAATTTGATTTTCTCAGCATGAAACCAGCGTAGTCAGAGTATGATTATTGGACAATGCATGTGTGCATGCGCCTCACTCCATAATCCCAGAACAAAAACACCAGAGAAGAGGAGTAGTGTGCACCCCATCTGCAGAAAAAGTAAAGTGTACATCATATACGACAAAAAACAACACTGTACGATGCTCCATCTTTTCGCTCAAAAATGCCCAGCAGCAGTTGTGGCAACTTCTGACATCTGGCACAGACCTGCTGTTGTTGTTGACAATTGTATGGGGTCAGAAACAGTGCAGCTGAAATGACCCATATCGCCCCTACTTTTGGGGAGGAGGACACGTTCATGTCGATAATTCAAATTTCTCAGCTGCATGTATACGCAGACAAGGAGAGAAGTCCGATTAGGCGAAAAGAAATCAAATTATGAACATAGTCCGATTAGGCTATGCATGTAAACGCTCTGAGTGTTAGTGTCATCCTGACCTCTAAACATGCAGCTCACTTAGAGACTGCTGGCCAAGTATCAGGTCTGCAAAGTGTCCGTGAGACCTTATTTTAAACTTTTACATCTGCCAACAATAAGAACCTGAAGTTGTTTCTGTAATGAATACTTATAAACCCTAGACATGATAAATACTTTTGATGCTAAATGGGGAATGTGCATTTGTCAGTCTAAAGATACATTTTTATGACACAAAGACTCTTTATTCAGTCTTTGTGGTCAGGTCAAGATCAGTCTCAACCTCTTTATAAAGTGTTTGTTCATGATTCAGATTTACAACATTTTCACTCAGCCTTGGGCCTTTTTCATAAATATGTTTGTTTTTGGTGGATTTTGGTTCTTCCCTGTGTTTTAGCCTCAGTTCTTCACTTCAACGGAATTTTACGGGGTTTTGGAAAGTGCTCTAGAGGTCTAAATGTCTACACATGCTGCTCAGTCATTCTTATGTGGAGAGCTAAAAGAAACGTCTTTGGTAGGGCAATAGTTGTTCTCTGGTTTGTTTCGTCCATTAAGGTTGTAAGTTTACTTTGTGCACATGAGTTATTCATCTTGTGGACCTGGCTGATGCTGTTGCCATGGAAATAGTCATGCCTTGTTTCCTTGAGGGGACTCAGTGTGTTTGTATAAAGTGACCTGAAAAGCTGCAAAAAGTGACAAATTACACAACTCTGCCTTTGCTGAATGCAAACATAAAAGCTGAAGTATGCAGCACTGGATCTCTACTTTTGTGAGAGTTTCAATGACAAAAGCAACTTTCACCTCTATTACAAACGTAAATATTGAATAATCTACCTCAACTCACCTTTAGCATACAGAGCTCCTTTGGGCTGAGTTTAAACACACAGCGCCAGATTAAATATGAATTCCTACATGAGACAAACACACTTTTTCTGAGCTCTTTTCTTAATAATTCTTTAAATACTCAGTGTAAGACTCTGAAGAAAAGTCACACTGACTGTTTCTAACTTAAACAGATATTTTAGTGTAATATTAGTGGAATGAACAGCTTCAAATAGATGATAAATGAGAACAAGAACGTTCTAATGTATGTTTGCTCATTCTAAAGAAACCCTCAGACTGATTTATTAAAGCATTTGTCATGAAGCACTTGAACATGCACACAGGGTGTAGATGCTGACTCATTCCACAATGAAAGAAGTGAATGAAAAGTTTGTTTTATGGGAGGGAGTTTATGTGAAGTTTAAGGGATCACATCAATCTCTGTGTTTAAGAATTTACTGTAATAGAGTTATTACTGATGGTTTTAAAGGAGTTTTCTGTCATGGTTTGGGCTGAGATTAGATTTACAACACAAAAATGCTAAATAATTAAAGACCACTACACTTTATCAAACTTGAAGTAGGCCAGCACTTTTTTTTTAGGTTTATGAAATAGTCTGAAAATCATAATAATGCTTTCATGATATCCAGAAGCACAAACTATCAGGGACATGACTGAACACCTAAATCCAGATCAAGAGGTGAGGTATCAGCCAAGCAGCTAAAGTAAAAACCCTGATTAGACTATTTCTGCACACAATATTCACAGTATCTGACTCATTTGACTGTTAGTGGAGAAGATAAGCAAAAGCAAAAATTAATAGATCCCTGAGGAACTTAATATCGGTACCAGTATTGGTCCGGAAAAAACTGATATTCTAAGGGCTGTTCAGGTCAAACTTGGGACTTGACAGTTTTTTGTCCGGGGCAGGGACTGAGGCTTAAATTTGGCTGAACTATCTCACTAACTTTTCTTTGAGTAAATAAAGTTGGTAAGAAATGCAAATTAACTCAAAATGGAAGTAAAAGGGCCCAAAAAATTCAGGTTGATTGTGAGCAATTCACAGTAATGATGAACTTTAAGAATCAACACAGTTCATCCCTCTTGGCCTGCCTTCAGTTCAGCCTCTTGTCTATAAGAAGACCACATCCTGTCCCTGTGGTTGGACCGAGTACCTGGACCGATGTTTCATCTATATCCCTGAGATCATGACCTGGTCTGAGGCTCAGGTAAGCAGGCCTTTCTGGACTCTGCATCTGTTTCTGCTTCAGTTTGGTCCGTCAGCTCATGTGATGGTTTTTGTCTGCATGTTTCCGATCTGTTTGTGTTCTCTGTAGAAAAACTGTCAGTCCATGAAGGCCAACCTGGCCTCTGTACGCAGCTTTGAGGAGTACGCCGCCATCCAGAAACTGACCGCTTTTAACGGGTACAGGAACACCTGGATTGGAGGCTCTGATTCACAACAGGTGCACTTCACCATATTTCATGGATGGCAAAATTTAATGGCTTTAACCTCTTTAACTTGTTTGAATATGATCTCAATCTCTACTCTCTTCTGTTTTCCAGGAGGGTTTTTGGTTCTGGATCGATGGGACACCTGTCACATACACAAACTGGTGTCCTTATCAGCCTGATAACCTTGGAGAACAGCACTGTATACAAATGAACTATGGAGGTAAGTGGATCATGTCCCTTTAAAACATGATAATTGGTGACATTTGTCCCCTCAGAGCTGACTGACTGACTGACTGATTGTTGTATTTTCTGTTTCTCCAGCTCGCAAGTGCTGGGACGACACCAAATGCAGCACCCTGTATCCATCCATCTGTGCAAAGAAAATCCTGGGATAACGCAGAGGAAAGACAGAGCTGCAGAAACACTGATTGACACGTTTTCTGTTTGTGTACTCGTTATTTGTCTATCTCACTAACGCTGAAGGATTCACCTCGTTTTGCTTCATTATTTATCTAACGTCACTGTGTCGCCTTTAAAGAAATAAAGCTATGAGTGACAATGACACCAGCTGGATTGTCACTGAGGCTTTTTCTGCTTTGACAATATACTAAATGTTGAAATGCTTTAAGTTTAACTTTCCTCTTCCTGCTCTTTCACAAAAATAAACGTATCAAGCATTGAAATATTGTTGATGGTATTTATATGAGCAACAACAACAACAAAAAACCCCTGTAATGATACTTTGAAATAAGGCAGCACACCATCATTGTTCTCCCTGTTTGAGTGACCCCATATGCCCCTCTTCTTTTTGCTCAAAGTCAGCAGGGCTACCATCATATCTGGACAACAGGTCTCACCTGTGAGAGAGCCTGTTTATAGAGAGGGTCTGACTTTTGTTTTCACCTCAACCTTACACTCACCCTGCACTGGAATTGAACCCACAACTGGTTAACCTTTTCCCCACAAGACTACCCGATAGTCTTCCATCTTTTTTGAGGATTTTTCATTTCACCATTTCATAATCCTTTTTTTTAAATGACAAACAACATTTGAACGCAAAACAAAAAGGGAGGACCCAGTTGCAGAACTGAAAGTATTTATCAAAGCAAAATCAAAAAAGGAAAACTTTTGCAGAAACCTACTCTGAAAATGTCCAACCAAATTTACCAAAGAACACTAGAGACCAAAAACCACTAGAATCAAAAGACATGGGGAAAAAATCACAAGGGCATCAGGTAGGGACTGAAAGAGACATACTGGACATATAATGAACCAACAAAGACAGAGTGGAAGACAGGGACAATATACACACTGGGAAACCAGCAACAGGTGAGGCAGACGAGACACAGGTAAAACTCATGGGTGTTTAACAAAGGAGGGAAAACTGAGCAAGTAAAACCAGACTAGACACACAGAGATCAACAACAACAAAATAAAACAGGAAGACAAACTAAACCAGACACACAAGGAGAAGGGACTACAAAATAAGACAGGAAACACTGAAAACTGATCTAAAGAATAAAACACTGAGGATATGAGGGAAACAGGTTCAAACACAAACTGAAAGCTCACAAAACAGGATCACAGGGGAACAGGAACAATAAGGAAAATACACAGAGACTACAACAAATAACAAAACCTAGAAAAACTAAATAAACAAGAACAGGGCCTGCATGGGCTGTGTGATCACAGACAACATCTCGATACTATTTAGTAGCAGCGCATGCCCTTGTAATAACCCCTGTAAAAACTGTTGTTCAGGACTACTTACTTGTGCTTCCTACCCATTTGGCTACTGTAATAACCGTTGTTCTAGCCCACATGCAACATTTTTGATCTCATTTATGAAACGCTTAAATCAGGGACATTTTTTGGGGACAGCTTTTGCCGGGGACAGGTCATCCAATTCAGGGACTGTCCCCGTAAATCGGGGACGTCTGGTCGCCTCACTATAGACCTTGAGCACTCCGGTGCGCAAGAGTTTTCAGGGACTGCAAGGACCCACTTACTTTTCCGGATGACCACCTTATGACAGGCTCATATGGCCTACATATCACACAAACAATGTAAACATGATAGGAATGAACAAATGAATGAATTCATCCTGGAAATGAAATGAAGATTTTTTGCGCACTATACTTCCGCATTGAGACTGTCGGTAATTTTCTGCCAGCATTCCTTCCGTGCTTTTGCAGCAGCGACGGTGTTGCTTTTGAGGTTTATGATAGATTTGAATTCTTCATACTTTCTCATGATCGTCTCCTGCTCCTCATTTGTAAAGTACGCGGTCCTTCGCTCTACGGACGGCTCTGACGCTCCAGACTGGTCCATGTTCATGATTGGTCAGATGCGGCAGGCTCCGACTTACATGCGTGCATGTGCTCATAGCAAAGCTGGATCAACTTACGAGGTTGATAACCAGCGTCGTAAGACCGTTTAGCGAGACCGCTGGCTACCGTGCTAAGTTGAGCGAGGTACCTCCAAGGCTACCTCGCTCGGTTGAACTTGCTTCGTAGAATAGGCCCCTGCACTGTTTGTGTTAGTTGTTGTTTTTTTTTTTAGTGTGTATTCTCTGACACCAGAGAAGAACAAAAACACATCAGTTAAAGATGAATACCTGAGGCGTCACACTGCCTTCAGGTAGTTTTGTTAAATCTCTGTAAGTTTCCTGCTCTGTACCTGCTCAGTTCTGCATAATGTGTATCAAAACTACAAGAGACCCTCCCTCTGCAAAAGGCCCTCTAGTCTCAGGCTCCAGGTTAAAGTTTGTCACAGCATTTCAGTTTTTTAAATTAAATATGAAAAAGTCAAAGAGAAAGAAACTTTTTCCTGAGCAGAGTACTGTAACTTTATGTTGCTGCTGCTGTGGTGCTGCAGCCCTCTTCACCTACATCTGTGGTTCTCAAGTCCAGTCCTCGAGGCCCACTGTCCTGCAGGTATTTTTTTTTTTTTTCTGCTCCAACACACCTGATTTAAATGATTAGCTCGTTATTAAGCCATTACAGAGCTTGATAACGAGCTGAGGACAGTGGGCCTCAAGGACTGGACTTGAGAACCACTGCATCCTCTTAATTCTTAAAGATCATAACTGTCCCTCTGTTTTTTTCTCCATAAATCTGCTCAACCTCAACCTGCTCTCAGCTGTTAACCAAAGCTTCAAGTCTTTTCTCCAACTAATTTCATATAGAAGACCGTCAGTAAGAAGCTTACTAATATAATCTAAAAAGTCTACTGCAGCTAAAAACTGCCCAGAGTCTTTTTTTTTTTTTATCCTGCTGTATCTGCTTCTTCTACTTTTATTGAGAAATTTATTCATAAAAGTGTAAGTATTAGATGCAGGTCGTGATGCTTTAATCATTATGTTGGTCAAAGTCCGGCTGATGGAACATGTACACACTTTCAGAGTAGGTGATTGGAGGATAAATGTAAACTCTCTTTTCAGTGTTATCTGTGCGGCAAATGCCACAATGTCACATTAAGAAGGAGATGTAGAATTATGATATGTTTCATGAGTCAGTACTCATACGAGCTATCTCTGGATATCAGAAACTGCAGCTTGATCTGATTTCTTTCTATTCAAGTCCAACCACAGCGCGATAATAATCAAGGCGTCACAGTTTGTATTCTTCGATTTCACTGTTAGTTTACAATCAAATAAATTCATTTGAAATTTAAGTGTTTTATTCTTTCCTACCATTAAAAACAGAAATATGACAGAAAACCACTTTTACTGTCAAACAGCAAATCTTATCTGTGAAAATTCTGTCTTTACTGTTTTTAGTTAGTTAACAAAAAATGCCACAAAAAAAGTGGATAACAATCCTCTCATGGTTTCAATTTAAACTGAACTGCTGTTGATTCGATCATCAGGTTCAGCAGGTTCACATAGGTCTCAGAGGTCCCACAGCAGTCAATTTGAAGTTTGTCTAAGAACCCAGTTTTTTCCTGGACTTCAGTCAGCTTGAAAACTCTCTCTAGTGAGCTCTACCGAGAACACACCATTTCTGTGTGCTGCGCCTGTCCATGCCTTTCAGCGCAAGCCACGCCCCTTCCTGTCTCTCTGGAAGAGGGGGGCGTGGCTTGCAGTATGGTACTGTGCGCTAATGTTTACACAGAGTGCTAGGTATGGCTCACAGAACTGCTGTGGTCCAGACGTACCAGTTTGTTCCAGAGCCTGACCAAGAAGGAGAGGCTCCTGAGGAAAAAAAACATACAGTATCCGTAATGAGTGCGTTCTCTATTTGCTCCGTAGAGCAGCCCTGGGTATCGCATACAGGATGCTCATTTGGAGTGTAGCAGCAGCGTAGATCAGCTCCAGTCAGCTGGGCTCAGTAAGGCGGAAACAACATGCACACAACAGGTTGTTTTACCTTTCTGTGGTCTATTTCCTGCTAATTTGGATATAATTCAGTGACAGTTGAGCTTCTACTATATGTGAAAAAGGAACATGATTTTACAGTTTTGGTTTTTGCAGGTTTTCTTGTGCTTGATATAGTAAACTATGTTCCTTTATGCTGTGCTGTTACCTTCAGACAGAGTTAGCAGCTAAAAGTCCTGTTGGGGTCCACATGGATCAGAGATAGACCATCGGATTGTTACTGATAAATCCATAACCAGGAACTATTTGTCATCTACACAAACTGATTCCCAGGTGGGAGTTCACATATAGTGTTTTATTCTGAAATACCGGATGACATGCGCAGTTTTCGTGCGTGACTTCCTGTCTAGAATGATCCTGTCTGTGTGGATTAATGTGCATTGGAAGCGTAGAGCAGCAAAAATACAAAATACAAAAATACATGGACTGGATATAGAATGGACGCCGTCTGCCTCCTCGCTGGGTGAAGCCACTCCGAGAACAGTACCCTCTGGTGACGGGCTGCAGTATAGGTCATAAATCCCGCCTCCGCCAGCAAAGCCAATGGAGCTGTGGACAAACTTTAGAAACTTATTACACAGAATATAACCCAGAACATAATTTAAACAAATCACTTTTTTCTCGATGGCAAAGTTAATTTCCTTCCACTGTACTGTGAACGTTTGGCAAATGCTCAGTTGTTAAAGTTATAAAGTTGCCTGATCAATGCTTAAGGCTTAATCAATAGATTTAATTAACTCTAGAGCAGTGTTAACATTAAGTGAGACTGTAAATTTAAAAGTTATTCATCTATCAGTCCAAGTACTGAGAGAGCTGCAGAAAAAAAAAAAAATTAATCAGGAAACTTTTCATCACCAAGATGACCACTTTCGCGAAGTGTCATAAAAAAAAAAAAAATCCTGAGCACTGACTGCTGTATATCAATGTGTGTTAGAAGAGACTCAGATATCAGAGTCTGAGCGGTTAAACATTAACACCAGATGAAACTGGAGCGCAGACTTGTTGGACTCAGACAGATTTATCTAAGGAGAGAAATCCAGTTTACAGCTTTCAAAGAGAGTTTTGAGGATCTGGATCACAAAGAAATTTAAAGCTACTGTAAGGGACTTTTGAAATGACTTGATTTTGGTGCTGCCTGTGGGCAAACATGTGCATCATATCACTTAGCTGATCTTGTGTTGTACAGGCTAGAGTTTGACTCTGATGAAAGTCTCCCATCCTGCAGCCTCCAACAGTCAGTTGTGTCTCTTTTTGTAAGTCTTTGCTGTTGATATTGTAAATAAAGGCTGTTCCTTCAGCATGCTGTCAGCAGAGATCATATAAGACATGGATATATATTCTGAGTGATGTTTGCTCTTATTGAGCCTTACCTCAGCAGTTGCTTTGTTAGAAATGCTGAATCAACCTGAATTTTTGTTAACTTTGCAGGAGGCAAAGATGTGAAATTGAGCAAGGCCTTATCCTTGCAAACCACAAGTGTGCTAATGTCTTAGTCAGATAGAGATACAGATACAGAAGAAAGAGAAAAAAAGGAGAGCTATAAGGAGGAGCGGGCAGTAATGACACTTTGATGGAGACCAATCCTGCGAGTCATTGCAACACTGGCTCAGGAGAAAAGTTTGAGTAGTAAAACTCTTGAAAAGATGAGTTGTCAATAGAGAGGTATAACTTGATCCAGAATAAAATAAACTTTCCTAACTTTTGCTATCATTTTCATTCAGACAAAACAGAAAAGTCAGAGAGTCCGGAACAAACATCACAGGTATAATAGCCACTAATTTTTTATGGCCTCAAAACTCATGAGTTATAAAATATGATGAGACTGTTTTGCATCAGGCTGTAAACACGTTTGTTCCTACTGGTATCATTGGGGTCTGTTTGGCTTTTGGAGTCTGAGTTAGTGTCCCCCAAAGAGCTGACTCTTTAGCTTTTTTAAAGGTGGAAAGAGACTTTGCAGATCTGTTGGAGTTTGGTCATTCATTCCACCACTTGGGGGCGGCAGAGGAGAGCAGTCTGGCGTAATACTGAAGAGTCAAATGTTATCCACTCATGTAGAAAAAACTCTTCCATGTCTCCTGACAACACGGCTGTAGATCCACATTAATTTTCCCATGTTATTGTATAATCTCTTTTATTTGTAACTCAGGAGAAACTAAATGTTCTGTATTTATTTAAAATATTGATTTCTGCAGGTTGATGTGGATATCAGACACACACTGCTTAGTCTGCTACAGAAATAGTCAGTGCAGAGTGGCTGTTTAAAAGGTCAGCTCCCCCTTATCAGGAAATCGTCTGTCCAAGCCTGTTGTCTCTATGTGATTTAAAAGTCTATTTTGACTGTAAATATTAAAGGCTGCAGCTCTTGTTGTGTCTATTCTCTGAGTCTATTTGTGATTATTATCTCACTATTATCATCTATGATCAAGACTTCAGACTCATGAAATTTCTGTAAACATGAATTACAGTAAAATTTATTCTGGGTCACCTGAGAGCAAGATTTCACAAAGCAGTTTATAATTAGTGGAGTTAAGTACATTGTATGGTCTTTTGTTGCAACGGTTAAAAGAGAAACTAAACAAAGAAGGATGTTGGTTTAGTATTAAGTGTCCTAAAGTCAGGCTGAAATATCACACAGAGAAACATTCAAACCTGATAATAAGCAAGAGGGTTAACATGATATGAAACTCACCAGCCAGCAGAGTAAGCAGCATTTGGTGCAGAAAAAAGACTTGTCTAAATGCTCCGCCTGGTTTGAAAGAGAATGGAGACAATAATTAAACCAGCAGCCTTTCAGCTGATCACAGCAGCTCCTCATTATTTCTGTGTCTTGCATTAAGTAACACCACTCTTGTTTTGGTCACGACCACTGCCATAAAAACTAATTTATTGTTTGCATGCAATAGTTTTAAGAGCTTCTTGCCCCTCTAAGTACTCATGTGGATTACTAAATCATGAAGAGGGCAGAGCTCACCTTCCCTCTGTTTCATGTGCATTTATGAAAAGCAGCAGCAAAAAACAAATGAACAGAGCAGGCATCAGTGACAACACATATGATAGAAGTACAATCAGACATTATATCAGGAGGAGCTGGCGTGGGGGTAGGTTTAAAGCAGTTACAGAGGAAGCAAGGAGAGATAGTTTAAATTGAACACTTTTATTTAATTTTCAGACCCCAGGATGTTTCCTCTGATGGACAGATGTTCCCTTAACCTTCACATTTAGGCTGTATTAGGACAAAGGAAAAAGTGCCTAGAAAGTGAATCCTACAGAGGAAGATCATTGATGTTCAATGAAGAAATAAAACATGGAACACACTGTAATTCCAGGGAAATCTGAGTCAGGAGTTCATGATGTGATCTATGAGCTGAACTGTAAATGTTCACAAAGTTCTCTGTTTATCAGAGATCATTTCTTCATGGTACCAACTAGTTCTCAGCCTGTTATCATTAGCTCAGTGGTCGTCTGTGCTGGTCTGGTTTTGAAATCTTTGGCTGTCTTTGTTGTAAGGAAATGGGGAAAAATAAACTCAGTAAGTTAGACATTATCTTCTGATTTGCAGATATTTTCAGGTTGTTCTTCTGTCTCTGTTTAAGTCTCACTCTTGTGAACTTTATTTCACCAAAACATTGTTGATTGAATGAGTAAATCATCTATCTGAATCTCTGATGTCTCTGTGTGCTACAGTCATAACATCATCTGAGTGCCCAAAATAACAGCCTGCAAACAAACAAACAAACAAACAAACAAACAGCTTTACAATCAGCACAAATGCATGTCCACCTCTGCTATGATAGTTAGTGACTTGCCCCCTTAAACTTGTTTCTAGCAAGATCACCATGGTTGATCTAAATGATTGACAAAAGACATTAGCAAGAGGCATACAGGATGTGTGTTAAATAATAAAAATACCTACAAGGTTTCTAAGAGTGAACTATTACGCATTATTTTTGTTTCCTCTTTAAAATTTGACCAGTTTCTCGTTCTTCTCTGTCCTCACAGAAAAGAGGACATTCTCAAGAGGGACCACGAGTATGGGACTAAACAGACTGAAGAGGAAAAAACAAAAACATCTAAAGGAGATTTAACAGAGGTTAATGTGACTGACGAAGACATGGTGACTGATGAATACATGGACACAGATGAAAGCTATTTTTAAAGGGCAGAAGAAGAGCAGCAGATCATGTTACAACCTGACATCTAGGTGAAAATCAGTGAGGGAAATTCTGGACACTGAGCTTATCAGTACATATGATCTGTTTCCCCTAAATAATTTCATTTTAAGACGAGGTTTATGATGTTGCCTGTTCCTATGCACAAACCTCAACAGACACCCACCACGCAACCTAGAAAAACATACACAACACACAATGCTGTTGTAGTTTATCAGGTTAAAAAAATGCAAATCATCTTCGAACCAAACCAAATGTCCTTAAAAGCTCAGGGTTCTTTCTGCTGTGAACATGCTGAGCAAATGCTCAGCTGTCAAAGTTATTTGGTCACCTGATCAGTGCTTAAGACTTAACCATTAACCACAAAGGTGAAATTTATGACAGTTTTTCTGATGTTACAAGACTCTGATCATGGTGAGAGCAGATCTACATTATTTTTCCATCAATCTAAAAACACGGAGAGCTGCTGAAACTAAATGAAACATAACTTTTCATCACTATGTACCTTGTCCTCTCATGATCCCACACACTAGCTGCTGTAAATGAATGTGTGTTAGCACATGTAAACAGATATCAGAGTCTGAGCTGTTAAACATTAACACCAGAACTGGAAACTGGAGCGCAGACTTCTTGGACTCAGACTGAGTTATCGTTCCAGGAGAGAAATACAGTTTACAGCTTTCAAAGCCAGTTTTGAGGATCTGGATCATAAAGTAATTTAAAGCCACTGTAAGGGACTTTTGGACAAAATTTTACATCATATCACTTAGCTGATCCTTTAAGTATGAGACAAGTTTGTGTTCTCTGATTAAAAGCTTCCATCCATTTCACTCATGATGAATTTTTGCTGTTGCCCCCCAACTATACCTGATTTAAACCTGTCATTCCTACACTGGGTTCCTGTATACTACGTTTGGTGACCCTACACATATTGTCAACTATAGATATTATATATAGCCAGATACCTCACAACCCTGTCCAGGATGTGTCAAGACCGGCCACCGCCATCTTGAATTGAATTTTGATTGAATTTCTCTTCAAGGATAAATAAAGTATCTTACCTTGGAGGGTACTTGTCTATGGTTTTCTGTTGCTGTGTTCAAGTTACCTTGTAAGTTGGATGTCAGAGCTGAAAAAGACGTCACACCCAAGTTCCCAGTATTTCAGTTACCAAGTCGGAAAAAAGCAAAATTGTAGGCAGAAACAAGATGGCTACATCTATGAAAGTTATTTTAGCACTTGCCTTGTCCGAATATAAGGCAAGCGCTAAAATAACTATAGGTGGCGCTGTGCTTTATAAAAAATATTTTTAAATAGATGTGTTTAGGCTGGGACCTTCATAGGATATTGTGCAGATATGTTGATAAAGGGCCAAACTAGAGCAGGTTCAAACTTTTATGTTGAGACGAGATGTGAGAATTGAACTTTGCTGCACTGTGAGATAAAAACTCACAGTTTTTTTTCACATATCAAAATCAACATCTCAAGGATGTGTGGAGCAGAAATGATACAGGTATGTTGAACAGTCTTAGAGATTTAGCCATAAAGTTCATAGACATTTCCCCCTGCCACTAGGAGGCCCTATAAGTGTGATGAAATATTACTACATAATTTTGTTGACGTCTTGACCTCCGTAGTGCATGGTGAGTATGGGTCAGATGAGAGCATGCATGACTGAGAGAAAAACTACGTCCTGTTCAATGGCAAAACACCCAACTTTGGGGGGTTATCCACAGTCATGTGTGCAGGGGCCCGAGATATTATCCTCACTCGAGGGTATTTCTACCTGTAAACCTGCTCACTAGGGAATCTTATTGATCAAAAAGTCCCCAATTGCTTTAAGAAGATCCAGGTGTGCAATATTTTTGGGCTGATATTTACTTAAAAAACTCTAAAAATATGGGCACAACATAAATAGGGTTTAAACCAGGGACTTTTGAGTGCTACTTGTCAAAGTTCATGCTAATTATTTATTAGACTCAAAAATTTGTTAAACCTTTTTTTTTATTATTTAAAAGCAACAAGATGTCTTAAGTTACTCCATAATTCTGATTTATACATGCTGAGGTTAATGTCAGACACCCATACTGCAGAATTAACAGGCACTGCAGTGGGCAGGTGAATCATAAACACCTTTTATTGCAGATGACCAAATATAGCTGACTACTTATCTCCTTTTCATTAGACCTTGAGTTTTCAGTGCCTTCTGTAGACTTCAGAACCGTCCAACAGGTATGAAATGTTTAGTTACATGTACTGTGCATTTTTTTTTATTTAGTTATTTTGCTTTTATAGAAAATAAAAAATATGTATTTACTTAGTTTTTCACTTCTGTTTACTCTTCTCTATATTTCAGTGGGTAAGAAATTATGGGTCAGCCTGTTACTTTAATGGTAATTACAAGTCTATTTAAAACAGAATAACTCCGCATTTAAAGCTTGTGGTTCCTGTTTAGTCTATTTTTTTCCGGCCATTGCCCTAAAAGTAGATCAAGCACTGTGATTATGATCTCTCTGGAGACACGAGGCATTTCTGCAGATCAGGTTATGTGAGTTTGGATAAGATCTGTGTTGAGTTCACTCACTTTTTCCTGCCGGTTTTGATAATAATTCATCATACAAAGGTGTCGGTTTTGTAGGTGAAGAACCTTGTTTATTAAAAATTAAAAACTTTTTGAATGTGAAAGTGAAAGTAAACAGTTAAACTGATTCAACAGGATCAATGAAGGACACAGGAGGTGTCTGTTAATATTTAAACCATGAGTGTGGTAAAGTCAGGTTCAGTTAGAGAATTTACTCTCTGAACTGATAACAGATAATAAGATAAGATGGTGAATATGAAAAACCAGGTCAACAAAGCGGCAGAGAGAGCAAAAGATCTGTTAATGATTATTACCACATCCTGCTTGAATCCTCTCTATCACCCGATCAGCAGCTTAATGCTGAAATAACCATGTTTTTTAGTTTTGGTTTTTTTGCATTTTTGACATTTTTTAATCATGTTTCTAATCAGCATCCAATTTATTTACTTAACTTTTAAATGTTTTAATTCATTAAATTTACAACTTATAAAAAATAATATATGCAAATTAATTGGCTTTGAAATCGTTAATTTTTGTTATATACATATAAAGCTTTTTGTCAGACCCTGTTTTTATGAAGTTTTTTAAATACAAGTAGACAAATTAAAAAATAATTAATCTACAAGCTGAAATGAACAGATGTTTGTGCACGTTAGAGTGTGTTGCAACTGCCAGGTGTGCAGATGTCGAACTGGTCCAGCAGCTGCAACAGTAGGTCCTTAGCACATTTAGATGTGTTCAGGCAGAGACTGTCAGCATGCAAAGTGAATTATAACACTTTAGCAATTAGCAGTAACTGGTACTTGTTTGGATAGAGGTGTAGGCTTAAATGCTAGAGCAACCAGACCAGTCAAATGAAGATTTTAAACAGATTGTTATGAGAAATCTCCCAGAGTGCCATGCAAAGTCATCTGTAGAGTGGCCACTCAGAAGCCCAAAGAAACACGTTCATGTATTTTATGGTTATGAAGTTTTAGAGATTACGATATAAATATGATAAATGTCGAATACGAATACGATAAATGTCTTGTTTGCTCAAAGAGGACCCTGAAGTTTCTTAATCCACAAAGTGAACACTGAATTTTCCTTCATCAAGTATTTTAGAGAATCATTGCCCTCCTGAATCTGTAATCTTTATTTTTATTTTCAGATTCCAGGATGTTCCATCTGATTGACAGACAGTTTGGTGTCTTTACTGACCGAGTTTTCCACACTGTTGTCTTTCTCACCCTGATACACTCCTGTGCAGGTGAATTATTAAGCTTATGAAACAGTCTGGTTGATGTTCACACGTAAAATTGATCTGTCCTCCTAATGAAACTCCACATCTTTGTCAAATCTGTTTCCTACTATCCATTTTCAGGTCAGACTGAGCTGAGGGGTTCATCTCATCCAGTAGTGGCATTAGTCGGTGAGGACATCACTCTGCCATGTTACCTGGACCCTGCCACAGATGCTTTTGATATGACTGTGGAGTGGGCAAGACCTGACCTGGACCCTAGATTTGTCCTTGTACGACGTTCTGGTGTAGAGGTTGGATTTCAAAAACATCCATCCTTCACAGGACGAACATCAGTGTTCACTGAAGAGCTGAAACACGGAAACATTTCACTGAAACTCTCCACAGTGAAACTCTCAGATGAAGGAGGATACAAGTGCTTCATCCCTACCCTATCTAAAGCTACCACAGTCCAGCTCATCATAGGTAAGTGGGAACGGGAGGTTTATAGACAGAATTTGAGTGGATTTTAAGATTGGAAATTTGACTCTTTCTTTTAAATCTTAGAAATTGTGTCATCCATTTCAAAGCATTAAGCAGGTGCTTGTTATCAGTGCACAGCTCAAAGGCCATTTTGGCAAGATGAAAAGAGACTTATATGACCTTATTAATCATGAGCTGGGTGACAAAGTGGTAAGTGCTGGAGCATCACAGCAAGAAGGTAGTGAGTTCAGATCCCTTAATGGGGAAGAATCTTTCTGTATCAAGTTTGAATGTTGTCCCTGTGCATACATGAGTTCTCTCCAGGTACCCCGGCTTCCTCCTGCAGTTCAAACACTTTTTAGTTAATCGATAATGGTAGGTAGGTATAAGTGTGTGTTGATGGTTGTTTGCCTCCATATGTCAGCCCTGTAATAGACTGGTCACTTGTCCCTAAAGTACCTTGTCTTTCGCCTAATGACTATTACGGCTTTGGACATACCAATCAACGTTAGCCTCACTCTTTCCCGAGATTATGAAGTGTAACATAAACAAGATTTCAGATATAAGTGGCAAGTGATTTTCCCTGAGGGCAGCAGAGATACATCTTAGAAATGAAGTAAATGACAAGGCTCCGAGTGGAACTGCTACTCCTTCACTTTCAGCAGCTGATTGAGGTGGTTCTGGTATCTAATCTGGATGAATTCCTTTGAGGTTTTAGGGCAGACCCCAAGACCAGAGCCAGTTTATTAGCAGGACTCTTCTCCTACGGAGCCATGCTGTTGTAATCCCAGTTGTCAGAATGTGGTTTGTCATTGTCCTCCTGAAATATGAAGGTCTTCCCTTAAAAAGTCTTTGTCTGGATGTAGATATTGCTCAGCATTAATGGAGCCTTCACAGATGTAAAAGATACCCACTATCTCATCTGCTTTGGAACTGATGTTCTATATTATGATGGTAAAAATAACCTCTCTCTCCTGTAGGAGCTGTCTCCTCACCTGTTGTTCAGGTGACCAGACACAACAGTGGAGTGTTGTTGGAGTGTGAGTCCAAAGGCTGGTATCCAGAACCAGAGATGTTTCTGTTGGACGCTGAGGGAAATCTTCTCTCTTCATCACCCACTGAGACCATCAGAGGTCCTGATGATCTCTACACTGTCAGCAGAAAAGTGACTGTGGAGGAGAAACACGGGAAGAACTTCAGCTGTAGAGTCACACAGAAGAAGATCCACCAGAGCAGAGAGACACACACTGTTATTCCAGGTAAATCTGAGTCAGAAGTTCATGATGGGATCTCTGAGCTGTACTCTCAAGTTTTTTTGTTTATCATTGCAGATAGTGTCTTCATGGTCCCAGCAACTCTAACTACTCCAAGTCCTCCTGGTACTCCTGTTAATCCTAATACTCCTGGTACTCCTGATCGTCGGGGTGATGTTATCGGCTCACTGATCGGCTGTGCTGGTCTGGTTTTGACTCCTTTGGTCATCTTCACCATGTGGAAAAGGAGTCAAGATAAATCCAGTGAGTCGAACATTGTCTTTTATTTCTATGATGCTTGTTAAAAGCTGCACAGACAGTTTTTAAAAAGTGAAAGTTTTTCCTCAGTGTCTGCCTCACATCCACATGTAGTTTCTGATTTTAGGGGTCAACATCTAGAGAAGAAATGCCATCAGACAGAAATCTAAAAATAAAGTTAACATCTGAAAAAAAAACAACTACAGCTTAGGATATGAGGTTGACGGTACAACCATCAACTCAGCCTCTCAGATCAGCTGAGTACATATAAAGGCTCAAAGGTCAAAGTCAGTGTGACTCCACATCCATCCAAACATCCTCACAGTACTTTAAACTGTAACTTTCTTCTCTTAATTTCAACACACTGTAAAGAGAAATAGAAATACTCTTACCACTCACTCAAACTAGTATTTCTAATCATTTTAAAGACATGTTTACAATTTCAAAACTCCAGACCAGAAGAATTACAGGTTTGTAGATTCATGGCAGCAACCTTTTTTTAATTATCCTTCCAGTTTTTTTTTTTGTTTTGTTTTTTTTAATAATAATAATCAACTGATCTATTTTAGTCTCCGACATGTATCCTCAAACTTTCACATAGTCACACAGGAGAAAGACTGATTTACACAGTATTTGTCTGATTCAACAGATCTTTTGTTTTGTAAAGGAAGTCTTGAAGTGATTTTATATCGTATGTTTTTTTTTTGACTTCATGATCCAACAGAACAAAACCATCCTTGGTGATCAGTTGACGAAATGTGTTTTTTTTCTGTCCACACAGAAAACAAGACGGGCCATGAGGATGGGACTGAAGAGTCTGGAGAAGGAAAGCCAAAGACCCCTAAAGGAGATTTAACAGAGTTTAAAATGGAGAAAGAAGGTGGAGATGAAACAACACCACTTTTGACACAAAGAGAAGAAGTGAATAAACCAGGTGACAAAGGAGAGGAGGACATCCAACCTCAAAGTGAACCCAAAGACCAGCTTGTGACAAAACCAGAACACATAAAGAACCATGAGGACCAGAGTGAACAGACTAAGAAAGGAAAGCCAACGACACAAGAGAGTAATAGAGCAGTCATCCATGTTGTAAAGGAAGCAGGAGGACCAAGTCCTCCACCAACAGAAGGCAAAGAAGACCAGAGAGAGGACATAACAGGAAACATTGACATCTCATCTCAAAGTAAATCCGACCTTCAGCTCCAGACAAAACCAGAACACAAGAGGAACAATGGGGACCAGAGTGAACAGACTAAAGAAGGACAGCCAAAGACACCTAAAAGTGATAAAGCAGCCATCCATGTTGTAGAGGAAGCAGGAGGACCAAGTCCTCCACCAACAGAAGGCAAAGAAGACAAGAGAGAGTACATAACAGAAAAAAATGATATCACGTCTCAAAGTAAATCCGACCTTCAGCTCCAGACAAAACCAGAACACAAGAATGAGGATGAGACTATGGAGGAAAAAGATAAGACACATGAAAATATAGATGAAGCATCCAATACTGTGGAGAAAGGAAGAGAGGATGACAACAAGCCTCCAAGTGAAGACCAGATCATGACAAAACATAGACATAAGACAGACTGTGAGGACGGGACTGAACACAATAAAGAAAAAAAGACAATCACACCCAACAGTGATAATGAAGAATCCCATCTTGGAGAGGAAGCAGGAAAGGAGGGTGTACCACCTCTGAAGGTTAATAAAGAGGACAATAAAGGAGAAGAGAACAACCAAATAGAGAGTGAACCCAAAGATAAGCTCAAGACAAAACCAGAGTCTGTCAATGAGACGGACCAAACAACAAGAGGGGGTGAAACAGAGGAAACCAATCAAGAAAAAGAGAAAACAAAACAAAAACAGGAAGTGGAACAAAGCCAAGGTACTAATGAAGGAACTGAAGATGAACAAAAGCATATGGTGAAACCAGCTGGAGGGGGTTCGAATCTTCACATGGATCCATTGGATGCAAACAGACAAGGAGAACAGCTCCAAAGTCTCAACAAGGATCAGGACATACAAAAAAGTGAGAAAGAGAAGATTCAAGAGACAAAGAGAAATGAAGAGAGGCAGAACCAGGTAGGAGGAGACCAACAAGATGGAAGTTCACAATCAGACCCAGAGAAGACTGAAGATGGGGAAGAGCTTAGTCAACAGAAAGACCAACATGTGGTGAATGAACATGAGGAGGACGAGACGGATCCCGAGGATAAAATCAAGAAGAACAAGGGGGAAAACCAGTCTGACAGTACTGGGACAGTTCAAGAAGAAAAGATCCAAAACCAGGACATGAGACAAAGACCAGTTAGCAATGATGGGACCGTAAATAAACAAGAGCTGACAGTGAACCCAGCTGGAGGTGTTTCAGAACTGTCTACAGTTCCACTCAATGCAGACGCACAAAACAGACAGCTCCAAAATCTCCAAACAGATCAGGACTTAGAGAAAAATAAAGGGACACAGCCAAGGTCAGGAAGTGATGTAGACTGTCAGAAGACTGAGTCTGAGAAAGAGGAGTCAAAGGAAGAGGAGAAGGAAGAGACAGGGAGAAAAAGGGGGAGACCGAACCAGGGAGAAGGAGACCAAGCAGATCCTGGTAGTCAGTCAGTGACTTGGAAAATTGAAGAGGGAGAAAAACCCAATCAACACAAGACCAACAAAACAAATGAAGAGGACAAACCAAGTCCTGAGAATAAACCAGAACAAGATAAAGAACCCTTAGACCAGTCTGGTGGTACTGGATCAACTCAGCAAAAAGGGAACCAGGGGCAGGGTACAGGACAAAGACCAACTTCTCAAGATGAGGTTGCAAATAAGGAGGAGAAGATGGAAAGTATCAAAGAGGATCTACCACCTCCAATGGATCCACTGGATGGAAAATGCCAAAGATCACAGCCCCCAAACCACCGTACTGATGGGGACAGGAAGGACAGGGGACAGGAACAGCCAGGAGGTGATGTCATCAACTCAAACTCTGAGTCTGACAAAGAGGGGTCAGCTTCTTGCCTTGGTATAGGTGAATCAACTATTTTGGTTCTTGAAGACTCAGCAGGCTGCTAACTTTCTCTGCAAACATGGGGCACGAACTCAAAATCCTGGCCTCAGACAATTTCAGTCTTTCTGAGTTCATGAGAATAGAGCTAAGAAAATTAAGCTCATATGTTGCCACTGACTTTTTTATTTACTTTAAACCAATGACTATAAAAATATAAATGACAACCTTTTAACTAACATTAAAGTTGCTGTGAGAAATGATGTGTCAAATTTGGCGCCCCCCTGTGGACAAATCAGCCATGTCTTCTGACAAAAAATCTCAACGTCCTGACTTTTGAGCTTTATTTTTATTTTATTTTTTTGTTTGTTTGTTTGTTGTTTGTTTTCAATAACAAATCTAAATTGATTGGTCAAATTATTCTGATGCAATTTTTTAAACCTATTAAGATAATTGACATCCTTAACGTTCAATCTTCTGCTTTTGTTTTATTTGCTGTAGTTTTTAAACAGCCAGTTTGATTTTGTTTTTTTTTTATACCTTTTATGAACTATGTCACAGTTCTGTTGTATTTTATGTGAATCTTTTTATTTTACCTCTTCTTTAAAATGTGAAAAATAAACCTATTTGAGCTTTAATTTTTGGTGTCAGTTGTCCTATGATGTAAATGTTACATTCTGGATGAAACTGCAGTTTATTGTTAATTTGTTTGTATTGATCTGTTTTAAACATTTCTACACTATCATTCAGTATTAAAATGGGAGATAAATATCAATACATTTAAATATGAGGTCCATATTATTGCTCCTGCAAAAAGTAGAGCTGGAATTTCTAAAACTTCTACTTCACTGAAAATAATCATCAGCTATTAAAACTCTCTGTTTTACTAAGTGCAGTGTAGTGTGTCATTTAATGAGATAATTGTTCTTTATAAAACCTAACCTGCTGAGCTGGTTCACAAAGAAAAAGATAACTGAACGTAGACCAAGAGGAGCAAAGATGTTAACCCTAACCATCTTTATCTTCTGGGTTGAGTGGAAAGCAAAGTTTTTTGAAAAACACATAATCCATCATCTGTAATGGCACTGTAACCACACCTCTCAAACATAACAAACAAATGTGGAACTTCTACCGTGAATCAAACTTTATAGTACGAACTCTGAGACTTTGAAATACAGGCCTGCCTGATAGATAGAATGCGCTCAGTACGGATCCTGTATGTTTTCGGCTCATGTTTCTGTCAAAGATACTGTGTTTTGTCAGGCTTTTGTACAAGCTAAGCTAATGGCCATTAATTTTAGAACTGGTCAGTTAGGTTGTGGTTGGCTGCACTTCTTGCCTTGCTCTATTTTAGTCGTCCCAGCTTCACTGTCAGTACATTTTTTTAATACTTATTTAGAGCAGGGGTTCTCATCCAGGTAGGCTATACTGTAAATACTGTAATTCATAAATGACAATTAACTAAGTCCCAGAAAAACAGGACAGCAAACAGTCCCCAAAAAAGGGAGTAAATGATCAAATAACGCATAGGCATGGGTTAATTAGTTGCACCTGTTAAGATGCTCAATTAAACATGCACTTGTATTGAATGTTTAGTTCAGTCTGCACCGCTCAGCTTACCAGGGTGCAGCATTTTTCTTGCCAATGAGTGAGCCGGTGACGAAAAAAAGTGTTGAATGTAATTATTTTTGTTTGCCTTTTGTGTTTTTGCTACTGTGTACACATTTATAAATTACAGTATTTACAGTATACCAGGATGAGTTAGAAATATATGTATTTATATGATGAATTGTATAACTAAATGATATCAATCTCAAATTACATTGTATCAATGTGTCACACATTCATGTCTCAAAATGAAATAATGTTTGTGACCTACATGGCTTTGGTCTGTTTACCTCCTAAAACTGTTTGTCTAATATAAGGCTGAAAATCAGTCCCTCAGAATCAAATATTATAGGTAAACTATACATTTCCTGAATCCTTAGGATCATGTTAGTTCCAGATGTGGTTTTTTGTGTCTCTGATATTTCTTGATGGCACAGGACTAAAAGAAATAATATAATTTAGGCAGAAATTGTGTAAAACATGTTTTATTAGAAGTTTGAAGAGCTCCAGTAACCACTGTACTTGTCCCACATATACGCAAAAGGGCTTGACTGAAAGCTCGAAGTGTCCCCTTAAAAATGACACCAACCACTATAATAAAGAACATTGCAATATGCCCTTAACATGAGCCAATACCAAGATATGCACCCACGTCTAAAATGCCATTTTTCAATGGGAAAGGGTAACTTTGGCAGCTGATAACACCAATTTAGCTGTGTTTTAGGAAGGGGTATCATACCAAAATATTATATACAGACATAGAACTTCTCAAAAATGATAAGTAACCTTTGCCACCTTGAGTGTCTCCCGGTCGACGTGGCCCCCAAAGGTAGCGTCTTCCTCACCTCAGATCTCAGTGCCCAGTCATGTCTCCTCACCATCAGCTGCTAACTGTGTAGATGCGTATGTATGTGAAGTTGTGTGTGTGGAAATGTATGTCTATGTTCACGGGTGTGTGTATGGGTATAATTGTGCGGGTGGGAGGTTTGGGGTTTTCTTGGGGATTTTAATGTTTCATTTTGTTTTTATGCTTTGTAAGGCACTTTGTGTTACAACTTGTAGGAAAAGTGCCATATAAATAAAATAAAGTTGAAGTTGAAGTTGAAGTTGAGTGGTGGCGACATCTCGTATGGCCCGTGGACAACTTTGGGAAACACTGGAGATAAAAATAATAAAAATGTTAAAAAGAAAAGTAAAACCTGATGGACTAAAACAAGAAGATAATATAAAATGAACAAATAAATAAGAATAAAAATACATAAATTATACATTAAGAACTTTGATTAAAATGAACATTTGCAATAAGATAAATAAGACAAGGCTATCAGTGACAAGCCTGGTTAAAAAAGTGAGTCTTGAGCCTCTTTTTAAAAACATCAACCGTCTCTCTGGCCCTGAGGGTCTCCTGCAGGCAGTTCCACAACCAGGGACCATAGAAACTACAAGCCATCTCCCTGTGTGTTTTTGCTTTGACTTTGGGTAAGGTTAAAAGGCCTGTGCTGGAGGACCTCAGGGTCTGCGAGGGTTGATATGGTAAAAGTAGATCAGATAAATAGGAGGGGCCAAGACCATCAATGCATCTAAAAACTAATAAAAGAAGCTTAAGATCAATCATGATACAGATGGGGAGCCAATGCAGCGATGCTAAAACTGGGGTTATATGCTCTGTCTCTTGTCGGCACTTTTGCAGCTGAATTTTGTAATAATTGAAGGGTATATAAGGTCTTGGGGAGGCCAGAGAGCAGAGCATTACAATAATCTAAATGTGAGGAGATAAAAGCATGCATCAGCACCTCCATGCTGGCCTGGGAGAGAAACAGGCAGACTCTGGCTATATTCTTAAGTTGGTGAAAACCTACCTTTGCTATGTTTTTGAGCCTGTGTGTGAGCCTCTCTTCCTGTAGCGACTGAATGTCACCAGTCAATCGAAGCGGGACGCTTGTCCTTCTTACCTGGTCGTTTGAGTGGCTGGGACAAAATAGTTTTTTTTTTTTGTTTGTTTTTTATACAACTATGTGTTCTCAGTGGTCTTTAAACTGTAATTATTATCATTTTAAGGGCTTTTCTTCTGCAGAGCTCTAGTAACTCATTGGCAATTTGCCTAGGGACATGATGAAAGCTAATATCATAATTAGCTTTCTTACGAGCATTGCAATCTGCTAACGCACAAGCTTGTTGTGCGATCATCCTCTGTATTTCTCCTCTATATGAAGAGTGTGGCCTGCAAAACGGGGCTCCAGGGGCGGAGCTTGGATTGGTTATGCATGAAATCTCACTGTTTCTGAACCTGCCATTTGGGTCTGCCAGAGATTCACAGCGATTTGAATGAAGACATATTCAGAAAAGTTATTTAGCACTTAGTTTTCTCATGATATGTCCTGTAGCGTCAGAAAAATGTCATATGAACATATAAAAAACAAACTAAAAACAACAACATGATTTTCATCAGGGTGGGTCTTTAAATCCAGGATTCAAATTCTGGTCTGGCACTGAAAACTTGGGACTTGGACTATAACTTAAGGATCCAGTTTGACTTGTAGGGTTACTGACCCTTCTCATACCATCATGCTGTTGGTTCTCAGAGTCGTGTTCATAAGGAATTTCCAGAAGGATCATTTAAGAGGACTCCATCAGCACTGAACACTGAATCTCCCCTCAACAATTATTTTACAGCATCACTGTTCTCCTTGATGTTTCATCTGTCTTTAATTTTCAGACTTAAGGATGTTTCCTCTGATGTACAGACAGTCCCCCAGTCTTCACTTTGGTGCCTTCACTGACCTGCTTTTCCTCACTGTCATGCTCCTCACCCTGATAAAGTCATGTGCAGGTGAACTACCAACATTTAAGTTTAACTATTTTGTAGGCTACTTAAAGTACTTCCCGCTGCTCTTTTATAAACTGTTTGTAGTGGCTATCTAATGTCTTATTTTTCCTGACTGTTGCATTTGTTTCAGGTTTCACCGTTAAGTTTTACCGCAACAAATGATTTTTGGTTCAGCGCCTCTCAATTCTGAAAAACACAGTAGAAAAGTTCAGAAGATGGAGACCCGAGCCAATTATTTTCCTTACCGGAATTGCTCTTTATTACAAATCCAAAAACACATATAAAACCATATAACATGTTCCTCTATGCAAGAATGTCTGTGTTAGTGTCCATATAAACATCTTTTTCACATCAAAACGGGCAATACTAAATTATATGTCAAATGTTCAGGGTTCTCGCTTTAAAAATAATGTTTGGAGATTCATACCTTCATGCTAAAAGTGAGCTCAAATATCGGGGGAATGTTAGGGTTATAAGCTACATGGGTTGTAGGATGATTGTTTCCCGCACTGATCGGTGGGGCTATTTTTAGTGATCTTTCTGTCTAACATGCTAAAGTCCATCAACAACACACTACAAACTCGCACTTTGTTTAGTTTAACATTGTTTAGATGTAAAGATATAATTTTGTGGATTTCACAGTTTACAAACCTGAAAAACACAGTAGAAAAGTTCAGAAGATGGAGACCCGAGCCATTCATTTTCCTTCCCAAATTTGCTCAGGGGAGGGGGTGATCCCTTCAGAAAGTCGTCTGGGCACAACGCATACTGGCTCATTAATTTTCCTTCCCAAAATTGCTCATTAACTAAAGTTCCTTCACACCTCAAATTTGTGTAAAATAAATACTAAGGTTTTCAGTATGGATAGAAAAAGTATCACACATTTCAAAGTTTACTTATTTTTACAACCACTCTTGAGTGACAACAAGAATGTTTTGTATGTTCAGTCAGCTTGATGGCCAACAAGCAAATGCAAGACAATGGTGGCCCTCTGCCGCACTCATTTATTGAGAACAACAACACAAACTTTCAACACTGTAAGCTTAACTGAAGCCTTTGTCACATGACAACTGGAGCTACTAAGGACAGCAATAAACAGGCATCAAATACAGGAAACAAATCAGCAAACACTCAATAACATCCCCAAATCCAAACAAAATGTACTTCTCTCTGCACTTCAGCAAATTATATACTAAAAAAAACACAAAACAACGTTTTCATAGCTAAATGGCGTTGACGCTGTTGTAGCATTTTGATTTTATAATAAATGTCCCAAGATTAATAATTGATAAAAATCTTAAATTATGACAATTATGCACTCGTTAAAAGGGGCACCACTTAGAAGACTAAGAAAAAGTAAAACTAAGTTGTAAGAGTCTTAGAGAAAACAAGAGGGAACTAAGCGGAAACAAAGAAAAGAATACTGAGCAAGTGAAAACACAGAAGAGAGCAAGCACCCCAACTTTACTGGTTTTATCTCCTTCACACTGGGAGTGTCTCTGGGATGTGTGTGTGAGGAAAGAGAGGATGGGTCGCTGGTCTCCAACTGCAGCTCTTTGAAAGGAGACCTTCAGGACCACTGATTATTTGATCTAACTTATACTTTTGGCAAGTAAAAGAGTCAGATCTGATACTCACTCACCATGATTAATGTGAATGAACTTTTGGTTCACAATAAATGATTTGATACTAAACACATACAAAGAAAAGTAGAATCACTTCAAACATTGTCATTATGTTTTAAGTATCACGTTGGACATGTTAAATTACTCTGAAATGAAACAGATAGTAACACATAGAAACTGTGAACAACAAAAGAGTAAACACGTGAATGAACTTCATTATTAATAATTGGTTCTATTTACTAACATTCAGATTATTCAATGACTTTATAACCACCTAATTGTTAAAAATACCAAATCAACAATTAAAATGTAAAACAAACACTTCTAAACCATTACTTAGAGTAAAGTTATGATTCATACTTAATACATTTAACTCTTAAAAGTTCATGAAACAGTCTGGAAAGCTTTTGGTCTAAAGAAACTAAAAATTAAAGTATTTATTCTGTCAGAGTGATAACTTGGCTTCTGGAGCATATAGAAAAACAGGACACATCTAATTTTAACACAAATTTCATGATTAGACAGATCAGCACATTGCTGAACCTCAAATGGGAGACCTGAATTTAGGCATTAAATTTAGATGATCAGTGATGAAGTCAGTTTGAGGGGAATAAAAACTCTGTCTCTGTGTTCCAAATTGACCTGTTGTGAAGAGCCAGAGGTTTAGGTCAACCTCCGGTTGGGTCAGCTGAGTAACCTGAATGTGCAAACAAGTCTGTAAAAATTTATATTATCTTGTGTCTGGGACCAGATAAGGAACCTTTCCTGCAAGGAACGTGTGAGTTTGACACACAGGGTTGTCTTGATGCTACACTGTTCTCTGCCCTCTGTTTCAGGTCAGAGGCTGGTTGGTTCGTCTCAGCCTATAGTCACATTAGTCGGTGAGGACGTGGTTTTGCCGTGTTACCTGGACCCTGCTGTTGATGCTTATGACATGACTCTGGTGTGGAAAAGACCTGACCTGAACCCCAGATATGTCCTTGTGCAGTGCAACGGTGAAGAAGCAGGATTTTAAAAAAATCCAAATCTCCAAAGTCAAACTCTCAGATGAAGGAGGATACAGATGTTTTAGTCCTGAGTTATCTCAACATACTACAGTCCAGCTGGTTGTGGGTAAGTCTGAACATTTTCAGGTTTTTAAACTGACCTTACATGTCTCATTGGTCTTTGCTATGAATAAGTAATGATATAGTTGAAGTGATATTTCATCATGATGAAAACTGTCTGTTTATGATCATACTTTTGGTTTATGTTTGAGTTCAGAATTTAAGGAAGGACCTAAAGTTCGAGATTCTCCTGTTAGACAAAAAAAAAAAAAAAAATTCAAGAGTCAAGTCAGAAGATGGTGTTGAAACTGGTTATCAAACTTTGTCATTTCAAAGTAGTTTTGGGGGCTTTGTTGTGGCAGGTTTCTACTTAAAGAGTAGACAAGTACCAGAACAGGTACAAAGAGAAAACTGTGAAGCCAAAGACACCTCTCTCTCCTGTAGGAGCTGTCTCCTCACCTGTTTTAAGAGTGACCAGACACAACAGTGGAGTGTTGTTGGAGTGTGAGTCTAAAGGCTGGTATCCAGAACCAGAGATGTTTCTGTTGGACGCTGAGGGAAACCTTCTCTCTTCATCACCCACTAAGATGATCAGAGGTCCTGATGATCTCTACACTGTCAGCAGAAAAGTGACTGTGGAGGAGAAACACAGGAAGAACTTCAGCTGTAGAGTCACACAGAAGAAGATCCACCAGAGCAGAGAGACACACACTGTTATTCCAGGTAAATCTGAGTCAGAAGTTCATGATGTGATCTCTGAGCTGAACTCTGAAGTTTTTTTGTTTATCATTGCAGATAGTGTCTTCATGGTCCCAGCAACTCTAACTACTCCAAGTCCTCCTGGTACTCCTGTTAATCCTAATACTCCTGGTACATTTTGGCAGAATTCATGATAAAGCTACAGACCCTCCACAGGTCCAGTATGCAAATTTTTTTGTAGGATGGTAGGGGAAGGTACCGCCCTCCTTCGCCTTTGATTGGCTAGAAGTGCTGGGCTCTGATTGGTTATTCCTTATGGCTGTGAAATTTTGTCGGCTGTTCAAATTGGGGTTAGGATAAGGGTTAGGATTAGGATTAAGGTTAGGGTTAGGCGATTCAGAAGTGTGATACTGTTCTGTAATACAACAGACTGGAAACAGTGCACAGGCTACACCACTTGGCCCAGTGGAAAGCAACAGTTCTAAATAGTATCTTGAACAGAATAGAAGACTCGGTTTTATGAAGTAAAGCTTTAATTACTGCACACTGCGGTTCTTGTTCTTTTGACATATTTGTGCAATAATTGTTTTTATTTGTAAGTCATATTTATGAAGGGCACATTGACATAAGTTCAACTCAGTCGTTTCAGTTAATGTGGCAATAAAGATTTGAATATGAATTTGAATATGAATTTGAATTATCAGTATATATCAGTATGGTCTGCAGCAGAGTCTCTTGTGTATGAACTGTATGAACCCTTAGTGAGACATGCTGGTGGAGTACAAACACACCGTTTTATGCAGGTGAGGTAAGCTTATTTCTTCTCTATTATACCCTGACCTCATGGATCCTTCTGTACACTCCAAAATCATCTGACAGATATGAATATGTTTTTAAACATGTTCCTCTTTATTCCTCCAGAATTGAGTTATCTGTCTTTCCAGGATGTTTCCTCTGATAGACAGACAGTCACTTAGCCCTCACTTTGGTGCCGTCACTGACCTGCTCTTTCTCACTGTTGTCTTCACCCTGATACACACCTGTGCAGGTAAATCACAAACATCATTAACAGCCTGTTAATGTGAAGTAACTTCATACTGACTGAAAAAAAGCACATTTTCCCATTACATTTTTATCCTAGTTTTGTACCCATAATCCAAAATTAGGACCAGATCCTTGTTTCTCATTCAGGTCAGGAGCTGATTCTTCCATCTCCACTAATTGTGTCATTGATTGGTGAGGACGTCACTTTACCAACTCACCTGGACCCTGCCATGAACACCTTTGATACAACTGTTGAGTGGTCTAGACCTGACCTGGACCCCAGATTTGTCTTAGTGTGGCGTGACGGCATGGAGCTAGAGAGTAAAAAACACCCGACCTTCAGAGGAAGATCATCAGTGTTTATTGATAAACTGAAACATGGAAACGTTTCACTGAAACTCTCCAAAGTCAAACTCTCAGATGAAGGAGGATACAGATGTTTCATTCCTACATTATCCAAAGATTCCAATATTCAGCTGATTGTGGGTGAGTCTTTTGAAGATTTTAAACTGACTTTGCTTAAGATATGCACCAAGTGTAATTTTGATGGAGCCTGCAGGCAGAACCTGTTAATCTACAAAACATGAAAAGAGGTCTTTAATTCTGACTAGATCTCTGGGATCAAGTTGGTTAAAGAATTCATCTTCTCTGTGTAGGAGCTGTCTCCTCACCTATTTTAAAAGTGACCAGAAACACCAGTGGAGTGTTGTTGGAGTGTGAGTCTAAAGGCTGGTATCCAGAACCAGAGATGTTTCTGTTGGACGCTGAGGGAAACCTTCTGTCTTCATCACCCACTAAGACGATCAGAGGTCCTGATGATCTCTACACTGTCAGCAGAAAAGTGACTGTGGAGGAGAAACACGGGAAGAACTTCAGCTGTAGAGTCACACAGAAGAAGATCCACCAGAGCAGAGAGACACACCTGTATGTATCAGGTAAATATAACTCTAAGGTTGATAGTATCGAATAAACTCACTGTTAATGTGAACAAAGTCCTCTTGTACCATTTTGGATCAGTTCTTTCTGGTTTCAGCCTCTTCTGATAATCCTGGTCCTCCTGATCATCGGGGTGTTGTTATCGGCTCAGTGATCAGCTGCGCTGGTCTGGCTCTTTTGGTCATCTTTGCCGTGTGGAAACGGAGACAAACTAAATTCAGTAAGTCAAACATGTCTTCTGATTTAAAGTTTTACTTTACTTTTTCATCCCTGTAAACTTCACCAACCTTTGTTTCATATTTCACCAGTTTGTCCTTCTTCTCTGTCCACACAGAAAACAAGACGCAGAGGGATCTCACAGGGTTTACTGCAAAAAAGGGAGAAGAAGAAAGCATTTCATTTAAGATGACAACAGAGGACCAGAATCAAGTAGAACTCTGAAGACATCAGGAGGAAACCAGAGCTCAGGGGAGGGACCAACAAGCTGATATTGATGATACTCATGGGGGGGATCAATGAGACGCCAAATCGAATCACCCCAGGAAACGAAGGAAAGGAGGCGTGAGGTAACAGGGTGTGGTGTCTGAAAAACTATGACTGAGACCGGAACAATACAAAACCAGGGAGTTCAAAACCAGGTCAAAGAGAGAGAGGAGCTGAGCATCCTGAGATCCTGCAGAAAAAGGAGAAGACTTACAGAGATGAAAAAGGTCTCAGTATAGACACATTTTAAAGCAGATGTCTTCCTCATTCCATAAAAAATCTTGTGTTTCCCTGGATATTCAAACATAAAATGGGATATATTTTATCGTTTTATCGTTCCCACCAGAAAAGCTGGATAAGTAGAAGTGTGTTCGGGAGGCTGATCATGATGTGAGTTTCTGAGACCTCTCCTTCTCTTTATTTGTGTAAAAAGGTTCATTATCTCTGAATGCTGTCTTATCAAAGCTTTTCACAGTAAAAAACACAGTTTCTGTTTGACTTTTCCCATGATTTCACTAAAAGAAGTGTGCTACTCTGCTGTATGTGTTGATAGAATACTTGTTGATAATGGAGTCACAGTTTGAAACACTTTCTGAATAATTATAGTAATAACAACTTTACCTGTACCAAACTTTAAAAAAGGAAACATATTAACATTTCTGACTGCCCCCTCATATGTGCATTCCTAGAACCGGCCCTGTCCTAGGCCCACTAGTGATAGTTTTAATCTGTGTCTAGTCAACACTCATCAGCTGTATTTTAGTGTTGGAAGTGGTTGCTGGCTTGAATTGTAACCTGAGTAAAACTTCCTTCTCATGGGATTGCAAGAGAGGTCTGTATGAGACAAACCATCATTGTAATATACAGAACATATTTCACCCATTCTTGAGAGTCGGGACAAAACATGTCCTACATAGAAAAGTCTAATTTATTCAAAACAATTAAGAAATTCTAAATGTTTGACATACTCAAAAAGTTAAATCTAATGGATTTGTGTATACCAATCCTATTTTTTAGCACAGATATTTACTTTTTTGGGGGATATTTGTTTAAATGAAACGTCTGTGGTTAGAAGGTGCATGTTATTGCTTGTGTCCTCAGCAAGAGGTCACAATATTGACCAGCCCCAAAAAACTTTTAAAAACTCTATAATTGTGAAAACATATACATCAAATAAAAATTCAGGGCTATAAATATATAAACAATGAATGGCCTGAACATCAAATAGCTTTTTGCCTAAAAATCTGCCTATCAAAGTTGTGTCCTCAGTTTCTGTCAACTCCATCAGATTATTCTATAAACCTCATTAAATCATGCAATATCATGGTCAGCTATATCCCTGAGGACCCCTTTTCATTTCCTGCTTCTGGTGAATGCAACACCACCACACATGTGCTGCGTCCGAACTGCCCGCTCGGATACTACATGCTACTGCTACGTGCTACTGCTAGATCCTACTCCTACATACTAAAAACGTTGGCCCAATTCGGACACACTAGACGAGCGGTGGGGAAAGACGACCCCCGCAGGCAGAGAGTAGGTACTGCGCCCGTGCAGACAGTGGCAACTGAAGCTCCTCATCTGCGGGCCTGGCTGTAGTACTGCAGCTGTGCAGTTTAATGATGGAATAAGTGAGCTTTACCTCCATGATGTCGCCACATATTTGCTCATAAAATGATTACTTGGGCAAATATGACACCATGACATGACAAAGAGATACAACCGCACATTTTTTAGGACAGTGTGTGAAGTTACATGAAACTTACATCTGTACTGCTGCGGTCCCGCCTGCTGCTGCTCCGACATGGTGCGCGCTGCTGTGGCCAGCCGGCGTTCGCGACACTTTTAAATAGGCAGAGCAGCTGGTGGCGCTAGCATCACATAAGCTTCTACAACTTTTAAGAGGACGAAGAAGAAGCCCGCGGTGCATTTTGGGTCAGTAGCATGCCCGTAGGATGCACCGAGACCAACCTACAATGTGGGCGTGTCTAGCATCTGAAGTAGTATCTGAAGTAGCATGCTACTCGCTCCGGTGGCCAATTCGGACATGCTAGATACTACTTCGACTACTACTTCGACTACTACTTGGCAATTCGGACGCAGCTCTGGGCTGTGTCCGAAATGGCATACTGCCTACTATCTACTTACCTACTCAAGCAGTAGCTACTGCCTACTGACTACTCAAAGATGATTTGAGTATGCCGCGGCTGCCCGAGCGTTTACACACATACATACTAAATACCCCAGAATGCATTTCGTGCCGGCCGGACGCAGCGCCGGGAAAATTTAAATAGTCCTACCACAAGCTACACAGAACGACTGCATCCCGGACAAATTATATAAATTCATTCAATAATAATATTTTTTCTAGCGAGAAAGTAAGTGTTTACATCACGATTATGAGCCCAGTTGTTTGAAATAGTGGCTGTTTGTAAATTTGTCTCGGCGTTTTCGGAGACCGAAGCGTCCACTTGGTCGGTGTTTGCGTCTATTTACCGTAAACACCGGGCAGCAGCAGCTCCCCCTTCACGTTTCCAAATTATTGCGAAGTGTTTTCATAATCAACATCTACACGACACAAACCGGGCGACAGTGGATGAAAAAAATCACACAAACATCCGTGTATCCATGGTGATAATGCTATACACCACCTGCTAGGCGTGTGATGAGCAGCAGAGGGCTGCAAAATGACCAACACACAACATAATTATTATGACCTCGTTCGGTTATTCCTTGGCAAATACATCATTTCCCGACTACATTCTTTTCATGTACAATGATTATTTCAGAAACCATCAGATTTTCAATCACAAGTAAGAATTAGTAAAGCTCACATAGATTGTCAACTGGAAACTCCCCCGTTTGTATATTCTGAACCATGTGCTCTCTACCAAAGATAATTTTTATTAATCAGAGGTCTGAGCTTAATATGAGCGACCACTTTGATGATGCATTCAGAGATGAGAAGATGCTCAAACTTGATGTAATAAATACATCTTTAATAGACACTTAAATAAATAAAGTCAATTCATACGAATAGTTAAAAACATTACTTATAATCCTAATTTAAAATACAAATAAATCTGGTAAAAAGATCAAAATATGATAAAATGATGAAAATTGTGTAATGTATACTGACTAAATATTGTTTATCTATTTATATATATATCATTATTATTGCAATCACATGCCATCTATTTCTTTTCAGCCTCGGGAAGGAGGGCCATATTACCAGCTGAGATGCGCAATGCATTGTGGGGCAGAAGCAGTACGTGAAGCAAGCTCCGTTGCACACTCAGAAATCGAAGCTGATTGAGTATACATCCGGGCATTTCTCGCATACACAAAATTCACATACTGTACAGTGTGAACGCACTGCCTACTCAATTCAGAGGCGGGGTTCGTAGGAGTAGTAGGAGTAGTAGGCCATTTCGGACACAGCCATGGTCTGGTAGGTTTTACAGTTTTTGATATTTTAGACAAACAATGTCAATATTTGTATGGTCACAGCTGGACCATGTCAACACCGTCTCTCCATTATTATACTTTTTTTTAAACCATAGTGAGTTCAATTAAAGTATTTTAGTGAGATTATCAGGACAGTTAGCAACTGCCAAAAAAGTAGCTAGCTGCACTGTACAATAAATGTTTTGGAGGGAAAATACATGCCCTTACGTCAACTCCGTCAGACGTCAACTCCGTCAGATTTTGTGTCTGACGGAGTTGACATGTAAGCTGATGGAGTTGACAAATCCACCTATAACCTCTTAATGTGCTGACATTATGCTATTTTTGAACATGGTTAAGGATAACAATGTTATTCCAGGGTCTTATCTGCACATAAAAGTACATATATAGCATATATTACGTTATTTTACCATATACCTCTGTTTTGTAGAGTAGACCATGGGCAGGCTGTCTGCTTAATTATAACTGTCAAACTTTTCCAACACACACACACACACACACACACACCTAATCTCATTGATTGATTGATTAATATACAATCCTAAAGGTGCAGTATGTAATTTTCACTACCTAAAATCTACACACTGGCTTCTTATAGAGTGCGCAAGAAGTTCTATGTTGCTCTTTTAAACCCCAGTGTAGGTGGGATACCAGATAGAAGAAAATGGTTATTATTTTTACATTGTTAACTTGGACCCTCAGACCTTGGGCTCTATTTTTGTGTCCACCGGCGACATGGCCGAGGGTGGCGAACCCCGCGCAGTGCCATTTTCATCTGGCGGAGCTCAGCGTACAGCCAGTTTGGTATTTTCGTGGACTGAGGTGCACCGAGGTCCGCCAAGCTGGGCGTGGATGTGTGGCAGGGTGAGGTGTCCACAGAATCAGCTGGTGCAGTGACATTTTCGTACTTGTTGCCGGCGTGTAAAGTGCGCTGAAAGCTCGCAGATTCAAACCTGGTCAGCTTTCAGCGCAGGTGGATCCGGATGGGCTAGTGGTATTTTGGGAGACCGGCGGCATATCGGCCTCACCAGCAGGTTTCCACAGTGTCAGGAACATTTCCGTGCAATTAATAATCAATAACAACTAATAATCTGTGTCAGCACATACATTTAGATCTATATCGATATATTCTGATCTATATCTGATCTGATGAGCGCATTTGGCATGCGTTTGGACACTCAACCTGACCAAATTAACACAGCTGCTGAATCCGCATGAAATTGAATCAAATATCCTGTAAATAAACACACATGATGAAGTTAACAAGATATTTAATTTGTCTGCCCCCATTTCTAGCTTCCTCGTCCTCTTATTTCTCGCGCAGCTCAACCTGGACATGTCTCCGTGTCCTCTACCCGTCCTGCTGCAGCTGCTGCTGCGGCAGCTGAACAGATGATTTGTTCCAGTGATCAGATGAGTTTTTTACTTTAAGCCTACATACAAATATTATAATAATCAGTTTTGTGAGCCAAATTTATTTTATATGCCAACATCTATGAAAGAAAGAGCCAGGCCACGGAGCGCGATTTACACACAGATTGGTTCCGATTTTAATGCCATTATTGGAATTTATGTTGTGACCTTTGCGCACAACCCACCTTTGTCACGTGAGGTTTAAATATATGCAATTTAATGTGATTGTCTTTATTTGTGGAAAAGGGTGTTTGTCTTACCAGTGGGTCCAACATTACACACACCAAATCCATCTGTGCTTATATGAGACAGTGCGGAGGACGCCCAATGCAGCGCTTACAGTGACACTTGTTGAGGAGCTGCCTTCTGTCGCCATCGTGTGGCATTGCTGTCTTCAGACATCTCTTGATCTCTTTGACTACTTCACGAAAATGGTAATACGCCTCGCTAGTGGCGGATTCAAAGGCGAGAAGAGCTGATGTTATTGGTCAATACAGGTCTTGGCTGTGTTAAACCCACTCAACGCCCTCTCTCCTCCCTCCCTATGACCTACGCTGCTGGAGGGAGCTGAGTTAGGGGAGGGGGGATACTTATGCCGGGCTGCACAACTCACCAAAATACGAAAATGTGCTTGGAAACGCCTTGTCGGCGCGGTGGTTAATTGCATTAACGGTATGTTCAGTATGAAAACAAGGAGTTATTAGTTCTTAATCTATTTTCACCTATTGACCTATTGTCAATCAGTTTAAAAACACATTTGTTCAATAACATATGCGATGTCATCAACTCTGTCAGTTTCTCGTCAACTCCGTCAGGTGTTCGTCAACACCGTCAGATGTATGTTTTTCTTCAATTTTGGAGAAAAAAAAAATTGTTTCTTCAGTTTATATTGTTTAAGTAATAAAGGAGCATTGGCTCTACATCCTCTTGTGTCTTATTTACTTACAGAAATTGTTTTTATAATATAAAAATTAAAAACAAAGTTTGAAAATGCAACTATTTAGAAATCTTGGTTTTCAAAATAGTGTGAAATCACACATTAGGTTTATATATTATATTTCATGGCATATCAGAGTAACTAAACACTATTACAACATACATCAGAACTTTAGATTCTTGTTGGACTAGAATTATTAAAATTATATTCTTTTTTGTGTGTCTGATGGAGTTGACACAAATCCACTGTCTAAGGGAAACATGTTAATTTATAGAAAAAATGTTTTTATTTAGAGCCTGTTCCTTTACGGGGTTAAATAGCTAAGACCTTTCTCTACAGTAATAAATAACTCTAATCAATATAGTGTGCATTCTCAAAAAAAGTTTTTTAGGAAGTGTTTTGTCCCGACTCTCAAGAATCCCTGATTTATTTTGCAGAATGCTAACTACTACCTGGCCTGTGGTAAGAGTTCAGGAAACACTGCTGCATTTTAAAACCTTTTTTCAGAAACATCACATTTCTGTTGAAGTATCTGAATCCTACTTTTGCTCTTTTTGCACTGCTCTGCTCTTCATTCATTCCTCCACCCTTCACATCAGCTCATCATTTTATTTACACTGTTCTTGTACAGTGAGGTTTTTGTCCAGACATGTAACCCCTGAATCAAACAGAGACAGTTTTCAAACTAAAAATGCAGCTCTAAAGTTTCTTTTATAACCTTTTCTTGTTTTTTGTCTTCACATGTGAGCATGTCCTAAAATGTGATTCCTCAGTCATATTGAAATCATCTGTAAGTTTGCTGCAGGACACACAAAGACAGCAACAGAGTCTCATTTTTCTTTTTTAAAAGTCATCAAATTCACTCATGCTTCTTTTTTCTTTAGAAAGTGAATCAGCTGATGGACATATACAGTGCCTTGAAAAAGTATTCATACCCCTTGAACCTTTTCACATTTTGTCACTCTACAACCACAAACTTACAAGTATTTTATTGAGATTTTTTTTTTAATCATAGATCAACACAAAGTAGCACATAATTGTGAAGTGGAACTAAAATGATACATGTTTTTCAAAAATTTAAACAAATAAAAATCTGAAAAGTGTGGTGTGCATTTATATTCAGCCTCCCAGTGTCAATACTTTGTGGGCCACTTTTTGCTGCAATTACAGCTGCAAGTCTTTCGGAGTATGTCACTACAAGCTTTGTACATCTAGAAACTGAAATTTTTGCCCATTCTTCTTTGCAAAACAGTTCAAGCTCAGCCAGATTGGATGGAGAGTGTCTGCAAACAGCAATTTTCAAGTCTTGCCACAGATGCTCAATGTGGTTTAGGTCTGGACTTTGACTTGGCCATTCTAACACATGAATATTCTTTGATCTAAACCATTCCATTGTAACTCTGGCTGTATGTTTAGGGTCATTGTCTTACTGGAAGGTGAATCTCTTTCCCAGTCTCAAGTCTTTTTCAGCCTCCAACAGGTTTTCTTCCAGGATTGCCCTGTATTTAGCTCCATCCATCCTCCCATCAACTCTGACCAGCTTCCCTGTCCCTGCTGAAGAAAAGCATCCTCACAGCATGAGGCTGCCACCAACATGTTTCACAGTGGGGATGGTGTGTTCAGGGTAATGAGCAGTATTACTTTTCTGCCACACATAGCGCTTTGCATTCAGACCAAAAAGTTAAACTTTGGCCTCATCTGACCGGATCACCTTCTCCCACATGTTTGCTGTGTCCCCTACATGATTTGTGGCAAACTGCAAACAGGACTTTTTATGTCTTTCTGTCAACAATGGCTTTCTTCTTGCCACTAGGCCTGTCACGATAACAAATTTTGCTGGACGATAATTGCGCTACAAATTATTGCCGATAAACGATATTATTGACACCATTTTTTAAATTATAGATAATGATAATATACAGTATGGCATAATAATGCGAGTACATCATGTCAAAAGCAATAAACTTCAATTGCTCAAGATTAAGAACTTTGAACTAGGATGAACAAATATAATAAACAAACAAGACAACCGAAAAACAATGAAAATAAAATGGACCCACATTCTGTTTTATCAAAAACTGCATTCAAATAAAAAACAAAATCACAACTACAAACAATAAAAAAATACCTTGTCTCTGGTACAGAACAAAAACTTCACTCCAAACATAACTATTAAAACAATAAATAAAGTGGAGTCTCGAGTCTGACAACAAAACTGCACTAAATAATTAGCTTTGGGTGCTATTCCTCAACGGGTCAACAAAGAACATGCATGCGCACCTCAAGCACAATCATCCGCGGAGTTGATGTGTGCGCCAGCTGTCCTGTTGTCCTATGGACAGGTTCTCCCACCTGAGCTGTGGATTTCTGCAGCTCCTCCAGAGTGACCATGGGCCTCTTGGCTGCTTCTCTCACCACTGCTCTCCTTGCTTGGTCTGTTAGTTTAGATGGATGGCCATGTCTTGGTAGGTTAGCAGTTGTGGCATACTTCTTCCATTTTTGGATGATGGATTGAACAGTGCTCCTTGAGATGTTCAAAGCTTTTGATATTTTTTATAACCTAACCTTGCTTTAAAGTTCTCCACAACGTTTTTCCCTGACCTGTCTGGTGAGTTAATTGGTCTTCATGATGCTCTTTGTTGACTAGTGTTCTCTAACAAAGCACTGAGGCCTTCACAGAACAGCTGTATTTATGCTGATACTAAATTACACACAGGTGGACTCTATTAGCTAACCAGGTGACTTCTGAAGGCCATTGATTGCACTGCATTTTATTTAGGGGTATCAGGATACAGGGGGGTTGAATACAAATGCACACCACACTTTTCAGATTTTTATTTGTTTCAATTTTTGAAAAACATGTATTATTTTCTTCTACTTCAAAATTATGTGCTACTTTGTGTTGGTCTGTGACCCCCCCCCCCCCCACCACCACCACCACCACCCCACACACACACACACACACACAAGCTCCACACGTTCCTCCAGGTGGGAGATGGAGAGGCTGCTGGACATCCTGGAGAGTGCGGCCCCTCAGGGGACAGACTCCAGCCAACCACAGACCCCAAACCAGCGAGGGACTGGTCCCTGCTGGGTCCAGTCTGAGAGTTTAACAACCACCGTGTGAACACTGCAGGAAGTTAAGACGAGTTTAGAAAAGCCTGGAATAACACCACCAGAACCAGATCAGAACTCATGACTGAAATCTGTTCAGAAAAAATAAACAGATTGTTGAGTCATTTTTCGTGGAGATACTGTTTATTTTTCCTGTGAAGTCAAAGGAGAGAGAAAATCAAGTTTTCCTGAAGTTCAACTGAAAATTGTGTTGATGGTTACAGTGTTGAGTTCTTTTAGACTGACCTTAAAGAGATTATAATCGGGTTTCTATTAGGGATGATGATAACAAGCCTTACTAACAGCCGTTATTATTATTATCATTGTTTAAGGCTTTACAATCATGATAATAGCAGCTGTTTTCAGTCTAACATGTCTTTAACAGAGATGACTTTGTTCTGTTGTTTCCTCAGGAAAGTCAGCGAGACTGTGAGCTCTGAACAGTGGCGCTCCTGTCATTAGGCGGAGTAGGCGGCTGCTAGGGGCGCCCGCGAGCAGAAAGGGCGCCAGGGAGGGGAGAAGTTTTTTTTTTTTTCTAAATACTTTTTATTTCGCAATAAAAAGCAATAACAAAAACACAGCAATCTAACAACAGTACATAGAGTCGTAAAGTCTTTAAACAATGGCTAAATCATTTATATATTTGGGCTTAAGTGTCTGTCTGCCTGCAACCTGCCTGCAATTTGGCCACGGTCCCCAATGGACTGCGCACAGGACACGACTCCTCCCCGCCCCCCTGCTCTCTCCTCGTAGTCGTGCTGTGCCTGCTTCTAAGGTAAGTTGGGTTGGTAACTCTCTCTCTGTTTAACTCAACTAGTTACAGCCAGGTAACTTGTAACACAACACACCCGCAGCGCCGCCGCCACGGCTTATGCATCGCCACCACCAGTTCACCACACAGAGAGACCACACCAAGCACAGCCAACAAGGCAATAATAAGCCAAGGCAGGCCAGGCAGAGCAGCGTCAATTATCATCATGGCTTGACTTTCAATTCATTCAAAGTCGTCAGATCACGGCAGTCCAGCATGTTGCAGAATGCAGATCAAAAACACAACGTACTAGCTAAGCAAATCGTTAGTTAGTTGAAGTGACAGATTTAAGGGGGATTTATTAAGACCCTGTTCCCGCGGCCGGTGTTGCGCCATAGAATGCACCCCTGCCGTAGAATGCACATCCACTCTTTTACATTTCTACATTTCTACATTTCTATTCATTAAATGATTCAGTTGTTTTCATTTTGCACATTAGACTTTATTCAAGCAAAATACATTATAGTATTCTTGAAATATAATTGAAATTTCGGCCATGTGGCTGCCATCTTGAAAGTAACAGGGGTCATAGGTCACCAATAGTGTGACTACTGTGGTCACCAGTTGTGAGGTAGAAGGAAGCTTCTGGCCAATTGCAAAGTTCCAAATTTGAATTCTGCACCAAAAGAATTACTGGTTTGACACAGAGATCACCCATATCAGACTTGTGATCGGCTGCCATCTTTAAAAATGTCAGCCATCCTGAATATGAAATAGCAATTTTAGATTATCTTAAAGACATTTACCAAGTACTATGTATGGCAAATAAGTCTGAAATGCCATATTATATCGATCTTTCATAAGAAAACAGTTGTTGCTGGCGGCCATTTTGAAAAATGACTGCCGTGGCGGCCATGTTGAAAACTCATGATGCCTCCACATCCAAATATTTTGGGAATGCCTTTGGTTATAAGTGTACCAAATTTCAAGCTTTTATCACAAAATGCACGATCGTTCTGGCTATCTGCTGCACTGAAAGCAGATTATTGTGAAGAGAGAGGAGAGGGATTAAAAATGAACAGTGACTGTGGATTTACTCAGAGTCACAATCCTGCCTCACAAAGCCTCATCTTCAAAGATGATATGATTTTTTAGTGTTTTTTCTGCCTTTAATATATACTTTTTTTCATATTTATATTTGGGCTTCATGTTGGCTGTTTACAATTCACACCAACATAATCAATAATCAATCTTTTAAATCACGAGCTCTGAAATTAACAGAGGAACAAAAAAAAGTTCAAAAAGTTTCAGCAGAGATTAAACAAGGATAGCTGTCACAGAGTTAGTATGTCAGAGTCATTTATTTACATATGAATACAACACAAACACTGTAATCACCTCCATATCTACACTTCGGTCGCTTTGTGAGACTGGAAGCTTTCAGGTGATTAACAGAGTGTTTCTGAGACATCAGGAGCTTTTCTGTCCCAGAGTGAAGATCTGAGTATCTTGGAGGCTGAACAGGTTCAGTCCTTCAAAACGAAACAAAAAAAAAGTTTATCTGTGATGATTTATGAAATAATTTTAATAAAAATGTGTGACTCTTGTTGTTAACTCACTTTACTGATAGAAGGCTGCCACGTGTAAACACTGGCAGGATGTATAAAGTGACCTTTCATGCACCACAGTGCCGACAGAGTAAAACTAAATGTAAAGAACAAAACTTAAAATTTGTTTTTCATCATCTTTAAAAGCTTTTTAAAGTAAGCTATAAAAGGGTTTTTCGGTTTTAACAAATGTACAGGCATAGCTTGGGCTGAGGTTGGGCCCAGAGTTCCTGGTGACGCCCCTGAACAGCACTGAGGCCTCCCTGAGCCATTATCCTTGGACACACAGTCAGTCATAATACAACAGAGCCTTATGAAGAAACTCTGTTTAGATGTATCTGTCCCCCTTGATCATCTTATTTCTTTTGGATCTTCACTGTTGCCTGTGAGTAAATCTGCACTGCCCTCTGCTGGTAACTAAGACACACTACCACCGAGCACTTCACCTTAAGAAATCAGTCATTTTCATAAAACAGAAAATGAGGGAAACCTTATTCTTAACTTAGAATTATTGTAAATAAAATAAAATAAAATAAATGAAATAATGTCCTATAATTCATTAATATGCCTGACTATGATATTTCAAATGTGGCCTGAGTCATTTTAACGACAGAAATGCAGCCTTTTTTCTGGCTCTTTTACTTTAAAGCCGTGATTTATAGCCCACAGACCCATTTAAATATGCAGTACACATGTTCTTAATGAAATAAAAGGACCGTAAAGTGTATGGGGTAGTAAACTTGAACTCACCTTTCCATGCAGGTGACCAGAAGTACCCTACCTACCTTACTTCCTTACCTTCTTATCGCCTTGTTATCGGACTCTGACCGTGTGACGCCCTCCGTTACCTCGCGGAACTATCAAACAGGTACGAACGTGTGTAGCACCGTTATCACGCCACTAACTGCGCCACTGGACCAGTTCTAGGCTCTAAGGAGTGGGGAGCAAGAGTAATAACACCAGAGACCGTTGCTTTAAGTAGAAAAGGCTGAAATTTACTGAATACAAACACAAATATAAAACACAGTATATGAAACCAAAAATACCCTGCAGGTTTTCAATGAAAAGGTAAGTATAAATGGAGAAAGAAAAAAAATATATATATCTCACTCTTCCTTTTAGTTCTTTAGTTCACCTAGTTTATTTTAATAAAGCTAATCTAATTTAATTAGACCAGTCTCTTTTTCCTAGGTTGTACCTATTTTAGGATTCCTATTTTTTCCTCCTAAGTTAACTCTTTTTTTCCTTCTTTTACAAGTAAGAAAACACCTTAACCACAAATAAATCAAAGTGGACCACAGTTATTCAAATCACATTCAAAAACACAAACTTAATAAAATAAAAGTATGACACTTTAAATTTAAGTTCAAGTCCAAATGTGAATTCAAGTGTTCAGTTCAATGAAAAGTTTCAGTTCGATTCAGTCCAAAAATAATAATTCAATCAGTTCTCAGTTCAAACTAGTTCCTGGTACCCCTACCACTGTGGCAAGGAGTTACCACACGCAGGAGACACCCTCACGATGCGATGGGAAAGATGAGTTCAAGGTCTGGGTCTGGCTCGCCATCTTGAATCCCGTCTGTGAATGTGCATGCCTGCACATGGCAGACCGATCCTCGCTCCGACCGAGCTTCCAACCGTGCAAAAAAACCTGACCAAAACCAATGTGGCTTAGTTCTCATAAAATCCCTGTCAGTTCCCGACCAAGTAAGTTATGGTTTTCAACCGTTTTATCAACTTTTTCACTGCTTTTTCTGTTCATTAATCACTGCTCGTCTTCTCCGGTTCCTCCTCTGCTCTCTCCCTCAGGTCTCTTTCTGCAGCGTCACTGAGGTGCTGCGTCTGTGTCGCTGGTCCCTTAAAGGGGCAGCGACGTCTTTTTTTCTGTCAGCAGACTTTTAATTTTTAATTATCTCTGATGATTAATTGACATTAAATTAGTCACTTTTAACTTTCAAACTTATATATGCAGTTTTTATTCAACTATTTATTCTTATTTATGTCATATTTTAACATGGGTTACATCCTCCCCTCCTTACCTAATGCACGTCCCTGTGCATTTTGAACTTATACTGTTATAACTCTAGGGATTTTTGGAAAGCTAGGTTCTTCAAGGGAGTCTGTAAACACATCACTCAAGGTTTGAAATAAAGACTGAACTATAGTAACCAACGGGTTTCCTAGCTCAGGATAAGTCAGTCTTTTAGCCGCTTTTCTGTCTCTGACGGGTCTTCCCGGACAGTCACTTTCGTTTCGGCTGTCCGTTTGGTCTAGATCACTTGTGTTTTCTTTGCTCTCCTGAGCAGGTTGATTAGAAAGATGGACATTTTCCAGATCCTTCTCAGGTAGGTTTCCAGTTTCCTGTCCAACAGTTGAGTTGCTCTCTTCAGGATCAGGTAGGTTTGTGTCCGCAGGATCAGGTAAGTCTTTCTGTTCGGGATCAGGTAAGTTCAGGTCATAAGTCTCCACTGGAGAATCCTCAAGGAAAGCTTTGGCTACGTCTAAAGGATCTTGCTCAACAGCAGTCATCTCAGGTTCCGGTTCTGGTTCAACCCTTTCAGGTAAGTGTTCCATGGGTTCAGGGGTCAGGTCGAACCCTAGGGTTACCACTGTTAGGTTTCTGTGATAGTTATATTCCTCAGAATCAGATTGGGATTCATCCCCATCGGCTCCATCTGATGTGTCATGTCTAGGATGTTGTCGAGTTCTTGGTCCTCTTACTGCCTTTGACGGGTCAGTTTCACTGTAGATTGGGGTCACAGGAAGGAAACCGCATGGTAGCAGGAGGTCACGATGAAGAGTTCTTTGTGGACCATCTCTTGTCTCAGGTTTCACAACATACACTGGGACATCTCCAGACTGTTTTAGGACAACATACACGTCGGACTCCCACCTGTCCGCTAACTTGTGCTTGCCTCTGAGATGGACGTTTCGGACCAAGACTCTGTCACCTTCTTCCAAGGTGGAGTCAACAACGTGCTTGTCAAACCTTACTTTGTTGCAATTGGCTGTCTTTTTAGCATTTTCAGTTGCTACTCTGTAACTGTCTTCGAGTTGGGATTTCAGGTTGCGGACATATTGCGAGTGAGAGCCTGGCTGATGATTGACTGGTAGGCCAAAGGCTAGGTCAACTGGCAGTCTTGGCTGACGCCCGAACATTAACTCGTAAGGGGTAAAGCCGGTTGTCTCGTTCTTTGTGCAATTATAAGCGTGTACTAACGGCTTGACGTACTCCCGCCAGTGACTCTTCTTCTGGTTCTCGAGGGTTCCCAACATGTTGAGCAGGGTCCTGTTGAAGCGTTCTACAGGGTTCCCTCTCGGATGGTAAGGTGTGGTTCTTATCTTTTGAGTGCCAATGAGCTCACACAGTTCTTTTATTGTTCGGGACTCAAAATCGGGACCTTGGTCACTGTGGAGTTTTTCAGGAATGCCATAATGGACAAAAAAGTGGTCCCAGAGGGTCTTGGCCACTGTCCTGGCTTTCTGATTTGGGGTGGGGACTGCCACTGCATATTTCGTAAAATGGTCGGTAATGACCAGAATGTCTTTTGTGTTACTTGAGTCCGGCTCCACACTAAGAAAATCCATGCACACGAGTTCGAGTGGTCTTGTGGCCACGATGTTGACGAGTGGTGCAGCTTTCTCAGGCATGGTCTTACGTCGTATGCAGCGGTTGCAGGTCTTGATCTTATTTTCCACCTCGGGTGACATTTTGGGCCAATAGAATCGCTTCCGGACAAGATCTAGGGTGCGCTCCGTGCCCATGTGGCCCATGTCATTATGGAGGCTCTTGAGGACTAAAGATCTCAGGGCTTCAGGGAGCACAAGCTGGTAGTGAGTCTGAGCGCCCTCTTGTCGCCTGCGATACAAGATGCCATTTAAGACTTCGAGTTTGTTCCACTCTCAATAAGAGACCAAGCTCAGGAAGTTCCTTCCTCAAGGATGGTGGGGGTTTCTCTCCTGACTCCACTTGCCTGAGTACTTCACGGATGCAGGGATCAACATTCTGTTTGTCTCTTATTTCAGATGGTGCAAACGAGGGGATGACAGGTAAGCCACCAAGCTGATCCTCCTCTTCAAAGCTTTTTGGGAGAGCCTTTGGATGGTGGGCAAGTGACGCAACCAAGGTGGTGCTGGGTAATGTTTCTCCAGAGTGATTGTTGGTCACTTCATGGACAAAGTGCTTCTCACAGATGGCTTTGATGGTGTTTTCATTCAGGTGTGCATAATCAGCCTCTGACAAGTGTCTTTTTGTGAATTGTTGTATCCTCTCCAGCTCTTTTTGTGATGATGTGTCATCGGGTACTCTGCCGTGAGGACGTCTGGACAGCCCGTCCGCATCTTGATTTTGCTTACCGGCTCTGTGCTGTAGCTGGAAATCGAACGTCGACAGAGCGGCCAACCATCTGTAGCTTGTGGCGTCGAGCTTAGCAGAGGTAAGAATGTATGTTAATGGGTTGCTATCTGTGACAGCAAGGAATGTGTTCCCGTAAAGGTAATCCTGGAACTTCTCTGTTACTGCCCATTTAAGGGCAAGGAATTCTAATTTGTGTGCAGGATACCTGGACTCACACTTCGACAGACCTCGACTTGCGTATGCAACAACACGCTTCTGTCCTTGTTGCTCCTGGTAGAGGGCAGCACCGAGGCCTGACGTGCTCGCATCTGTATGTAGAATGTAGGATAGCTCAGGATCAGCAAACCCGAGGATGGGTGCGGTTGTCAACTTTTCGATTATGGTGTCGAATGCTGCCTGGCAAGCAGGCGTCCATCTGTCACCAAAGGAGTCCTTTGGGTTGAAGTACTTCTCAAGGTTCACTGTGGTTTTAGCGTGCTTTCTCAGCGGCGGGTAGCCAGCAGTGAGCTCGTTGAGTGGCTTCACGATCTTTGAGTAGTCTTTAACGAACCGGCGGTAATAACCGCAGAAACCCAGGAAGGTCCTTAGCTCCTTCAAGTTGGTTGGTTTTGGCCAGGTTTTTAATGCTGCTACTTTGTCAGGATCGGTTTCGATGCCTTTTTCAGACACAATGTGGCCGAGGTACTTTACAGAGGTTTGAAAGAACTTGCATTTCCCTGGCGACAGTTTCAAGCCAAACTCTTTCAATTGGTTGAGCGCACGCATCAACCTTTCCTCATGCTCCTCCAGTGTCAAAGAGAAGACAATGAGGTCATCCAGAAAAACTAGGGCTTGTTTCAAGTTCAACTCTCCCATACAGCGCTCCATAAGCCTCTGGAATGTGCTAGGGGCCCATGTTAAAAATATTTTAACATGGGTTACACGTGTCTTTGCGGACTAAATGTTTTGTAGGTATATAAAATATTTTCAAGGACTAAATGTCTAGTAGATAAGCCAATATAACGTGTTTTTCTGGTCTCTATCAAATGTCTGAAAATCTTCATTTTGTGTCTAGAGAGAAAAGCTGAGCGCCGTCTGCCTCCTCTGTCTGTCATAGACTTTCTTCACAGCAGGTAAGAAAGTCTGGGTAATAGTCCTCTACTCTCATGTGTGTTATATCACAGTTTACAGTTTTAAAGTAACAATTTTTATCAGTTTAGCTCGATGTTTTATTGAAACTATCGACTCTTTTGTTGTAAATGAAACTGAAACTGTTGAGCTGGTTCACAAAGCAATGAAGGACACTGGAGGGTTTGTTAATATTTAAACCACAAATGTCATAAAATCAGGTTCAAATGTTATGTTTGCGATCTTAGATAGATACCCAAACCTTCACAGTTTATAACCATCTTTATCTTGGACTGAGTGGAAAGCAAAGTTTAAAAAAAAAACAAATAATCCATCATCTGTCATGGCACTGCTACCGTGAATCAAACCTTATGGTAGAAACTCTGAGACTTTGAAATTACAGGCCTGCCTTATTTAGAAAGGCTTGATAATCATAGGGATTAAAATAGAAAAGAGAGACACAGCCTATGTTTCAGGATATACAGTAGTCAGTGTTGTAGGTCTTAAATCCAGGATTCGGATCTGGTCTAACACTGAAAACTTGGGACTTGGACTGTAACTTAAAGATCCAGTTTGACTTGTAGGGTTACTGACCCTTCTCATAACATCATGCTGTTGGTTCTCAGAGTCGTGTTCATAAGGAATTTCCAGAAGGATCATCTAAGAGGACTCTGAGGTCTCCATCAGCTAGAACTGAGCACTGAATCTTATGTTAATATTATATTATATTATATTATATTATATTATATTATATTATATTATATTATATTATATTATATTATATTATATTTTACAGCATCACTGTTCTCCCTGATGTTTCATCTGTCTTTAATTTTCAGACATCAGGATGTTTCCTCTGATGGACAGACGCTCCCTCGGCCTTCACTTTGGTGCCTTCACTGACCTGCTTTTCTTTACTGCCATACTGTTCACCCTGATAAACTCATGTGCAGGTGAACTACCAACATTTAAGTTTAACTATTTTGTAGACTACTTAAAGTACTTCCTGCTGCTTTTTTAAAAACTGTTTATAGTGGCTATCTAATGTCTTATTTTTCCTAGTTGTTGCATTTCCACACTAAATTTATTATTACCACTCTTGAGTCACAACAAGGATATTTTACATGTTCAGTCAGCTTGATGGTCTACAAGCATATGTAAGACAACCGTGACACTGCTGCACTAATTTATTGAGAACAACAACACAAACCTTCAACACAGTACACTTAACTTAAGCCTTTGTCACATGACAACTGGAGCTACTAAGAACAGCAATAAACAGGTATCAACTGCGGGAAACAAATTAGCAAACACTCAACAACATCTCCGAACCCAAACAAAACTTACTTCTTTCTGCACTTCAGCAAATTTTATACTCAAATAATATAAAACAATGTTTTCATTGCTGAATGGCGCTAACACTGTTCTCTGCCCTCTGTTTCAGGTCAGAGGCTGATTGGTTCGTCTCAGCCTATAGTCGCATTAGTCGGTGAAGACGTGGTTTTGCCGTGTTACCTGGACCCTGCTGTTGATGCTTATGACATGACTCTGGAGTGGGCAAGACCGGACCTGAACCCCAGATATGTCCTCGTACGGCGCTACGGTGAAGAAGCAGGATTTAAAAAAAATCCCTCCTACAGAGGAAGATCATCAATGTTCAGTGAAGAAATGAAACATGGAAACATTTCACTGAAAATCTCCAAAGTCAAACTTTCAGATGAAGGAGGATACAGATGTTTTAGTTCTGAGTTATCTCAGCATAATACAGTCCAGCTGGTTGTGGGTAAGTCTGAACATTTTCTGGTTTTTAAACTGACCCTATATGTCTCATTGGTCTTTGCTATGAATAAGTAATGATATAGTTGAAGTGATATTTCATCACGGATGAAGTGGAGCTGTCTGTTTACAATCATACAGTATCTAAAATACTCCTGAGCTCAATGGTTTATGTTTTGTTTCAGAATTTAAACAAGGATCTTAAGTCCAAGATTTTCCTGTTACAAAAAAAAAAAAAAAAAACATTTTAGTAAGATGAATTTAACGTCAGTCAAGTCAGAAGATGGTGTTGAAACTGGTTATCAAACTTTGTCATTTCAAAGTAGTTTTGGGGGCTTTGTTGTGGCAGGTTTCTACTTAAAGAGTAGACAAGTACCAGAACAGGTACAAAGAGAAAACTGTGAAGCCAAAGACACCTCTCTCTCCTGTAGGAGCTGTCTCCTCACCTGTTTTAAGACTGACCAGAAACAACAGTGGAGTGTTGTTGGAGTGTGAGTCTAAAGGCTGGTATCCAGAACCAGAGATGTTTCTGTTGGACGCTGAGGGAAACCTTCTCTCTTCATCACCCACTGAGACCATCAGAGGTCCTGATGATCTCTACACTGTCAGCAGAAAAGTGACTGTGGAGGAGAAACACGGGAAGAACTTCAGCTGTAGAGTCACACAGAAGAAGATCCACCAGAGCAGAGAGACACACACTGTTATTCCAGGTAAATCTGAGTCAGGAGTTCATGATGTGATCTCTGAGCTGAACTGTAAATGTTCACAAAGTTCTCTGTTTATCATCACAGATCATTTCTTCGTGGTACCATCTACTCCCAGTACTCCCATTCTCCCCAGTCCTCCTGGTTCTCCTGGTTCTTCTAGTTCTCAGCCTGTTATCATCGGCTCAGTGATCGTCTGTGCTGCTCTGGTTTTGATTCCTTTGGTCTTCATTTTGTGGAGAAGGAGAAAAAATAAACTCAGTGAGTCAAAGAAGTTTCTTTTTTTCTAATCTGGAGATATTTTCAGGTTGTCCTTCTTTCCTCTTATGAACAGGAAATCACGGGAATGTCTGCTCGAAATTTGGTCCAAACTTCCTCAGATTTGCACAAATGTCCTTCTGGGTTCAGAGACTGACTGAGTCAATGTTGGTGGTCCTGGTCCAGGTTTAGTGTGACCCCCTCATCATTCATTTCTCCTGAGCCTCATGTGTTGGCAGCTCTCAGCAAAGATCTTAGATCATGTATTTTATTTTTCATTCTTGAAAAAGTCTCTGCTCTCTGTGAAAAGTGGACAAAGCTTCTTTTCCCAAATGTGACCAGTTTCTCGTTCTTCTCTGTCCTCACAGAAAACAAGAGGGACCATGAGAACGGGACTGAACAGACTGAAGATGGAAAAACAAAAACATCTAAAGGAGATTTAACAGAGTTTAATGTGGAGAAGGAAGGAGAAGAAGAAAGAGTAGCACTTATGAAAGGAGTAGAAGAAGAGAATAAAGTGGATGATGAAGGAGAAGAAGAAGAAAGAGCAGCACTTATGAAAGGAGGAGAAGAAGAGAATAAATTAAATGATAAGGGAGAAGAGGACAACAAATCTCAGAGAGAACCTGAAGATCAGCTCATGACAAAACCAGAGTCATTAAATGAAATGAACAGAACATCAGGAGGAAGAGAAATAAAGGAGAGTGATGAGAGAAAAGAGGAAATAAAGCAGAAACAGGAAATGGAACAAGAGCAGACAGTGAGACCAGTTCAGGAAAATTCAGGACTTCAGATGGATCTGTTCACTGCAGACAGACAAAGAAAACAGCCTCAAAATCTCCACAATCAAGAGATAGAGCGAGAGACAGAGAGAGATGAGGACAATGAAGGAGAGAATCTGAGAAAAAGAGGAGAAAGAAAGAGAAAAAACAAGAGCAGAAGAAAAAGGGAGGCTCTGCATCGAGAGGGAAGAAGAAGTTAAAGGACAAACAAAGAGAAGAAATGAAACCAAAGGAAGAGAGTCTGACAGAGATGGAGGAAAGTAAAAAAACAGATGAGACAGAGCTTAGTCAACAGAAAGAGAAATGTGTTTTCAGAGATGACAAACATAAAAGAGATGAGACAGAATTCAAAGAGAAAACAGACAAAGATCAAGAGAGAAAACAGCCGCATGTTTCGAGACTAAAGATAGAGAGAGAAGAGAAACTAACAGAGCAAAGTGATGAGAAACTAAGAGAGACAACAAAAATGAAGGACAAAAATAAGCATCCATCAACTGATGAGGATGTTTTAGAGAAGTCTGATCCAAAATTACATCCAGATACAGCAGAAAGAAAAAAAGGAGAGCTTCAAGGAGAAGCAGGCAGTAATGAAACTTGGAATGGACTTGGAATGGTTCTGAAAGCAGATGGACAAATAAAGAGGCAAGAACTTGAAACAAATCAGGAAATCAAGAGTCAAGAGCTTAACCCTCCTGTTGTCCTCAAGTTAAGACCTACATCCCATGTCTCAAGGGTCACACTGTCCCAGTCCGCACTGACTGGGGTCTTTTTGACCCAGTGAAAGGTCCTGTAGTCCTCACACAGTAAAAAATAAATAAATAAATAAATAAATCAAAAAATAAACCTGCATTCCACGTCTCAGGGGTCACACTGACTGGGGTACTGACTGGGGTCTTTTTGACCCAGTGATGACTGGGGTCTTTTTGACCCGGTGAAAAGTCCTGTAGTCCTCACACAGTAAAAAAAAAAAAAAAAAAAAACCTGCATCCCACGTCTTAGGGGTCACACCGACTGGGGTCTTTTTGACCCAGGGGTCACACTGTCCCCAATGTGGAAATATATACTCACACACATATAGTAATAATGATAATAATAATAATAATAATAATAATAATAATAATAATAATAATAATGAGCAGACGGAGGGGAGGCGAGAGATGACCTGATATCTCTAGCCGATACCACACTGTTGAGCAATGATGTTTTGATCAGAAGGACAAAGTTGAATTTTATGATGAATGACGAGATGTCCTTTGAGGATTGGTACAGCTACTATTATGACTTTTAGCCATAAAACAATGTTGTGTTGCAATCTATGGTGTGATGTGCGCAAATAAAGTTATCATCTGAAGCAAAATTGCCAGTTTTCGCATCTTTATTGAGTAAGCAAGAATATGTAAGCAAGCATAAGCTACAGCACGAATTCACATTTTAATAATAATAATAATAATAATAATAATAATAATAATAATGCATTTTTAGGCACATTTCAGCAGCAGTTCTTCCTAAATCTTTCTATAGAAGCATGCTCATACAAACACTTGAAGGAAAAAACAAGTTCGCAAACTCTTTACACCCCCCCACACACACACACACACACACACGTCTTACATCGGACGCTCCAGTTCGCTTGCAGTGAGCAAGAATCTACAGTTAATCACAAAGTTTACTCCATCGACCTCACAGATATGTGACAGCAGACTTGTGAGTCCGGAGAAATGTAGACCCGATCCAAACGTGAAGCCCCATTTATTAAATGTTACTTTCAGCCTCTTCCCCTTGGCGTCTATAATCTCAAACAGGTATCCCAGACCGTCATCATCTACACAGCAAATTAACGCCGCTGGCGTAACAGAGGGTCCTTCCTTGTTTTGTAGATACTCTATTATGCGATGGGGTTGGGAAACGTCCCACCATCCACTTTTCAGCAAATCTAAAACACTCCACATATCATCCACTACCCGTGTAAGAGAAAAGTTCTGGGGATCGGAAGGTATCGTTGTGGGTCGGGGGAGCAAGTGTGTGTAGGTTTCACGGGCCAGCTTTCTCAACATGTCGATCGGACACAAAAAATCACCTTCTGCCAAGTCAGCGCATACGTAGCGTCTTCGACGGATAAGCAAAGGAAGTGACAGCAGGCCGCTTTCGGTCTTCACTGTGAAAGAACAAACTCCCCCGGGCGTGTCACCGAAGCACGCCGAGACGACGATATCCCCGACGCGACGTCTCTCGGATGAATCCATGAAGGTCCTGACGGACTCTTCTGACACCAAGCCCCACCAGCGCTCACCCAACCAACCGACAAACGATTGCCACGATTCCTGCAATTCGGTCCAGCGGCAGGTAGATGCGTAGCGGTTATTTGAGCCAAACTCCTCTTGAACTTCTTCCTCGCAATCCCACAGCGTGATACAGATCTCATCGTTTAAAAGTTCGGAGTGATCCATAAAGCTGTCACGTGGCAAATCAGCTTCACCGGTATCTTCCGCGTCACCTGGAGTTCCGAGGCTATCACCGTAGGGATAACACGCCTCGTCTTCAACAATGTCACCTTCTACGTGTCTTTCCGATAGCAGGCCACGACGATCTACTCTTCGTCGGGAGTATTCCTCCAGGCCTCATCTTCACCGAAGCGTCCTTCGACTTCTAGCTCCGCAGCGTCACTGCGGTAATCGTCATACTCATGGCGGCTCCGAGGACTGTCAGGATCTCGGTAAAAGTCGGCATCGCGGTCACTCGTGCCCCTCGAGTCCCTCGGAGTTCGATGCTCATCAGAGTGGTCGAAAAGTTCACGCTGATCCGCAAAGCTGTTACGCGGTAAATCAGCTTCGGCGGTATCCTCCACGTCACCTGGAGTTACAAGGCTATCGCCATAGGGACGATGCTCCATATTTTCAACGATATAATTTTCTACACGTCTCCTTGATAGCCATCCACAGCGGTCATGCTCTTCATCATGATTATTCTCCCAGGCCTCATCTTCACCGAAGCGTCCTTCGACATCTAGCTCGGCAGGGTCACTGCGGTAATCGTCATACTCATAGCGGCTCCGAGGACTGTCAGTAGCTCGGTAAAAATCGACATTGCGGTCACTCGCGCCCCTCGAGTCCCTCACAGCTCGACGCTCGTCAGAGCGGCGGGACCCCTCCTCGCGCTCATCGCTCTCCTTTTCGCAGTAGTCGTCGTCATTCACAGACACTGTGTTATCCGGACGAATCGATGTCGGTGACGGTGAAGCAATCTCGGATCGAGATGTAGAATCAGCGTAGGCAGAATTTGAGGTCAGACGATCGGATGTGTCCGACGCAACTACGGCTACTTTGCAGTAGCCGCGACAAGACTGCTTCAGAGGACTTGTGACACAAACGACGGTCTCGTAATGGCTGCCGCTATTCGCTAAATAAATCCCCTGTTTAGAGACCCGAACACTGTCGCAACTGTACTGAAACCAACGGTCGGTGTAATACGTGAATACGTTGACACCCAAATAATCCGCCGTTGCTTGAATCTCAACCTCTGTCGCCCAACTTCCTAGAGAGCTGATTTCAGATGCATCAATGTAGTCTGACACCGAAAGGTAACCCCTTCTCAGAATGTTGGCGTACGCAGCTTCATTGCTTTGCAAGTGATTCACCACAGCTTCTCTTATTCTTCCGTGATGGCGTTCGGTACCGCTCACAGCTACACTGACTGCCCTAAAGAAGCAATTCCCGTCGCTTTTAATCTTCATGTTCTTACAAGGAGCTCCTAATTCACAGACATCTGTGAATTTGCTATACTGCTGTCTACAGTCTACCTTGAGCTTTCTGCACAGCTGTAATGCCACTGCCGCTCTAACGGGGTTAAAGTGTAGCTTTTTACCCATGTCGCCACTAACAACCTCAATGTCCGGGTCCTCGCTGTTCATCATGCTCTCGTGTCTTTTCAGCAGTTCCGTGACATTTTCATCTTTGGAAAGTCGTAAGTATTTCCTCTTCTGATGCAGTCCTGCCAGGCTGCCTCTCTGCCTCTAAAACTAGTCACCCCGGTTGCGGACAGTTCAACTGACCGCATCCCACGTCTCACGGGGTCACACATGGTGTGTGTGTGTGTGTGTGTGTGTGTGTGTGTGTGTGTGTGTGTGTGTGTGTGTGTGTCGGCAATCAACCCATCTCAAAATTCTCAGCAGCACACTCAGCGCAGTATGGGAGCGAACAACTTTTGCAGATATATTTCTTACACCCGCTGCACACAGTGGAAGTTTTGTTGTCCTTTGCCCGCGGGCAAAACTGACACCTCTTCCTCTTCCTCGCCCCGGTCCGGTCGTCGCTCCCGACGCCGCTCCGGCGGCGTCCTCGCCCTCGCCCTCGCCCTCACCCCGAGTTCTAGACCTAGACACGGCGCTACGAACGACTCGGACGACTGCCGCTGACGCTTCTGTGCGAGGGAGACGCTCCCTTCTTTCTATCAACGGAGTCACCAGCGCCTTTCCCAGCCGCTCTAGGAACACCCTTCTCTTGTTCCGCTTCTGAGGCATCCATTCGGGGTTTAGTTCTCTCCATATCACAAAGGCATTGTAGGAGGAAACGTCGAGGATGTTGTGGAACACGACCAGGGGCCAGCGAGCCGTCATCCTTCTGCAGCTGTAGGTTCCGATCACCTTGTCGAGGTTATCGACACCTCCTTTGCAGCGGTTGTAGTCCAGTATGATGACCGGCTTTCTGTCGCGGCGGTCGCTGACTTCGGCCTCCGTGTGCATCGTGCTAACCAGCAGCATGTTTTTGTTTTTCTTGGGCACGTAAGAGACCGCGGTAGTGGTCGACGTGAAGGCGAATTTCGACGAGAACACCGCTCTTCCCTTCGGCGAGAGAAGGGCCAGGGGGAGCTCCGGCTTGTTTTTTCGAACGGTGCCCACCATGGTCATCTTCCTCTTCAGCAGCTGCTGCCCGAGTTCGTAAGAGGTGAAGAAATTGTCGCAGGTGACATTGCGATCCCTCAGTCCCTCGGTGACATCGAGCACGACTCGCATGCCCAGGTTCTTTTCCGGGCCGTGGCCTGCAGCTGCATCTGCGGCCGCAGCCTTCCCTGTGTACACTTGCATCTTCCAAGCGTAACTGGATTTAGAGTCGCACGCCACCCACGTCTTGATCCCGTATTTCACTGGCTTGCTGGGAATATACTGCCGAAAGGGACAACGCCCTCTAAACGGAACCAGCTGTTCGTCCACCGTTATCTCCGGCCCGGGGTTGTAGAGGGACGGCAGCCGCTCGGACCACGCGTCCCAGACCTCTCTTACGGCCGCCAGTTTGTCGGTCGCGCGTCTGGCGGGTCTCGACTCGCGGTCGTCGAATCTCAGCAGTCTAGAGTAGGCGTGAAACACTTTCAGTGGCATTGTGGTGCGGAAGATGGACCGTCCGCTCTCAGCATCCCACAGACTGGCGGTCGCCTCGCCTCGGGACCTGTAGACGCCGGCTAAAAGCAGCAGCCCCATGTAGGCGCGAAGGTCGACGGCATCCATGCGTTTCCAGCCGTCTCCGATTTTCCGTCTTCCCTCCAAAATAGTCATCTCCAAGATGATGCGTTCTATCGACGGGGTGATGAACATGAAAAAAGCGGAGGCGATTTCGCGGGCGTGGACGAGAGAATATTCAGTCGGTCCGGGTGGGCCGGTCGTCGGCAGTAACGGCGACGACGGCATGTGCGGGGACGGCGGCGGCGTAGCCTCACCGCTCCTGTCTTTTCTACCCCGCTCTTGTTTATCGTACGCTACGGAGGACCATATGATTTTGTCGTGTTTTGAGAGAAAAAACACATCTGTATCTTCTTTCGCTTGCTCCTCTCGCTCGCCTGCTATTACCCTTTCTCCTTCTTCTCCTTCTTCTTCTTCTTCTTCTTCTCCCCCTCTCTTTCCATTTGCTCCTCTCTTTCTTCTGTTACCCCTTCTTCTCCTTCATCTTCTTCCTCATTTTCTTCTTCTTCTTCATCATCATCATCTTCTTTTTCTTCTTCTTCTCCCCCCTCTCTTTCCATTTGCTCCTCTCTTTCTTCTGTTACCCCTTCTTCTCCTTCATCTTCTTTCTCATTTTCTTCTTCATCTTCTTCTCCTTCTTCTTCTTTATGCTCTCCTTCGTCTTCTACCTCTCTTTCCATTTGCTCCTCTCTTTCTTCTGTTACCCATTCTTCTCCTTCATCTTCTTCTTCTTCTTTATGCTCTCCTTCCACTTCTGACAAATCTTAAAACCAGATTAGTACTGTTGATTTAAATAAATCATAACACACACACACACACACACACACACACACACACACACACACACACACACACACACACACACGCAAACACACACACTAAAAACAAGTCCTTTAGAAATGCAGCACTAAGGAGCCATTTTCCTCCAGTGAGCACAGGACTTGTCCGATAGCCCACACATCCCTGAAACAATCCAAATTTTTCGTCAATTTATAAAAGGTGTGCTCAACGCTGAGACGTGCCGCCACCAAGCCTTTGAGGCAACAGACCGGGTCAGTCCAGTCCACCCCAAGAACCTTGTTTTTGCGAGTCTTCCAGATGGCTAGCTTTGCACTCGCAAAAACAAAGTTGATCAATACCACCGATTTCTTTTTCTTGGGAGTGTATTTGGGTCCAAAAACAAAGAGTGGGAACGAGAAAACCTCCCCCAAACCCCCCACCCACTCCTGCACCACTTTAAAAAGAGCTGCCAGTCTGGGACAGGACAGCACCAGGTGCTCTACGGTTTCTGATTGGGAGCAGAATGGACATCCCTCCCCATTGGCCGGATCAAGGTGAGCTCTGTACCTGTTTGTGGCTATCGTTCCGTGTATAATCCTCCATTGGAGATCCGCTGTGCGTTTCTCAACAGGAGGCTTATACAGGACCCTCCAGCTGCCATTAGGGGAAAAGTCTGAGCCAAAAACCTCTGTCCACCTCGACTCATTGACTCCCGTGAGGGAGCGCAGGTTCAGTACTTTGACACAGCTGAGGTACAGCTGCTTCCCTGTGCAGGAGCTGAAGGCTCCCAGTACTGGTCTCCGTAACGACAGCAACAGTCCACTCTCCTCCCTCCATTCTCCCACTGCAGGACTCACACTCAGGGTGGGGAAGATGTAGTCTTGGCCCTCTCTCCAACGTTCAGCCAAACCCCGTCCCTGAGCAAAGGTCCGGAGGGGCCCCGACAGCGACTGCCACACCTCCTTCACCAGGTTCAGCAGCACTCTGGTTGATCGTACTCCGGTCATGTCAGCCAGACTCCCTACAGGTGTTCTTGTGAGATGTCCAAGCTTAACAATTCCAGCTTCAGTGAGGACACTTTTTAAGGTGTTGGATAAAACCGTGGTGTTAACGAAAAGGTCATTGTCAAAAAGTGGCTCCTCAAACAGCCACATCCCAGGCTTGGGGTCAGATGGCCGAGTGGCAACCAGAGTCCTCCACGCAACAAACACAGAGCTGTAGAAGGGTGTGAGATCAGTGACGGTGAGAGCAGGGGGCTTCAGGAGAAACAGGTGTCTGTCGAGGCAAAGCCGCCCAGCCTTCCGGAGCAGCAGCCGAGCTACATCCAACCAGCAGTGAGAAGGTCCATACAGGAAACGTTGAGCTGCCTGAAGCCTGAAAGCAGCGGTCCTGGAGGCGATGTCTATCAGGCCCTGCCCCCCCTCTGCCACAGGAAGGTACAGGACTGACGCACGAAGCCAATGATGACCCGACCAGAAAAAGTCCACCAGGAGTCGCTGCAGCTGTCCCACGAGGCTTGGTGGAGGGTTCAGAACTTGGAGCCTGTGCCACAGAGACGAGGCCACCAGGTTATTGACAATCAGAGCTCTTCCCCTGTAAGATATCTGAGGTAGCAACCATTTCCATTTAGATAACTTGGCTTTCACCTTCTCCAGCACTCCCTCCCAGTTTTTAGCAGTGGTTTCCTCCCTACCCAAATACACTCCCAAGATCTTGATCCCTCTGCTACCCCTCCTAAGGCCACCAGGAAGACTAGGGGTGCTTCCTGCACTCCAGTGGCCGACTAAAACTGCCTCGCTCTTCTCCCAGTTTACTTTGGCTGATGCAGCCCTCTCATACAGATCCAGGCAATGCTTAAGTTCTTGAACATCTTCCTGGCCCTGAACAAAAACATTTACATCATCAGCATATGCTGATACAATCAAAGGCCGGCTCTGAGCCGGTTCAGGCAGACATAAGCCCCTTAACCGCCTCCTGAGCAAACAAAGAAGTGGCTCAATGGCCACACTGTACAGCTGACCAGATAGGGGGCAGCCCTGCCTGATGCCTCTGCTCACTGGTACAGGACTGCTTAGCCCACCCCCTACTTTGACCACACAACATGCACCCGTGTACAACAGCTTCACCCAGGACAAGGAGTGCTCCCCAACACCAAAGGCCTGCAGTGTGGAAAATAAGAATGAGTGATCAACACGATCGAAGGCCTTCTCCTGGTCAATAGAGAGTACACCAGTCTTTAGATTATAGAGTCTGCACACATCAAAAATGTCTCTCATTCAAAACAGATTGTCCAGGATGGATCTATCAGGGACACAGTAGGACTGATCAGCACCAATAAAAACATCCATAAAAACCTTCAGTCTATTAGCTAAAACCTTTGACAGTACTTTATAGTCGCTACATCACAGGGCCACTGGTCTCCAGTTTTTAAGTAGGGTGAGGTCCCCCTTTTTGGGTAGCAGCGATATTACTGCCCGCCTGCAGGAAGCTGGAAGAGTTCCCCTCTGGAAGGACTCCCGAAACACGTCCAGAAGATCTTGTCCCAGGGTATTCCAAAAGTGTTTGTAAAAATCCGCTGGTAACCCGTCCATACCCGGTGCTTTGCCTGAGGCCATGTGTTTTACTGCAGAGGTTAGCTCCTCCATGGTAATGTCGAGGCTCAGGGCGTCCCGATCTGCTGGGCTCAGCTGAGGAAGGTCCTGCAGGAGTTCAGCTGCAGCCTCTCCATCACAATATTCCGCTCGAAACAGCTCCGAGTAAAAGGACACTGCATGCCTCCTCATCTCAGCAGGGTCTGAGGTTAACCCCCCATCAGGCAGACAGAGACACACCATTTGTTTTTTTTGGCCTTCGGACTTCTCCAGGTTAAAAAAGAAGGTTGTTGGTGCATCAATGTCCTTGATGGCAGTGAAGCGGGCTCGGACCAGGGCTCCTTTGGCTTTCTCTAGGAGGAAAGAGTTCAGCTGCTGTTTTTTGGAGAGCAGCTGCTCAGGGTTCCCCACAGGCACACCCTCCAGCTCCCCGATCTCTGCCTCCAGTTGGTCCATGGCCCTCCGGACGTCAGCAGTGGAGTAGGCGGTGTACTGCTGGCAGAACACCCTAATCTGTCCCTTTCCTACCTCCCACCACTGACCTAGAGAGGGGAAATCCTCCTTCCTGGACCTCCATTCAGCCCAAAATAGTTTAAAATTATTACAAAAGTTAAAATCATGTAAAAGCTTAACGTTAAAATGCCAGAATGACCTGGACTTTCCAGGAGAGGTTAAAACCATTTCTAATAAAACTAAGTGATGGTCTGTGAAGCCAACAGGATGGATTTGACACCTGGCTGCACGACTGCTAAAAGAAGAGGACATATAAAATCTGTCGAGTCTGGCTGCACTGACCATGCCGTCAGAGACTCTCACCCAAGTGTACTGTCTAGCAGAGGGATGTTTTAACCTCCAGATGTCGACCAGGTTAAACTCCATCAACATCTGAGCCAGGAAAGAGGATGATTGGGACTGGAGCTCCTGCCCTATCCTGTCTAAGGTGCCATCCGTACAGCAGTTCCAGTCCCCTCCCATTATTATGCACTCTCCCTGACTGCTGCTGTTCCCTAAAACGTTTTTCAATAAATTAAATAAAACTAATCGTTCAGAGCTTTGATTGGGTGCATAGATATTAAGAAAAGTGAAAACAAACCCCAGAATTTCCACCTTCACCATCAAAGCTCTGCCCGCCATGATTTCTGAGCTGGATAAAATATTTACCGGTAAGGAGGGGGAGAATAAAATGGCCACCCCAGCACTTCGGTTGGAGCCATGGCTGAGTGCGTACTGCCCCCCCCCACCAAATTCCCCAGTCTGTCTCATTTACACTGTCACTATGTGTTTCCTGTAGAAAGACGACCTCTATCTTTTTCTGTCTGATAATTTCAGACACTACAGCTCTTTTCTGTGGACTTCTATCCCCATTAATATTTAAGGATGCAACTCTAAAGGGCTGCATGTGAGGAGAAGATAGACAGAGCAGCAGGAAAGACAGACCAACACAGCAAAGAGAAAACACCCGGTATTGTACAATCATTCTGGATTACTTGGAAACTTTCCTTTTTTTCAATGTCTGTTTACCTTTAAGAATTTTCCTCACGTTGGATACATGCTTTTTGAGGCGATACCTTTTCTTATCACTTAAAAACTCCTTACCTACGACCTTCTGCAGAGTGTCCACAGACCGGACAAACTTCTGCATATCTGGGAAATAGTCTGTGACCTCTACTGATCTCCCAAAGGAATCATCTAGAAACTCTGTCACCTCCTCAAGAGAGTATAGGTCTGGATTTATTGACACACTGTCTGCTACAGAGACACAATCAGAGTCTACATCAGCATCTGAGAAACCTACTGCCTGTTGACTGTGAGCTGGAGCAGCCCGAGAGTCAGTCCTCAGCTGCTGCGCCGTGCCAGCAGCCTCCTCCTGCATCGGCTCACCTGCAGCAGCCCCACCCTGCTCAGGAGCGCAGGTCTCCGCCTGCCCTGCTGCGTGAGCCTCATCCTACTCCACACTGCACTCATTCTCACACTCTTCAGTCACACAACTCAAGGGCTGATTTTTCACCATTCCAGGTCCAAACCCCAAAACAGACTGCTGCGCCGTGGCTCCGGAGCGCGCACCATCCGCCGCCCCGCGCACCGGGCCGGCGTCGGCCACCGCCGAGCCCGAGGGACCCGCGGCAGCCGCCGCCGGACCCACGGGACCCGCCGCAGCCGCCGCCGAGCCCGAGGGACCCGCGGCAGCCGCCGCCGGACCCGCCACACCCGAGACGGCCGCAGCACCGCCCCACACCGGCCTACCGGCCCCACCGCTCACCTCCCTGCTGTCATCTCCAGCGGGTCTCACCGTGTGCTGTCGGTGAGGACAAGCGACACGTTTATGGCCCACGTCTCCACACTCAAAACACTTCATACTCCCTGAGCTAGCATACACCATGTAAAAACCTTCCTCGTGTTTTACACGGAAGGACACATCCAGTGTCTGAGCTGGAGAGTCTAAAAACATGAAGACCTGTCTCCTCAGAGACTGAACATGCTTTAGCTTAGCATCTTTACATCCCAAAGCAACATTACGGAACCCACTGGCAAACTTACCGAACCGCTTGAGCTCCCGTTCCAGCGCTTCATTCGGGATGAATGGAGGGACACCGGACACGGTGATCCGCGTGGACGGCAAAGCCAGCGGGGAAACTTGGATAAACTCCTCGTTGAGGGTTAATCCATCCTCAATTAGTTTGGTAACATGAGTCTGTTCTTTGAGAAACACTACCACGGCTTTGTTCATGCGGGAGGCATATGAGATATTACCGTGGCCCACCTGGTCTCCCACAGCCAACAGGACCTGCTCCACAGAGGAGGCCGGCGGTGGCACCAGCCTCACGCCGTGTCTCAGGGACGCTGGCGGAGGTGGCGTCTCAGAGGACGCCATCCTCGCCACGAGGCACGAAGAAACCACACAAAAAACACTGAACTGTTTAACCAAAAGTTATGAACAAACAATCCAAACAATGACCATTCAATACAGAGACGATAGAAGAAAGAAAAGAAACGAAGTTAGAAAAAAAAGTTGAATCAAGATTGATTCGCTCTCAGCTCTCAGCACTCACACAGAATGGTTCATAAATAAAGTTTGTTAAAAGTCAAAGTCTCCTTCCACTTCTACCTCTCTTTCCATTTGCTCCTCTCTGTCTTCTGTTACCCATTCTTCTCCTTCATCTTCTTCTTCTCCTTCTTCTTTATGCTCTCCGTCCTCTTCTACCTCCCTTTCCATTTGCTCCTCTCTGTCTTCTGTTACCCATTCTTCTCCTTCATCTTCTTCTTCTCCTTCTTCTTTATGCTCTCCGTCCTCTTCTACCTCTCTTTCCATTTGCTCCTCTCTGTCTTCTGATATTATCATTTCTTCTTCTTTTCCTTCCTCTTCCCTGTTCGGTTGGTTACTTGCCTCATAATCCTCCTCCTCAGACACACCCTCTGCTTCTTCATCGGGATTGGCTTCATCAGAGAATGCATTTGACAACATCTGTTGCATGACCTGCAAAGCGGTAAACTCTCGACTCATGGCTGCAGCGCAGTATTGTTTTATTTTTTCATTGTTATTGTAGTTGTTGTTTTAGTAGTTATTGTTGTAATGCGATGTGATGTAATGTAATAGGACAAGGATCGGTAGTAGTACAGGTTTTATGCAGGTGTAGTACGGTTTTACGGAGATGTGACTAAACTTGCTATAAACTTGATCTATTCAGACACACACTGCACTGTTCTTTTGGCAATGGGAAATTGCAGTAAACATTGTTTTTTTCATCTTATTTGTATAGCACTTTATTCTTTTACAAAACATATAGTCTCATTGGTGTTCAGACGGCATCCTAACACTATTTTCCGCCCTTGAACCCACACATCAACAGAGGAAAAGTAATATGAAATATTGCAAACAGTTTGGTCTCTTTATTTCTTTCATCATCCCTTACAGGATCATATATTCATACATACACACACACAATATTTTCTGCTCTTAGAATTGAAAAATGAAACGTACAAAAAAAAATCTGGAGAAACTTTGCGTGTCTTTCTCTCGTCGGAGTTATATACATATAACTCCGACGCTCTCCCAACCCCCCCAACCTCTGCTGACTATACAACTGCACTTTGGTGTTTTACAACTGACAGAGTGATAGAGACTTTTTTGACTTCATGTGGGATGCCGACTCATGCCTCTGGAGCCCAGGCGTTGTCCTCTTCCCTAAACCTCACCGAGCCTTGGACACTGCAGTAAGGAAAGGAAAAAAGGGAAAAAAAAAAGCAAGGCGTACTTTTTTAAAAAAAAAAAAGTATTTGTAAAGCACTTTTTATGTACAAACACTTTCTTTCTTTTGGTGTTCAGACGTCTTCGCAATATTTTCTGCTCTTAAGCCGCGTTGAGACCAAACGCGACCAGGTCGCATTGCGTTGGTCGGTCAGGTCGCGTCGCGTGGTGCCCTGGTGTGTCAACACCGGGTCCAAAGCTGCAGTCGCAGGTCGCGGCTGGTCGCCGGTGACGTCATCCATGTCACTAGCTCAGTTTTCAGTTCATCAGTGCTGCCGCATATCTCTACATCCGCAGTAGACGCCGCCGGCGTTTATGGGTGCATGAAACCATCCGGAGGAGGACGGAGCTGGGTGAATTTCACCGCTTGCTCCAGGAACTCCGCCTGGACGACGGCCGCTTCCAGCGGTACTTCCGTGTGTCGACGGCGCAGTTCGAGGACCTCCTCGCCCGGGTGGGAAGCAGCATCTCCCGCCTGGACACGAAATACAGGCGCTCCGAAACTGGGATGCTTCTTCTTTGGCGTTGCGGTCCCGGTACAGCCCGCAACCCACGTCGTATAGCACCGGGTGGTAGCTAACGGATGTGATTAACTGCTCCTCCATTGTGATTCTTCTTCTCCTCTTCCTTGTTTCGCCGGTTTGTTGACGTCAGCAGAGCCCTGATTGGCTGTCGCGGCACGGAGTCGCTCCCAAAGTTCAAATATTTGAACTTTGGGAGCGACACGACTTGGCGTCCTGCGACCTCGGCGACGCGCCTTGGCGACCGGTCGCTAGGTCGCGTCAGGTCGCGTCGCAGGCAGCCGGCGGTCGCCAAGTCGCGTCAGGTCGCGGCTGGCCATAGACTTTGCATTGGGAGCCGTCGCCAAGTCGCGTCAGGTCGCGTTTGGTCTGAACGCGGCTTTAGAATTGAAAAATAAAATCTGGAGAAACTTCGTGTGTCTTTCTCTCTTCTCCCCTCACAGAATGGCCGGTCATGCAGAGAGCGCTGTAAAACCAAAAAGAGAAACTTGCACAGGCAGTGTGGAACACACACACACACACACACACACACACACACACACACACACACACACACACACACACTCACACACACACACACACACAGAGTCAGCACAGTCAATGATATCGAGTCCACATTTTGTGATGTCTTTGTGTCAGAGGACTAAATATGAGGAGTGGGGACACGTCATCTCAGAACCACGAATTCGTTCTTCTCTAACTCCGAACCAGCCGCTCACCTTCCTGACTGAACTGTGCAAAGTAAAACGCAACCGGTTCAGTGGAAGAGAAGAACAGACACGTTGGCTTAGAGATGACATGACAACTCCGACGCTCTCCAACCTCTGCCGATTATACAATTCAAACTTTTGTGTTTTACAACTGACCGAGTGATACAGTGGTTTCACTCACTATGGTGGGGTGCCGACTCGTGCCTCTGGAGCCCTGGTGTTGTCCTCTTCGCTCAGCCTCACCATTCTTGGACACTGCAGTGAGGAAAGAAAAAAAAAAAAAACACTGTATGATGAAGCAAGGTGTAGTTTTTTACAAATAAATAAATAAATAAATAAAATAATGTTTAAATATATATATATATATATATATATATATATATATATATATTTTTTTTTTTCATTTGTAAAACCCTTTTTATGTACAAACACTTTCTTTCTGTTGGCGTTGAGACATCTTTACAGTATTTTCTGCTCTTAGAAATAAAAATAAAAATAAAAAAATATCTGAGAAACCTTTGTCTCTTTCTTTCTTTCTTTCCCTCTCTCTCTCTGTCCGTTCCTCACAGGATGCGCGCCACACGCTCAGCCGCAGTCGCGCGCCTTTTCTCCCTCGTCGAGAATGTCTTCGTGGCGGTAGCCGCGGAGGCCAGCCGGAACAGGAACAGGAGAGCGTCGGGGTTTTCTTCGCATGTCGATTCGCAGACGAATCCTCCGTCCCGCGTTTTTTCCGTTTTTCAAACTCACCTTCGGCGTTTTCCCCTCCTCGGGATGGTCTTGGACTGTAGCCGCAGAGGCCGCCCTCGGAGGCCGGACACCCCCGGGGAAGGGGGAGAGCGCACTTTTTTGCTCCTCTCCGTCGACTCGCAGACGAATCCTCCACCCCGCATCTCCGTCCGCGCGCCACGCGCTCGGGCGCCGCGCGCTCGGACGCCACGCGCTGAGGCCGGACCCTATCGGGGAGGGGGGGGAGAGTGCACTTTCTTGCTCCTCTCCGTCGACTCGCGGCGCGTCAGAGGCTGAATATGAGGAGCGGGGACGCGTCGTCTCAGAACCACGAATTCGTTCTTTCTTTCCCCGAACCGGCCGCTCACCTACCAGACTGAACCGTTCAAGGTGAAACGTAACCGGCTCGGCGGAAGAGAAGAACAGACAGGTCGGCTCAGAGACGACGTGACCGTTCCTCGCAGGATGGCCAGTCGTGCAGAGGGCACTGTAAACAAAAAAACAAACAAACAAAAAAAAGAATACACAGGCAGTGTAGAAAACACACACGCACAGGTCACACACACACACACATACACACACACACATCTTACCTCTAAAGCCCAGGCGTCGTCCATCCGTCTCCATCCGCGCCACACGCTCAGCCGCAGTCACGCGCCTTTTCTCCCTCGTCGAGAATGTCTTCGTGGCGGTAGCCGCGGAGGCCAGCCGGAACAGTCGACCCGCGGCGCGTCAGAGGCTGAATATGAGGAGCGTGGACGCGTCGTCTCAGAACCACGAATTCCTTCTTCTCGTTCCCCTGAAACCGGCCGCTCACCTACCAGAGTGAACCGTTCAAGGTGAAACGTAACCGGCTCGGCGGAAGAGAAGAACAGACACGTCGGCTCAGAGACATGTTAATAATCGCGCAGAGGCCGGACGCTCTCCGGGGAGATGCAGCCGCAGAGGCAGGAAGCTCTCGGGGAAGAGCGCTTTTTCTTACTCCTCTCTGTCGACTCGCAGACGAATCCTCGACCCCTGCGTCTCCGTACGCGCGCCGTGCGTTTCATCGTCGTCCTCTCTCAGCCGCGGTCCGCTCCTTTTTCTCGAGATCGAGGTCTCGAGGTCGAGATCGTCTTTGGCTGTAGCCGCAGAGGCCAGCCAGTACAGGAGAGCGCTTTTTTCTCCTCTAAGTTGATTCATAGACGAATTTCCTCCTTCTTCGCTCTTCGCTGCGAAAAGAGTCTGTGCAACAGAAGAATACAGCGGAGGTTTTTAGTCAAACATTTTCACGACAGGGTAAAGAAGGAAAACAAAAACAAAAAAAAATAAAAAAGAGAAAAGCATATAACTATATATCTATCTATATAACGTTATAGATAGATAGATAGATAGATAGATAGATAGATAGACTACTTACTCTACTCTCTGCTCTACGATCCTTTTTGTAGATGCGTGTCAAGACTTCGACTTTATTTGTTTTTTTCCTCTTTCTTCGCTCCTGCGGATCCAGTGCCCCCGTACTGCGAAGAGTCCGTGCAACAGAGGAACACAGCAAAGGTTTTCAATCAAACGTTTTCACGACAGCGTAGCAGAGGTGAGTTTTTAGATAACCATTTTGACAAGCAGAAAGAGCTGAGGGTGAGTTGACCTCGACCCTCCGCCGCGCTTTTTGTGCATCACGGGTGGAGGGCGTGTGTGTGCGCGTGTGGATTCAAAGACTCGTTTCTGTGTCATGTATTTGTTATGCTCTTACGGATAGACAACCAAAAACAGCTAAGTCCAATTGAAGCGAATCGTTCAGTCAGGAAGGTGAGCTAACGAATGATTGAATGCGACTCAGCGTAAGAGCAGAGCAAATTTACATTTCACGAAACAGAGAAAGACCAAAACGACTGCACAACTCAGTGGTCGCGGAGAGAGACATCCATTTCGTTCGGCCTGCAAAACAGAGACAGAGAGAGAGAGAGAGAAATGTGGCTTAGGGGATACGGAGCTATCACGGTGATATAAATATATTCATGTCTTTACATAGATAGATAGATAGATAGATAGATAGAGAATACTTACTGTTCTCTGGTCTGTCCTCTACGGTCCCAGTTGTCGGTCTGCAAACCTTTTGAGTAAAGTTTTCTGTTTTTCTGTCCTCCTTGGCAACAACGGAATGAACGGCCCTGTGGAATGCAGCGCGACTGTGAAGGGAAAAAGAGATCCAGTTACCGCATGTTGAGAGAGGGGGGAGTGAGAGAGAGAGAGAGAGAGAGTGAGGGCTCTATTTTCGTGCGCGCCGGTGAGGCGGCGAAGGGCGGCGAGCCCCGCGCAGTTGTATTTTCGTCTGGCGGAGCCCAGCGTAAGGCCAATTTGGTATTTTCGTGGACTGAGGCGCACGGAGGCGAGCCAAGATCCGCCAAGCTGGGCGTGGTGGTGTGGCAGGGGGAGGTGTTGACAGAATCAGCAGGCGCAGTGACATTTTCGTGCTCGCCAACGGCGTGTAAAGTGCGCTGAAAGCTCGCCGATTCAAACCTGGTCAGCTTTCAGCGCAAGGCGGAACGCAGCTGGTCTAGTAGTATTTTGGTAGACCGGCGGCGTATCGACATACGTCACTGATGCCTCACCGGCAGGTTTCCACAGTGTCAGGCACATTTCAGTGCAATAAGTAATCATCATCAACTATTAATCTGAGTCAGCACATACATTTAGATCTATATAGATATATTCTGATCTATATGTGATCTGATGAGCGCGTTTGGCACGCGTTTGGACACACAACCTGACCGAATCAACACAGCTGAAACCGCATCAAATTAAATTAAATATCTAGTAAATAAACACACATGATGAAGTTAACAAGATATGTAATTCGTCTCCCTCCTTTTCTTTCTTCCTCTTCCTCTTATTTCTCGCACAGCTCGACCTGGACACGTCTCCGTGTCCTCTGTCCGTCTTGCTGCTGCTGCAGCTGAACAGGGGCCTCATGTATCAATACTTGCGTGGAACTCATACCAGAAACGAGCGCACGCAAGGTCCGTCACGCTGAAAAAAATCTGTATGTATCAATGTGTGCGGGCGCCGAAATCCACGTGCGTTTCCTTGATAAATCCCAATCAGCGTGGAATTGAGCGCAGATGTCGGAGTGACTGGGCCCGTCCCCGTTACGCCCTCCTATAAATATGCAGATTTATTTAAATAGGGTCTCCCTGTCCTCGCACGCAGACAAAATGACAAGAAAAACTAAATTTACGGCGTGCGAGGTGGAGGTGCTGGTGGCGGAGGTGGAGGAGCGACAGCGTGTTTTGTTTGGCAGCCTGTCCAGTGGCGTCAGTGCAAAACAAAAACGCTTGGAGTGGGAGAAAGTTTGCGAGAGGGTGAGCGCGGTGGATTAAAAAAAAGTGGTCGGACCTCAAGGTGGAGGCCAAGCGGCGTACAGCTGCCCTCCGGAGGAGTACCGGCCAGACAGGTGGGGGTCCGGGGGAGGAGACCCTCACGCCGTTTGAGCAGTGGGTGGTGGCGATTATTATTATAGAGTAAGTGGCATGTCACACAAATGTCCACATGCTTTGTCATCCCACTGAGCAAAAGACGTATTTTAGACGTCTAGTCTAAGTTTATACTTCATTTCAACGTCGGGATTCAGTCTATTTTTAGATGTGATTTATACTTCGCCCTTAACTTCATTTTTCGATAACTTTTTATGCAATAAACAACTGAAATGTGCATAACTGACCTCGAAATACTGGATTACATTACCTATGATACCGTGGAGAGAGATGTAAACGCAACAGATACACAGAAGCAGGAATTGAAATGAACAAATATTTTTATTGTGTCACAGAAATCAATGTGTCGGCCGTGTCGCCGGCTTGCGGAACCCCGGCCCGCGGCAGCCCGTCCGCCGGCTCGGAGTCGTCCGCCAGGACCAGCGGCATTCAGGCCACCCCGGCCCCCGGCCCCAGCACCAGCACCAGCATCAGCACCAGCATCAGCACCAGCGCGCCGACAAGCGGTGGAGCGTCCACCAGCCGCGGCGCTTCCGCTGGACCACCCGGACGCAGTGGAAGGGTCCTCGCGGAGGGGGTCCTGCAATCGCAGGAAGAAATCATCAGGGGGATCGCGGGGATCAACGAGCGGCTGGACCGGCTCGTAAATGTCCTCAAGCGTCTGGTGGAGAAAATAAATTAATTTGGCTCATTGAACTGTGTATTCACTTCTTACCCATTCACACTGTGGCCATGAGATTCTCCCGCGCGAGGACGGCGGCCCGGCAGGGATCAGCTCGCATCCCTCCGTCTGCTGCTGGTTCGTCATGTGGGGCGACGTGCTGCTCGGCCATGGGGATGTGGTGCACGCTTGTCACATAGTGAGTCACCAAACACCGCCACACAGCGTCGCCAAAGTGCGAATCACAGTCAACGCAAGTATCAGCTCAACGCCAATTTCTACACCACCTCCTGACTTTGCGTTGATTAGCGCTGGAACCGACGCTCGTTTCGCGATGATAAATCTGGACGTGTGCGCCGATTTTGACGTACGCAAGGTTTTCTTGCGCCGCAAGCGTTGATACATGAGGCCCCTGATGATTATTTCAGTGCTCAGATGCGTTATCTACTTTAAGCCGACATACGGATATTATAATATTCAGTTTTGTGAGCCAAATTTATTTTATACGCCAACATCTATGAAAGAAAGAGCCAGGCCACGGAGCGCGATGCGTCATTTACGCACAGATGGTTCCGATTTTAATGCCATTTTTGGAGTTTATGTTGTGATCTGTGCGCTTAACCCACCTTTGTCACGTGAGGTTTGAATATGAGCAACTTTATGTGAGTGTCTTTATTTGTGGAAAAGGGTGTTTGTCTTACCAGTGGGTCCAACATTACGCACACTAAATCCATCTGTGCTCATATGAGAGAGTGTGGAGGACACTTGTTGAGGGGCTGCCCTCTGTCGCCATCTTGTGGCATTACTGTCTTAAGACATCTCTTGATCTCTTTGACTACTTCATGAAAATAGTAATACGCCTCGCCTGTGGCGGATTTAAAGGCAAGGAGAGGAGCCTATGTGATTGGTGAAAACAGGTCTCGGCTGTGTTAAACCCACTTCACGCCCTTTCTCCTCCCCGTCTACGACTTATGGTGCTGGGAGGAGCTGAGTTAGGGAGGGGGGATACTTACGCGGGGCTGCGCGGCTCACCAAAATACCAAAATGTGCTTGGGAACGCCTTGTCAGCGCGGCGGATCTGACTGACGCTGCGCTTGCGGCACGTCTCCTGCGAGGCACCAAAATAGAGCCCTGAGAGTTTATTGATCCCCCGTGGGGGAAATTTTTTTGTCACAGCAGCATCACAGACAAGACAAAAAGTGCGAACATGCAGTTATAACAATAAGGGTATAAATAAGGTGCAAAAAAACAACAATAAGAAGGCAAAAACGCGAAGTCTGTGAGGAGCTGCTGTGACTTGCTGCCACTCTCAGGGCGCACGAGTCACGAAAAACGCAAATATATTCATGTCTTTACATAGATAGATAGATAGATAGATAGATAGATAGAATACTTACTGTTCTCTGGTCTGTCCTCTACGGTCCCAGTTGTCGGTCTGCAACACTTTTGAGAAAACTTTTCTGTTTTCTGTCCTCCTAGGCAATAACGGAATGAAGCGGCCCTGTGAAATGCAGCGCGACTGTGAAGGGAAAGAGAGAGCCAGTTACCGCATGTTGAGAGAGGGGGGAGGGAGAGAGAGAGAGAGAGAGAGAGAGAGAGTGAGTGAGAGAGAAAGAGACAAACTATATTGTTTGACTGGATTTCTGAGTTGATCTAAAATCCGAACAGATTTTGTTGTTTTAGGCATTCACAATACCCTACACTACTACGCGTTCACATTGTTTTGTTGGAGCTATTACAGCCATTCCTACGGTGGCCTGGAAGTGCAAAACACAACCGCATAAGAGAAAACACGACAGCAAATCAAAACACAAACGCAAAAGAGAAAACGCAAACACAAAAAAAGGAAACACGACAGCAAATCACATATGCAAACACAAAAAAAGAAAACACGACAGCAAATCAAAACACAAACACAAAAGAGAAAACGCAAACACAAAAAAAGAAAACACGACAGCAAATCACAAATGCAAACACAAAAAAGAAAACGCAACCGCAAATCCCAAAACAGGACAGCATCATCGGTCTTCTTCTTCTTCGTTGTAGTTTAATAGCGGTTTACTCCGCTGGAGGTGGAGTACTACTGCCACCTGCTGGATGTCGGAACGGGAAAGTAAACCCGAACATGGACGCCGAAAGCGAAAGTTTGCTCGAAATTATCTAACAATATTTTCATGCAGGACACACATATGACGTTATAGTCGACATGTTGTCAACTATTCACGGCATTGGCATGAGCGTTCGAACGCTGAAGACCTGCTTGAAAGAAGCTGGCTTCTTTAGACGCCGTAACTACTCCCTCATATTCGAGGTGAGGCGTGCAATTCTGACCGAGCTTGATGGACCAGGGCAACTATTCGGATATCGGACTATGTGGCAAGTCCTACAACAGAAACTTGGACTTCGTGTAAAACGTGACGTGGTAATGAGGTTGCTCAGACAACTGAGCCCACAACGGACGGCTCTGAGGAGACGCAGGAGGTTCACACGGCGTACCTATCACTCCATGGGTCCAAACTATATATGGCATGTCGATGGATACGATAAACTCAAACCATTTGGCCTGGCTCTCTCTGGATGCATAGATGGATTTTCACAAAGAATCATGTGGCTTGTTTGTGGACCGTCAAACAACAATCCATCTGTCATCGCTCACAACTACATAAACTGCGTCAGGACTATTGGTGTTGTTCCAATGCGATTACGAACTGACCTCGGAACAGAAAACGGAACAATGGCAGCAATACAATGCACCCTCCGCCATGGGCATACGGACTATTATGCAGGCTTGTCCAGTCACAGTTCCGGCTCATCAACAGGGAATCAGCGCATCAAGTCGTGGTTGTCTTTTTTCAGAAGAGGAAGGTTGGTAAATCTATCATTGAAAGGTGAAATGTTTATTGGTAACTGTATAGTGATCGACTGTGTTTGTCCACTGTTGATTTTTCACTCCCATGTCTGTCATTGTGAGTATTCACATTAAATAACAAACAGCTTTGCATTAGCTTTAATTCAGTGTTTCAAATGGGTTCTTCAACTTTTTCATATGAATACAAAGTGCATAGAAATGTTTCTACCGCCAAAATGCAATTATATCAATGGCTGAATACGTTTCCAGTCTGATTTGTTCTGTGTGAAGTAAGTAACTTCATGTCTAATGTATCCCCAGGTCTCAGTTTTGGATGGACCTTTTTGGAGACCTGAGAGACTCTGGATTTTTCAATGGCAGCCACGAACACCAGTGTTTGCTGAGATTTTGCTTCAGTAAAGTCCTTCAGAAAGACCTGGATGAATGCGTGGACCTGTGGAATAAGCACCGGATTCGTCCAAGCAGACCAGCATCATGTCCAGGAGGGATCCCAAATGAACTACTGTATATCTCTTGCCCCACAGGTAGTAAAGGTTTACATCAGTGGTTCTCTCTAGTGGTCCTCTCCTCTCCTACTCGTTCCTCTTCTTCCTCCATGCTCTCCTCTCTCTCTCCTCTGCTTATTCAAGGAGCAAAAGTTAGTACAATCTTGTATTTAGAGGCTCAGTCTCTGCGATTGTTGATAAATGTTTATGTGTATCATCTTTTTTTTCAGATTTGGTTCAAGGGACTGTGGATTCTTTGTTGAAGATGCAGAGCTGGATGTGTTTCCCGAGGCAAGACAAAAGATTGATTTTTACAGTGATGCAGACATTGAGGAATACCTACAACAGGCTGTGGAACAAAACAGACTACAACAGCCACAAGACTGGAGGACAGCCTCAGACCTTTACACCACTCTGAAGCAAATAGCTGGGCTGTAGAGACTGAGTCCCAGGTCCCTTTGGTCGGGCTGCTCTCCACTATGTTTGTCCACTCATCAGTCAGTTTAGGGGGGTCCAGCTGCTGGCACAGTCCTTACCCTGCTGCTCCAACCAGTGTTAACAGCCCTGCAGATTGGCGTTTCCCCCGATCTTCAGTGCCTAACCATGTCTCCCTACTGTCAGTTGTGAGAATGTGTATAGTTATATTAATATGTGTAGATGGTGGTGGGAGGCACTGGTTTTTGACTTAAATTATTTGAAAAAAAAGAGCATTTTTTAACCACTTTAGTTGTTATTCTAAATATTTATGAATCTTTGTGGACAAGAATTGGGAATACCTCATTTTTTTGTAAACTGTGACAGGTATAACTTTATTAAACATTTTTACTAAAACTGTACAGTGTCCAGCAGTTATTTCAACATTTTAAATAATAATAAAAAAATGAAAATAAATAAAGTTATTGAGAGACGAAAAGAACCAGTAATAAACAAAAGAAAACCATAAAGGATCCAGATAATATAATGGGTAAGCTGTGCATACAGCTAACTGCACAGACTGAAATATATGCAAGCCCTCACACAGAAGAACGTTAAACTATGCATGTAGCTAACTGCAGAGACATAAGCCCTCACAAAGGTAAACAAATAGCTTTTATGCTTGAAAGGTTCCTATGGCAGCTAAAAACATCCAAATCCTGGAGCATTCTGGATTCCAAACTCCATGTTTGTCTTAAAGACTCTGTAAGTATCCAATAGCGGCAGCTTCAGAGTGTTTGTGCAGGTGCACGCCATTGGAAAAGGAGAATCGATTAAAAACTCTATACTTGGAGAGGGTGTCATTCCAGCTGGTGGAAGCGCTGCTAAGCCACTGGCAAACATAAGCACATCTTCGAGGGACACTGCTGCCACTTTTTCTAAGGACAAAAAAGTCAACATTTTAGTTAGTCATATATTTGATCAGAGAAAATACTAATTATAAATATAACTACACTACAATTAATAAACATCTAACAAAGCCTTGACAAACCTTCGCAATCCAGAAGAAAGTCAGCCCAAAATCCAATTGTTTGGTTCTCCTTCTGCCACCTGTTGCTGCCTCTTGGGCTGCGGTCTGGACGGAAGAGGCTCTCCATTTCTGATGCAGTCAGGGCCTTGGAAGAATGGCACAGAACAGGAGCCAGCACACCTGAATGCTGCTGCAGAGCAGTCAAAAACTGCAGACTTGCCAGTCCCTCTTTGAATCTATTAAGAACAAATATTGTGTAAGACAGGGGTTGTCAACCTTTTGAAAGCTGCCACCCACTCAGGAGGGGAGGAGAGGAAGAGGAGAAGAGGAGAGAATGGAAGGGAAGGAGAGGAGAGAAGTAGGAGGAGGAAAGGAGAAGAGGAGGGGAGGATGACGAGAGGAGCATGAGAGGAGGAGAGAAAAAATGATGAGGAAAGAAAAAAACTTTTCTAAAATATTATTGACGAGCGTTAGTAAAAAAGCAGCCTAAGATAACTTACCTTTGAATGGCAATCTGGTTGCGTCCTAGGATGTACCACCTCAGATAGTCCTCTATGAGCATATGCCTCTCATGAACTTTAGTGCGTCGGAGGCATCCAGCTGTCTGGAACATTGTGCTGTATTGCAAAATTACATCTTGCAAAGATTCGTCCGATTCAGCTTCCTGAACCTATTCAAAAACAATTATTGCAAGAAAAATACAAAGATATCAATCCTGAAAATGTTTGTCATTATTTTATACCAATAGGATTAAATGCCTTTACTTCTCATTGAAATAATAAGAAATCCGTCTCTTTACATAAATATAACTTATGACCTTGAGCATAGTCCACTCTCAATTTCTGAAATAATTTTCATGTGACCCCTTAGCAAATTCAGTCCATGAGTTGAGATCTTTTTCTACCTGACGCAGAGCTTTCCGTAACTCCTCATCGGTTACATCTTCCACAGTGGCGTTGAAAGTTGTCTTCCCTAGAAGGTGATTGACAAGGTCCTTTGAGAGGAAATGTGGTGCCGGTCCCCCGTGTATAATGGAAACAACTATCATCTTGCCTGCTAGAAAGTACTCGTCTTCCCTGACAGCTGTTACAGAGGTTAGAGCACAATTATGCATGATTATCATCTACATCACTTGAAAAAAAAATGATGACGAAATGATTGGAAACTTAACATTTTTAAAATACAATCTGTCCTATTATTAAACCCACCTGTGGAATTGTACACGAGATATCGTCTTTCGGGAGGTCCATCAAAGATGGGGCGATTTCTGAGGTGAGTCATGAGAAGTGTTAGGAATTCTCGTTTTGGCCCACCTGTATCCAACCCCTCTTCAAAGGAACCGGCGTCATCTGTAAACTTGACGAAGATGTCACTGGATTCGGAGTATGTGCTGCGTCGAAATCCGCGCACAGCTCCATCCCACACATCAGATCTTGATATATTGAACCGTCTGACTTTCTTGTGGTCAATTGCAAGTGCCAGATTTGCAATTACTTCTGCTGCCTGCACACTTGTAGGTACTTAAATGTTGATTTATGTACAAGAGATGCTGATGAGTCACTCTCTGAAACAATGAGCACATTTAATTTAATAACTTCTTTTCAATGGACTCTACTCAAACACACATCTTAACAACTGGACCTGAGGCAGGCAGTTACAGGCAGGGAAAGTCTGAGGTGTTCATTTTAGTGACTTCTCACTTTTGAATGATGTAATTTTATGGAAAACACACAGTTGGTTAATTTTCTAATGTCTATGACTCACTCAAATTCTTCAGAAGCCATGTCATTTGTTTTGTCAGGAATGGGAACTTCATCCTCATCATCATCATCAGTGATGATAGGTCCAAAGAGGTCAGTGTAAGTTCTGAAAAAGGAAGATATTATTTGCGCAGAACATCAACAATTCAAAGCACTAATAAATTCAGAAATGCAGGCATTTGCCCTATCAAATGGTTGACCAGTTCTTCTGCTTTAAACATAAGACCTTATCCTTGTCAGGACAGAAATGTTTTATTTCCGAGTCGACATCTTTGTTGGCTGCGTCACAAGTATTCTGTCAAACATTTAACATTTAAGATAAGATATAACACACCTGTAACATGAGCTCTTGACATCATGACATCCAGAGGGACTAGCATAGTCGTGGTCATTATCCAAGACTATGGTCTGAAAAGAAAGAAGAAATATAGAAATGTAGAAATATGCTAAATATTTTAGCAAATAAAGACAGCTCCTCATGAGTGCTCAAGGACATAAATGACAACTAAAAAAACACAGCTATAAAATTGGTGCACCAATTTCAATTTTGTGGCCCATCAACAATTTTTAAAATCTTTGACCTAGTGATCCCTACACAAACTTCGTTTTAAAAACTCATTACCTGTGGCAGATCAGAAGACAATGAAAGCCCCCTAGCACTGTTCCTGAGAGGGCATAGAAGCAGAAATCATAATTTACTACAAAATATAGAAGTGACATTACAAAAGCAAGCAAACATCAAACACACACACACATACACACACACCATAAGTACTTACAGATCTTCAGGCTCATTGTGTACAGGACTGCTCATGTTATAAGGTTCAAATGGCTGTGGTAAAGACAAATATTTGTTGAGCACCAGTAAATGGTCACCCAAATAGGGTAAAAATTGCACTTACCAGTGTATCAGCTAGATCAAGCGTTGTATTTCTCTTTAGAACAATCTCAGGGTCAGAGTCAGTGTCACATGTGGCAGACAATTTTCCAACTGCAAAACATTAAACAAAACTAAGATCAATTGAATGATAAATGCTTGAGAAGAAGTTAAAACATAGAGAAAATGCTTTTTTAACTCCAAGCTGGTTCACTGAGCATGAACATTGAATGCTGAAAACACATTGAGGAAAGACTAACAAAATCCAAGGACCTATTTCACATGATTCAGTGAAAATTCATAACTGCTAATCCAAAAGTGAGGGTAAGCCATTAAAACATCTCATCTTTTTAAAACCCAGTGTCTACATCAAAATCTATATAACACAGCCAGGCATCTTTGCACTGGACACAACTAGGACATAACACAATTTACCTTCCTCAAAGTCGGTTTTGGAGCAGATGTAAATGGTGATGCGCTGATATGGTTTGCCAATTTCCTCCTTGTATGTCTTTAACATAAATGGTGTCTCTGTGCCAGGTACATTGACCACTTCAGAGCAATCTGGATAAAGAAGGATGAAAGGTCCATCATCGAGGTCTTTATTGAAGTCCTTCATTTTTTTCACAGCCTGATCAAGCAGATCTGGGGCAGTGATGTCAGGATGTGTGGAAAGGCACAGACTTCTCCCACGCAGTGGCTTGAGACCGCCTCCCTTCACCATGCTCATCAGACCAACATTTATCTGCAAGATTTTTTTAAAAAGTGGACTGCTAGTGGGTCATGTTAAATATCAATTGACAGTTAATTGGTAATATAATGTATATTTGCATGCCACAGTTAATTATACATTATGGACAGAAACTAGCAAATATATACAAAGTTAATACAAAGAGTCAGAGAAATTGTCTGACTACCATGGGTTGTGGCACCGAAGCCAAGCTAAAATTTATGTCATCATATGTCATATACGGTTAACATGAAACTGTGCCTGCCATCAGGCTTAGTTTAAGAGAAGTGAGATGATGGCGAATGTCAAAAGATAGTCTGTAAGATACTTTGCCCACTCTCACTCTGAGCCACACCCAACTTGCCTGGACTTTCTCTGGTTTCTTTGCTGCCTTTTTCCCACATGAAAACTTTTGCCTCTCCTCTGCTTTCTTCTTTCTGTACTCCAGAAAGGTCTGAAGAGTAGGGGTTTGAATAGTCTGTGATGCTACAGGAAAACAAAGAAAAAAATATTGTAAAATTTTGGGTCTCTTATTTCTGTATAACAGAATGCTGCTAAGGATGCCGCTATGATCAGAGGAGGAGAACCGCACGGGATATTTTACTAATGGGTTACTTTTATATGGTGCTTTAACCTTTATAGAACAGCTTTAATAATAACAACAAATAATGAACTTTGAGAACCATGACTAATTACAAAAACGTGCCCACTGATGTTTCTTTAGTCACTGTGTTTCTAAACTTTGAAAACCCCAAGTCTTGTAATCGTTTGTGCATCGTTTATGAAGGTTTGTGCTGCAAAAATGTTCGTTTGTTCTGCTTTAGTTTTTGAGTTATCGAACATTATTGCAGTGGTCAAGGCAGTATACTGCCTGTGTGTCCTCCTGTGACACATCCTCATCACTAGTGAATTCATCCAAGAAATCACCCTCGCTAGATCTTTTTCTCTGCCACTCTTTCAAATAATTAGAGGCCATATTCAATATGGCTGGAAAGAAAACACATGGAAAAAGAACAGTGTGAGCTTGTAGATCAACCATTATAAATTTATTTTTTATTTTTTTTAGTACAATTGGCAACTTGTGAAGCAGAACATAATGCATAATGAATACCTTTCGCTCTTGGTAAAAAAAAAATTCACTACCAATACTTTTAGATTTTTACTATTAGAATTTCCTATAGCACTGCTAATCCATTAACAAAATACTATTGGAATAATTCAAGTAATGCGTCCCAATTCTACCACACATAGTGAAAAACACATTTATGACAATCACAGTTAAACACAAATTTAACTATATAAAAAATACCACTGGATAACCAAAAACAACAGTACTGGCATCAAAATAGACTTCATTGTCTAATTTAAATGGATAGCCTAACTAGCAGCTTTTTAACCTTGGCTCCAACAGAGAGAGCAGGCCCTCATTTACTTTCACGACAACACACGAAATCGACGTTGAAATGAAGTATAAACTTAGACTAGACGTCTAATATAGGTCTTTTGCTCAGTGGGTAAAGCAGTCCCCACTTATCTTTCAAATTAGCTCAAAATGGTCTCGCACGAAAATGTTCGTGCCGCAAACATTTTCGTTTGTGCTGATTTACATTTTGAGATATTAATATGGTCAATTTCGTCACGCAGGGGGGCAACCGCCTTTCCGACATCCCGCCGTGGAGCCGGTGCTTGAGCAGGGGAAGGAAAGAGACGCAAATTAACGCTGCTACTGTAATGTCTTAACTCCCACAAGTAGCAGAACACATTAATTGAACATCCCTTAACTTACTTGATGGACTGTCACCGTCCGCTTCTTGCAGCCTTTTCCCACAACTGCTACAAAAGTTAGGTTTTCCCGGGAGCTCTTTGCCACAGTACCGGCAATACATCGTCAGGCGCGCTTCGTGTTTGACCCTTTCCGGGTCAAAGGACAGACGAGTCGATTCGAGCGCTTACTTTCCCGTTCCGACATCAATCCAGCAGGTGGCAGTAGTACTCCACCCCCAGCGGAGTAAACTGCTATTAAACTACAACGAAGAAGAAGAAGAAGACCGATGATGCTGTCCTGTTTTGGGATTTGCGGTTGCGTTTTCTTTTTTGTGTTTGCATTTGTGATTTGCTGTCGTGTTTTCTTTTTTTGTGTTTGCGTTTTCTCTTTTGTGTTTGTGTTTTGATTTGCTGTCGTGTTTTCTTTTTTTGTGTTTGCATATGTGATTTGCTGTCGTGTTTTCTTTTTTTGTGTTTGCGTTTTCTCTTTTGCGTTTGTGTTTTGATTTGCTGTCGTGTTTTCTCTTTTGCGGTTGTGTTTTGCACTTCCAGGCCACCGTACATTCCCTTGCTTTAAAAGCACACAGAGTAAGAAGATGAACACAAACAAATAGAATAGAATAGAATATTCCTTTATTGATCCCCCATGGGGAAATTTTTTTTGTCACAGCAGCATCACAGACAAGACAAAAAGTGCGAACATGCAGTTATAACAATAAGGGTATAAATAAGGTGCAAAAAAACAACAATAAGAAGGCAAAAACGTGAACTCTGTGAGGAGCTGCTGTGACTTGCTGCCACTCTCAGGGCGCACGAGTCACGAAAAACGCAAATATATTCATGTCTTTACATAGATAGATAGATAGATAGATAGATAGATAGATAGACAGATAGATGGATGGATAGATAGATATAGAATACTTACTGTACTGTAGTCTCTCCTCTATGGTCCTTTTTGTCGGTGTTCAACACTTTTGAGAAAACTTTTCTGTTTTCCTGTTAGGCAACAATGGAATGTTGTGTTCGGCACATTATGTGTTGTAAACCCGTTTTTTTTTTTTGTTTGTTTTTGTCTGTATAGAACCTCTGTTGCAGGTCTGCCCCATCCTGGGTGAGGGGATCTCTCCTGTGTTGCTCACCCTGAGGTTTCTCCAATTTTTTTTTGTTTTGTTTTATTTCTCCATTTTTCCTCAGTTGACGTGAGGGTCTAAGGGCAGATGATGTTGGCATTATAATGCTATGTGAAACTCTCTGAGACAAAAGCGTGTGTAAAAACAAAATCCCCTTGCCTTTTCACTGTACTGCCTTTATTTTGTGATAGGTTGTGCTCATTTATATGAATTAGGTAGTGCGGCTGTTGTTATCTGTATTTGCAAGCTCTCTGACACTCTCTAAGTTTCCCTGCCGTGATGAATACAGTTTTCACTCTATTCTACTCTACTCTTGTGATGGAACTTTTGTTGATACCAACATCCTTTCCTAAAAATCATTTTATTTTTTTTTCCAGTCCTCCAAGTTTCCAAGTTTTCTTAGTCTTTATATGTAGTGTAGCCTTGAAAGTAAAACCTAGAGCTCTATGTTTTTTACAGTCCTCACGCTGTAAAATACGGGGGGTCCTCAACGCCACCACCACAGGATACTTGACTGGATGAGCGAGAATCGGGTCCAGGGGTGTATGCTGTTTGAGATGCGCGCTGGAACGTCAGGAGTCATGAGTTCAAATGAGTAAAAATAAATAAATAAATAAAAATAAAAAAAAATAGTCTATGTACACCACAGTGGGGTATATTTGACACTGCCGAGGGCAGGGACGCGAGTTTACGATTCTCAAATCCATACTTGACTGGGGTCTATTCGACCCAGGCGGGGTAAAACAATCAGGAGTCATGGGTTATCGTAGTCCACGCTGACTGGAGGCTAAATTCACCCCACTAGGGCGAGGGTATACTGACTGGGTCTTTTTGACCCTGAAGGGCAGCACAAGGGTTATAGGTGAGAAGGAGTTTCAGACAGAGAAACAAGAAGAAAAACATGATAAATATCAGGAAGAAAACAAAAATTATCTGGAAGAATCCACCATTAAGATAAAAGGTCTGATTAAAAATAGACAAGAAGATGAGTTTAGAGGAGATTTAAAAACTGACATTAATGAAACTTTGATGGAGACCAAAGAGAAGCTGAACCAAACCAAAGAAGACCAAGGAAAACAGGCCGAGCAACAGCTGCAGGTAAAGGAGAAAGACAGAGGGCTCTATTTTGGTGCCTCGCCGGAGACGTGCCGCAAGCGCAGCGTCAGTCAGATCCGCCGCGCTGACAAGGCGTTCCCAAGCACATTTTGGTATTTTGGTGAGCCGCGCAGCCCGGTGTAAGTATCCCCCCTCCCTAACTCAGCTCCTCCCAGCACCATAAGTCGTAGACGGGGAGGAGAGAGGGCGTATAGTGGATTTAACACAGCCGAGACATGTTTTCACCAATCACATAAGCTCCTCTCCTTGCCTTTAAATCCGCCACAGGCGAGGCGTATTACTATTTTCATGAAGTAGTCAAAGATATCAAGAGATGTCTTAAGACAGTAATGCCACAAGATGGCGACAGAGGGCAGCTCCTCAACAAGTGTCCTCCACACTCTCTCATATGAGCACAGATGGATTTAGTGTGCGTAATGTTGGACCCACTGGTAAGACAAACACCCTTTTCCACAAATGAAGACACTCACATTAAGTTGCTCATATTCAAACCTCACGTGACAAAGGTGAGTTGAGCGCACAGATCACAACATAAAGTCCAATTATGGCATTAAAATCGGAACCATCTGTGCGTAAATGACGCATCGTGCTCCGTGGCCTGGCTCTTTCTTTCATAGATGTTGGCATATAAAATAAATTTGGCTCACAAAACTGAATATTATAATATCTGTATGTCGGCTTAAAGTAGATAACGCATCTGAGCACTGAAACAAATCATCTGTTCAGCTGCAGCAGCAGCAAGACGGACAGAGGACACGGAGACGTGTCCAGGTCGAGCTGTGCGAGAAATAAGAGGAAGAGGAAGAAAGAAAAGGAGGGAGACGAATAACATATCTTGTTAACTTCATCATGTGTGTTTATTTACTAGATATTTAATTTAATTTGATGCGGTTTCAGCTGTATTGATTCGGTCAGGTTGTGTGTCCAAACGCGTGCCAAACGCGCTCATCAGATCAGATATAGATCAGAATATATCTATATAGATCTAAATGTATGTGCTGACTCAGATTAATAGTTGTTGTTGATTATTTATTGCACTGAAATGTGCCTGACACTGTGGAAACCTGCCGGTGAGGCATCAGTGACGTATGTCGATACGCCGCCGGTCTACCAAAATACTACTTGACCAGCTGCTTTCAGCCTTGCGCTGAAAGCTGACCAGGTTTGAATCGGCGAGCTTTCAGCGCACTTTACACGCCAGTGGCGAGCACGAAAATGTCACTGCGCCTGCTGATTCTGTCGACACCTCCCCCTGCCACGCCACCACGCCCAGCTTGGCGGATCTCGGCTCGCCTCCGTGCGGCTCATGCCACGAAAATACCAAATTGGCCTTACGCCGGGCTCCGCCAGACGAAAATACAACTGCACGGGGCTCGCCGCCCTCCGCCGCCTCACCGGCGCGCACGAAAATAGAGCCCAGAGAGAAGACAGAGGAATCCACTGAGGAGGTGAAGGTAATGGATGAAGTAATGATGAAGACTGAAGAAGATAACATTAATGTCACTCAAAAGAAAGATGGGGGGGTTCAAAACCAAAATGAAAGGAGGAGAAGAGAAGAAGCAGTTAGAAGAGCAGCTGAACTAAGAGGAATGAGACAGCAGAAGAGTGTAGACAGAGAAATCAAGGAGGAGGTTAAAGAAGAAGGTGGAGGAGGACGGACAGAAGAGTCAGAGTCAGAAGAAGACATGGAGATTTATGAAAATCAAAGTGAGACAAAAAAGACAGAGAGCCTTTTTAAAGGAGCAGAAGGGGAGCAGCAGATCATGTTACAACCTGAAATCGATATGGAAATCAGTGAGGAGGGAAAAGAAGGAGGTGAAGAAGGACAGACAAAAGAGTCTCAGACTGAAGAACCCATGGACATTGAAGAAACTAGACTGAGGGCCAACATGATACAAACAGAAAACAAAGTTGGAGAGGAAGAAGAAGAAGAAAAGATGATGGTTCAACGACAGGGTCCAGAGATGCTGAAGAGAAAGGACTGGAAGACTTATAGACCTGAAGCTTATGATAGAAAGAGCAGTAAAGAAAAACATAAGAGACAGAGTTTCCAGATGACCATCAAAAGAGAGCAAGAAGAGAGTTCAATACAGGACAGTTTTAAAACACTGAAACAGTTAATGAAAGAACATGATGTTGATTAGGGAGAGTTACTGGAGAGATCTCGAGAAGAGGAACTGATGGAGATCAACTGAAACTGACATCAGGACTGTCAACAGAGAAGAGGAGACATGCTCTTGACATTGTTGTTTTCATGTGAGAGTAATGTATGAAATGTTTAAGAGAGAAGTGTGAAACCATGAAGAATTCACCATCACCACATTCTTCCAACAAACACTGATCTGATCCTTACTCATGATTCATCCTCCAAATTATTCCATTCTGAGCAGAGGTTTATCAAAATGTCTGTGCATCAAAATTAACTGACACACACCACACTGCTGGTACCCTGTCAGATACATGTGACACACACACACACACACACACACACACACACACACACACACACACACACACACACACACACACACACACACACACACACACACACGCACACAAACACACACACCCACTGTTCTCCTTAAACTGCAGAACATCATTTCATCAAAGCATTTGATGCAGTTTCCTTCCACTGTGCTGTGAACATGTTTGGTCAATGTTCAGCTATTAAAGTTATAAAGTTGCCTGATCAATGCTTAAGGCTTAATCAATAGATTTAATGAACTCTGGAGCAGTGTTACCATGAAGTTATTTATCTATCAGTCCAAGTACTGAGGGAGCTGCAGAAAAAATAAATCAGGTAACTTGTTATCACCAAGATCACTTTCTTTAGTGATGGATCGTAAAAAAAACAATAGTTATAATCCTGAGCACTGACTGCTGTATATCAATGTGTGTTAGCAGAGACTCAGATATCAGAGTTTGAGCAGTTAAACATTAACACCAGATGAAACTGGAGCGCAGACTTGTTGGACTCAGACAGATTTATCTAAGGAGAGAAATCCAGTTTACAACTTTCAAAGAGTTTTGAGGATCTGGATCACAAAGAATTTTAAAGCTACTGTAAGGGACTTTTGAAATGACTTGATTTTGATGCTGCCTGTGGGGAAACATGTGCATCATATCACTTAGCTGGTCTTGTGTTGTACAGGCTAGAGTTTAACTCTGATAAAAGTCTCCAATCCTGCAGCCTCCAACAGTCAGTTGTGTCTCTTTTTGTAAGTCTTTGGATTGATATTGTAAATAAAGGCTGTTTCTATGGAGCCAGATCAGGCTCAAAAGTATTGAAAAAGTAGTGTAAGTGAAAAAATAAAAAGTGAAGTGAAAAAAATAAGATTTGAAGGTCCTTTGTCTCACCCTGTAGAGAAAGCCACTTTCTAATACTAGTTCTGTAAGTTTCCCGACGTGTCCTTGTAAAGTCGAGAACGTCTTCACTCTGGACAGATGATAGATGCATATAACATCGTTTCGCTCCTTTTTATGCACTTTTGAAGGCTGTTTTCTTTTGTTCCTTTTCTTTTCTTCCTCTTCGCTTGTCTCGCTGTGAGATGCGGTCGTCGCCATGTTTGTGTATTTCTGATACTATGGCAACGAGACTCGGCTCCTATTGGTCCACGTGACAAAAATCGCTTCACCCCCTGCATATTCGATTGCGCGTGTGCAAGTATCACTACGCCGCAGAGGGGAAATAGTTCGACACCGAAACACTGATTACTAAAAATCGACAGGATGACATGAGTAGATATATTTTTTTAGTACTTACTATCAATAGAGCTTTTTAATGAATCACAGTTTATATTGCACCACTAAAGTGGAACGAACCAACACGATCTCATTCAGCCAATACAGCCTAATTGTAGGCTAAGCTAATGTGTATTCATGCCACTTCCTGAACGCAGGGTGATGGGGTGGGGAAGGAGGGGGAGGCCTGTCACTCATGGCAAACCGCGCCCCTCTCAGTCGAGGCCCGCCCCCATGGAAAAACAGGCTCAAAAGTCAACCTGAAACTTTTCAAGTTGAATCTGAAAAAAGAAGATCTGAATCTGAAAAAAAAAATCTGAAACCGAAAAAAAAGTTTTGAATCCGTAAAAATAAGATCTGAATCTGAAATAAATAAATAAAATTCAATCGAAAAAAAAAAGTACTCAAAGATCAAAATATACATTGAAGTGAAAAATAGAAATAAGTAATTTATTCAAAAGTATTAAAAAACAGAATCAAAGTTACATTTGAACAGATTTTTTTCATGCATTCTGGGATTTTTCAAAGTTCAATTTCGAAATTCAAGACTTTCAGGTACCATTTTATTTTTTTCAGGTTCAAATCTTATTTTTTCACTTCACTTTTTATTTTTTCACTTACACTACTTTTTCAATACTTTTGAGCCTGATCTGGCTCCATAAGGTTGGGCTCAAGAACAGACAACATCACTCAGAGTATATATCCATGTCTTATATGATCTCTGCTGACAGCATGCTGAAGAAACATATGGTTGTCTGTTCTTGAGCCCAACCTCAGCAGTTGCTTTGTTAGAAATGCTGACTCGAGCTGAATTTTTGTTAACCTTGCAGGAGGCAAAGATGTGAAACTGAGCGAGACCTTATCCCTGCTAACCACAAGTGTGCTAATGTCTCAGTCAAGTTAGCTACAACTCTAATCAAACCAAACTCTTTGTTTTTATGGCCTCAAAACTCATGAGTTATAAAATATGATGAGAGTGTTTTGCATCAGGCTGTAAACATGCTCGTTCTTACTGGTATCATTGGAGTCTGTTTGGCTTTTGGTGTCTTATGCCTATCACTTATGCCTAAGTGTTCCCAGAAGAGCTGACTCTTGCTTTTCTTAAGGTGGAAAGAGACTTTGCAGATCTGTTAGAGTTGGGTTATTCATTCCAGCACTAGGGGGTGGTGGAGGAGAGCAGTCTGACTTAATATGACAGAGTCTAAGGTTATCCAGTCATGGAGAGATTTCCCATAGACTGTATGGACAACTTGGTTCCGCCTAACGCCTGTATACGGATTTGAAGCCAAAAATCTCTCTGTGTAGTTCCAGGATTTTTCTTCATTTCCTGAAACCAGCGCTGCACAGTAGCGATGCGCGCATTCGGCCATGCATTCGCAGTGAGTCACTGTGTGTCAATCATAGAAAACTTTAAACCCCCTAATAACTTTTAAAAACGGAGCTTCACAGAAAAAAAGAGGACTTGAGCACAAACCAGTCTTACAGTAACTACATGTCAACATCACAAGCAGGGGGGAGAAAAATTTATGTTCTGTGTAAAAAATTTTAAAGTTTGTCCACAGCCCCATAAGCTTTCTGGCGGAGGCGGGATTTATGACCTATACTGCAGCCCATCAACAGAGGGTGCTGTTCTCGGAGTGGCTTCACCCAGCAAGGAGGCAGACTCTGTCCATTCTATATACAGTCTATAAAATTTTCGAGTCTTCTTCATCATCCTGAAACTTCTTCTCTCTCTTCGAGAATTTGCACAACTCTGCCCTCTGAAGGTGACCAGACCATCATGACAACAAAACATTTATCAGCCCAAATTTGAATTATTGAGAAAAACCAGCAGTAAATGAAGTTTTTTTTTTTTTTTGTCTTATTTGCGCAAAAATATTTTTTAACAAAACTCTTCCATGTCTCCTGAAAACACGGCTGGAGATCCACATTTATTTTCTCATGTTATTGTAAACTCAGTTTTATTTGTAACTCAGAAGAAACTGAATGTTCTGTATTGCTTTATAATTATGATTTCTGCAGATTGATGTAAATATCAGACACGTACTGCTTGCTCTGCTGAATTAACAGTCAGTGCAGAGTGGCTGTTGAAAAGGTCAGTACACCTTTTCATGCAGGTGACAGGAGATGAAAACTTTCCTCCTTTTTATCAGACCTCCACCAGCTGCAGACTCCCACAACCATCCCACAGGTAAGGAATGTTTTAGTCAGTGTTTTTGTCATTTCTTGTCAACAATCTTTGTTCTTTTAGAGGGAAGCCCTTCTCTGTCATGAACGCTCTCCTCCATGTTATGACTGTAATCAGGAAATCCTCTGTCCTCGCCTGTTCTCTCTATGTGATTTAAAAGTATATTTTGACTGTAAATATTAAAGGCTCTGGTTCTTTTAGTCTTCATTTTTTGAGTCTATTTGTGATTATTATCTCACTATTATCATCTATGATCAGGACTTCAGACTCATGGAATTTCTGTAAACATGAAATACAGTAAAATTTATTCTAGCTCACCTGAGAGCAAGATTTTACAAAGCAGTTTACAGTTAGTGCAGTTAAGTAAATTTAATGGTCTTTAGTTGCAGTATTTTAGCAGTTAAAAGAGAAACTAAAAAAAGAAGCATGTTGGTTTAGTAATAAATGTCCTAAAGTCAGGCTTAAATATCACACAGAGAAAAACTCAAACCAGGGCCTGTTCTAGGAATGCAGTCAGAATGTAAGTGGGGCTTTTTTTTCACACATTTTTAACACTGTTTGTGTTTTCTTTATGGCATGGGTTGTTAGCTGTGTGTCCAGCTCTCAACTTGGAGAATTGGATTGCACTCTGTCAGGGCTCTACCCTAAGACCTGTCCAACTTGGGTGTCCCTCCTGAAGACTAGAGCTCCTGCTGGTATAACTCTTAGGGTCACTGAGGCACACAAACCCCCCTACCACAATAAGGTGGCAATCCCTCAGGGGGAAAACTGAAAAATAAAAATGAAAAGTGAAAAAAAAAAATCTTTCATCCAGATTTTAACAAACAACAACATAACATTTATCTTAACTGGATGGCTTAATTCTCAAATAAGGGAGACTGGGGCTTGTTGTCACACAGGCAGGTAAGTTGTCACATTGTAATTATCTTTGCCACCAGAGGGCACAATTAAAAAGTGGAATACTAGTTTTCTTCCTTTACATGGCCAGGGGTCATGTCCACAAGTTAACTAGAAAAGCACTCGGAGAGCGCAGACCTCCGCCAAGCATCTCATGTCCCCCCCCCCTTATATTGTGATTCACACCAAAACTTTTACTGTTACGTGTCTTTTATTAACGTTTATTTGTGTTTAAACTGGTATGTTCACTGTTCATAATGTTCCTAAAACAACAAAGCTCATATTAGATACATAAATGCGTGATTTATTATGCAATATTTGTAAGCGTACACTTCCTTGTATCTTCATTGGTTATCTTTCAGCATTGAAAATTCCAACAACACCCTTATTTTTGTGTATTCTGGATCACAGTATCCCGAATTTTGTCTGGATCAGGATCAACCTTTGACACCTCATAAAACTCATTGAGATCCTTTTGTGTAATTTTTTACTAAAGACTCTGGCCATTTTTAGAGAGTTAAATGCAAAAATTCCAAAATTTGCCCTATCTCACAATGATAAAGAATCCTTCAAAAAATTCCTGGATCCAGAAGGCGATCCGGATCACCACCAAAATCTAATGGGATCGTCCTGGGGCTGAGACGCACTTCTGGTGTAAATTTCAGGTCAATCCGTCTGTAACTTTCTCCGTAAAGTTGTGAACAGTCAAACAAACAAACAAACAAACAAACAAACACTACCGAAAACATAACTTCCTTGGTGGAGGTAATAAAAACTCTGTCTTTGTTCTCCGAATTGACCGGTCGTGAAGAGCCAGAGGTTTCGGTCAACCGCCGGTCGGGTCAGTTGGGTAACCTGAAAGTGCAAACAAGTCTGGAAAAATTTATATTATCCTGTGTCCTGGGACCAGATAAGGAACCTGTCCTGCAGGGAAGGGTTGCTGCAATAGTAAGTAACAGTCAAGAACCTTTCTAATCACGCATGCACCACCTGATGGTGGGACACATCCGCAACTAAGCAAACAAGCTCAGAAACCTAGGCTGTGTCTCATTTCAGAGACCGCATCGTGATAAGCGCGCTTAACGGCGCTTAGCTGAGTGCACTGCCGTTTTTAGCCGTTTTACGCCGTTTTGCGCCGTTCTGTGCCCTTCCTGTGTCCCATTTCAGATACAGCAGCCATCGGACGGCGCATCTGACGCGTACGTGAGGTCACCACGCGGCACGAACGGTGTCCCGTTTGGCACAAAATACTAAGCGCGCTTCAAATTCGGTCTCAAAACCACACTACCCCCGCCTCGTTTTCAAGCGTGCATGTATGCACGCTTTCGTGCCGTCGGTATCCCAGAATTCTTTGCGTGCCGCTGCACAGCTGTGCATTTCAGGTGAGAGGCTGGACGCGCTTGGAGACACAGCGCGTCTTCAAAGAAAATACAAGCAATCCAAAACCATCAGACAGTCAGCTCAGGCTGTATGAGAGCATGATCTCTGAACTCACTAAAATCTGTAAACCAAACATTATAGATTTAGAGACGAACTGATCCGCTGTGTTACAACTATCAAAAACATTAGAAATGAGAAAGCTGACAAAACTACAGCAGAGTATCAGGACAACATTGAGGTTTTTTTTTCTTTTAAGATTTAGAGATTAAAGTTGTAAATTTAGGAGAATAAAGTCATAAAGTAAATAAAGTCATAAAGCTGCTTTTGCGGAGGGGGAAATGACTGAAGCTGGTCATCTGCAGGGTTATCTGTGGATGTATCAGCGGGTCATTCAGAGAGATTTTGTGGTTTCTGAAGAAACAATCAAACTGATGATAATCAACATTTGTGATCCAGAGGGAGTCGAGCTCCAGCGAACACCACGTCTCTGACACCGGCGGTAGCCTACACCTGCAGAGACACCAACACCTTATTACGGCATATGGATTCATATCATAAACTAAAGCTCAATGTCATTCACGGATATTAACGGCTGCATTGACAGATATATCCTCAGCATATTCATTTCTGCCTCCACAAAAGCAGCGATTTCCTTCAAGTACACCAATATTTTTCCCCCGTGGAAAAGACGTATTTCTCATATATTCTTTTTTTAAAGTCTTTATACTTATGACAATGTAATGCTGATGTGCCAGAGGATGAAGAATCTCCTTGTTTGTGAAACCTATACTGAAGCACAGTTCCTTCAAATGCTTCATGGCCCTAATTTTAACAAGTCTCTCTGAAATAACAGGTTATGACTTCATTCTCATAAATTAATGACTTTATTCTCATAAATTAATGACTTAAATCTCGAAGTCCTTAAAGTCTTGAATCTCAATATGGCCCTCATACTCCTTCTTACAAAACAATCATTGGATGAATTGTGCTTGTATGTATCTACTATTTTGTGTCTGTGTAAGGTTGCACAATTAAAACAATAAATGCTGCGCTCCGCGGGTTTCCTTTAAGTCAGTCGTGACGCGAGCCTGAGGGCGGGGACATTTGGCAACTCCACCAGGAAGTCCTCCGAAGGTCTCCAAATGTCCCCGCCCTCAGGCTTACGTCACGACTGATTAGAAAAAAAGCTGCGGAGCGCAGCATGTATTGTTTTAATTGTGCAACCTTGCACAGACACAAAATAGTAGATACATACAAGCCCAGATCATTCCCACAAAATTAATCCAATGATTGTTTTGTATGAAGGAGTATGAGGGCCCTATTGAGAAGGAGGATAGGAGATACTTCATCCTCTGGCACATCAGCATCACATTGTCATAAGTATAAAGACTTTAAAAAAAGAATATATGAGAAATACGTCTTTTCCACGGGGAAAAAAACTGGTGTACTTGAAGGAAATCGCTGCTTTTGTGGAGGCAGAAATGAATATGCTGAGGATATATCTGTCAATGCAGCCGTAAATATCCGTGAATGACATTGAGCTTTAATTTATGATATGAATCCATATGCCATAATAAGGGTTTGGTGTCTCTGCAGGTGTAGGCTACGGCCGGTGTCAGAGACGTGGTGCTCGTCGGAGCTCGACTCCCTCTGGATCACAAATGTTGATCATCATCAGTTTGATTGTTTCTTCAGAAACCACAAAATCTCTCTGAATGACCCGCTGATACATCCACAGATAACCCTGCAGATGACCAGCTTCAGTCATTTCCACCTCCACAAAAGCAACTTTATGACTTTATTTACTTTATGACTTTATTCTCCTAAATTTACAACTTTAATCTCTAAATCTTAAAAGAAAAAAACCTCAATGTTGTCCTGATCCTCTGCTGTAGTTTTGTCAGCTTTCTTATTTCTAATGTTTTTGATTGTTGAAGCAGAGCGGATCAGTTCGTCTCTAAATCTATAATGTTTGGTTAACAGATTTTAGTGAGTTCAGAGATCATGCTCTCATACAGCCTGAGCTGACTGTCTGATGGTTTTGGATTGCTTGTAATTTCTTTGAAGACGTGCTGCGTCTCCAAGCGAGTCCAGCCTCTCACCTGAAATGCGCAGCTGTGCAGCGGCACGCAAAGGATTCTGGGATACCGACGGCACGAAAGCGTGGATAAATGCACGCTTGAAAACATGCTAAGCGCGCTTAGCATTTTTTAGCATCTCGTGCCAAACGGGACACCGTTCGCACCGTCGTGACGTCATGCACACTTCAAATGCACCGTTCGACGGTGCAGAAGGGCACTTAGGTCGATGCGGTCTCTGAAATGAGACACAGCCCTAGTCTGGGTTAAAACAACACACCTTTACACTTCTTGTGTTTTGTGTTGTATTTCTGGCATGTTACATATCTATCTCTACATTCTATATAGAATATATGCACAAATAAATAAATATAAATATTACAGGGAAACGTCTAATTTGGTTTGAGATGTTGTCACTGTGTTGCTGGAAACAGATGTGGATAGTATGAACATTGACGGACAGGTTCACTGCATAACTGAATCCATCAACTTCTGTAGAGACACAATTATACTGACAAAGACTGTTTGCTGTTTCCCCAACGACAAACCCTGGAAGTGACATAAAAGCAATCCTTAACCAGAAAAAGAAAGCTTTTAAAGATGGTGACAAAGAATGACTCAAACAAGTGCAACAAGAGTTGAAGAGGAGACTGAAGATGGCAAAGCTGGAGTACAAAAAGAAGATAGAGAATAATCTACAACACAGCAACAACCGTGAAGTGTGGAAAGGAATGTAGCAATTTGAATTTATTATAAATGTCCTAAAATAATATAATTAAATTATGACTTTTTTGCACTTGTTGAAAGGGGCGCCACCTACCCTTACTGGTGGGAAAAATAAAGAAAACAAGGTTCAATTGAATAATCAAACGTTGAATCAGTCTTAAAACATATTTAAATCAATCTCACGTCTGAAGTCGGAATTCTTATTTCGGGGACTTCACTTCTGTAAGAACCACTAAGAGACGACAACTTAAAATTAAATGGATACTTTAATGACAAATGCAAGGTGATAACAATAAACAATAAATGATGATCAAACAACGAGAAAATAAAAGCATACTTAATGGATAAATGGAGGAATGGTTTGAATTGAGCTAAGACTGGAGGTTAATGATAGTGAGTGAATACCATAGACTGTATATAAGATGGACACCGTGGTTCCGCCTTCCGCCTGTATACGGATTTTAAGCCAAAAAGCTCTCGGTAATTCCGGGTTCCTTGAAACCAGAGCTGTGCAGTAGCGTTGTGCGCATTCGGCCGCGCAGTCGCCGAGAGTCCCTGTGATGACGCTAGGCTCAAACAGCGTATTCCCCCGGAAGAGCTACGCAATCCCTGAATGCCCATAGGCTGTACCAGGTGTCAATCATAGAAAACATGAACCCCCTAATAACTTTTAAAAACGGAGCTGTACAGAAAAAAAAGGACTTGGGCACAAACCAGTCTTACTGTAACTATATGTCAACATCACAAGCAGGGGGGAGAAAAATTTATGTTCTGTGTAATAAATTTCTAAAGTTTGTCCACAGTCCCATTAGCTTTTCTGGCGGAGGCGGGATTTATGACCTGTACTGCAGCCCATCAACAGAGGGTGCTGTTCTCGGAGTGGCTTCATCCAGCGAGGAGGCAGACTCTGTTCATCTTATATAAAGTCTATGGCGAATACGGAAAAATTTAACCTACTTTAACAGGGTTACGAGGATAAATTTAGGAAGAGGACTTTGGAGAAAATAATTTATAATTTAGGATGTAAACTCTGAACGTATGAGACAGCAGCAAGCCTGTTCTTCAGAGAGTGTCGAGAGGTTTGTCTACTTGACGATGAAGACGAGGACAAAAACGGCAACACAGAAAAAACACAAGGTAGTAATGTACTTTGCTTTGCCCAGTCTTTCCAAAAGTTCATCAATGCAGGGCATTGGATATGAATCAAAACCGGAGATGCTGTTGAGCTTTCTCATGTCTGAACAGAATCTTAGCTGAGGAGAATCTTTTTTTGGAACCAAAACAATTGGGTTTGACCACTCACTTTTAGATGGTTCTATGACTCCCATGTCTAGCATCGCTTGTACTTTTTGCTTTAGGGGCTTCACCAATCTGTTCTGCCAGGTTTTTCTTGAAATAATGCAGAGAAAGACTGCTTTACTTCGCTCAGTTGGATTTGTTGTTCTGGACTCAGATGTTCTGGGAATCTTTCTGTGTTACCTCTGGTTCTGGTAGGTGTCAGTTCAGCTTCATCAGTCTCCTCTGTGTCATCATCAGTCACCTGGATGTCTGATCAAAAGGGCCTGCTGTTTGGTGGACTCAGGCTTTCTATCTATGTATAACTTCAGCAGATTGACATGGAGGATTTGTTTTGACTTCCGCTTATCAGGACAGAGAATTTCATATGTTACAGGTCCAACTCTCCGAGACACAGCATATGGGCCTTGCCACTTGGCCAGTCGCTTACTTGGTCCTGTAGGCAGTAATATCAAGACTTTTTCCCTGGTTTCAACTCTCTCTCTTGCTTGTTTATCGTACCATACCTTTTGTTTGCTGCGACTTTCCTCCACTTTTTGCCTGGCCATCTCCCGGAAACTTTCCAGCTTGTCTCTTATCTGTAAGATGTAGGATACTGTACTGTGTGTTGTTGCCTCACCAGCCACCCATTTCTCCTTGAGCATGTCCTGGGGCCTATTCTACGAAGCAAGTTCAACCTAGCGAGGTAGCCTTGAAGCTACCTCGCTCAACTAAGCGCGGTAGCCAGCGGTCTTGCTAAACGGTCTTACGACACTGGTTATCAACCTCGTAAGTGGATCCAGTTTTGCTATGAGCGCGTGCATGCATGTAAGGCGAACAGTCCAGTTGAAGAATTCAAATCTGTCATAAACCTCAAAAGCAACACCGTCGCTGCTGCAAAAGCATGGAGGGAATGCTGGCAGAAAATTAATCTTTGATGCCATTATCACCCTGAAATAGCACTGTTTAACATGCACTTTTAACTAAGGTGACCAGACGTCCCCGATTTCCGGGGACAGTCCTCGAATTGGATGACCTGTCCCCGGCTAAAGCTGTCCCCCCCTGATTTAAGCGTTTCATGAATGAGAACAAAAATGTTGCATGTGGGCAAGAACAACGGTTGTTACAGTAGGTAGGAAGCACAAGTAAGCAGTCCTGAACAACAGTATTTACGGGGGTTATTACTAGGGGCGTGCGCTGCTACTAAATAGTACTGAGATGTTGTCTGTGATCACACAGCCCATGCCCATTCATTTCCAAGATGAATTCATTCATTTGTTCATTTCTATCGTGTTTACATTTTTTTGTGTGATATGTTGGCCATATGAGCCTTTCATAAAGGTGGTCATCCGGAGAAGTAAGTGGGTCTGTGCGGTCCCTGAAAACTCTCGCGAGCCGGAGTGCTCCTCCTCGGAGAATGCGAGCACCGAGGTCTACAGGATCCTCCGAGAACGGACAAGCCGTTTTGCGAGAGAGCTCATTGGTCAGTGGGCGGGGTTTTTATACTCGGTGAGTTCAATCTGGAACCTAACCTGCCCCGGAGCAGGTTAGCCATTCAGCGTACGTTGCCATGGAGACTCGCCTCGCTCAGAAGTGAACCCGCATCGTAGAACAGGAAACCCCGAACTTACCCTTAAAGTTACCTTGCTAAGCAGTAATTCTGCCTCGTAGAACAGGCCCCAGGGGTCCTCTGACTTGCCTGCCATAAAGTAACTCAAAAGGAGAAAAACCAGTTGAGGCCTGTGGCACTTCCCGGTAAGCAAGCAACATGAAAGGCAACCATTTATCCCAATCTTTACTCATCTGATTAATGAACTATCTCAGCATCTGTTTCAAAGTACCATTAAATCTCTCCACAAGACCATCAGTTTCAGGATGGTAAGGAGTGGTCCTTATACCTTTGACCCCCAACTGAGCATACATGACTTTCATCAGGTGAGACATGAAGTTGGTGCCCTGGTCAGTCAAAATTTCCTGTGGAATGCCAACTCTAGAGAACAGCCCAACGAGGCACCGAACCGCATGTTTCACCTGAAGAGAACGCAGGGGATATACATCAGGATATCTGGTTGCATAATCACATATTACAAGGGCATATTTGCATCCTGAGCTACTTTTGGATAACAGACCAATAATGTCCATGGCTATCCTTTCATAAGGAACACTCATAATGGGTAATGGCTGCAAATAACCTCTGTCAGACTTACGGGCTGGAGCAACAATTTGACAAGCATGACAAGATTTACAGTAGTCTTGCACCTCTTTACAGTACATTAACCAGGCCGATAGAACCTCTAGCTAATTCTGTCATATGTCTTAGCTTGTCCTAGGTGCCCTGCCCATAGATTAGTGTGTCCTAAATGAAGGATCAGCAACTGGTTCACTTTAGGGATAACTAGCCTAGGTGTTGCAGTGTCAGAAAGATATAGCAAATCATTCATTAAGATGAATGGGTCTTCAGTGACTCCAGACCGTGACTCTGCCTCATCCAGCTTTCATCTTGTCAGCTTCCTTCTTTGTCTTTCCACCTCACAAAGGTGTACCATCCCACCACTGCCACCACATGTTACACTCTCAGATGGTAGGTAGTGTGAAGGAAAGAAAAAAATCTCAAACAAGATGTGAATTCTCAAAAAAATGAAGAGAACATTTTTTAGGACACATCAAAATAAGACAAAAAAATGTCCATTAAATACTTTGCAAAAATATCTCATGTGCCACACATCTCACAGACTGCTGATTTCACTCAGCTCATATGCTCAGTTACTTGCATCTTTAATCACAGCCTCACAGAATTCAGGTGTGTCCTCTCTCACCTGCGGACAATTCAAGGGAGAGAAGCTGCAGCAATAACAAAAGGGAAAACAGAATTCCCCAAAGGAAAAAAAAAAACTACACACACCCCTGTGCATTCAGAGCCAAAAACCTCAAATATACTTTTAGAGTGAAATGAAAACATCATATGCATTTAAACCAATACTGCTTGGATGCTAGAGGAATGTGCACCTTTCTTGAGCTTTAACAATAGTTGGTTAGGACTCTATGGCCTGTAACCCCTGAATCAAACAGAGATGGTTTTTAAACTAAAAATGCAGCTCTAAAGTTTCTTTTATGACCTCATCTTGTTTTTTGTCTTCACATGTGAGCATGTCCTAAAATGTGATTCCTCAGTCATATTGAAATCATCTGTAAGTTTGCTGCAGGACACACAAAGACAGCAACAGAGTCTCATTCTTCTTTTTAAAAGTCACCAAATTCACTCATGCTTCTTTTTTCTTTAGAAAGTGAATCAGCTGATGGACATATACAGTGCCTTGAAAAAGTATTCATACCCCTTGAACTTTTTCACATTTTGTCACTCTACAACCACAAACTTAAAAGTATTTTATTGAGATTTTTTTTTATTATAGATCAACACAAAGTAGCACATAATTTTGAAGTGGAACTAAAATGATACATGTTTTTCAAAAATTTAAACAAATAAAAATCTGAAAAGTGTGGTGTGCATTTATATTTAGCGCCCCGTGTGAATACTTTGTAGAGCCACCTTTCGCCGCAATTACAGCTGCAAGTCTTTTAGGGTACATGACTACAAGCTTTGCACATCTAGAAACTGAAATTTTTGCCCATTCTTCTTTGCAAAACAGTTCAAGCTCAGCCAGATTGGACGGAGAGCGTCTGTGAACAGCAAATTTCAAGTCTTGCCACAAATGCTCAATGTGGATTTAGGTCTGGACTTTGACTTGGCCATTCTAACACATGAATATTCTTTGATCTAAACCATTCCATTGTAGCTCTGGCTGTATGTTTAGGGTCATTGTCTTGCTGGAAGGTGAATCTCTTTCCCAGTCTCAAGTCTTTTTCAGCCTCCAACAGGTTTTCTTCCAGGATTGCCCTGTATTTAGCTCCATCCATCCTCCCATCAACTCTGACCAGCTTCCCTGTCCCTGCTGAAGAAAAGCATCCTCACAGCATGAGGCTGCCACCAACATGTTTCACAGTGGGGATGGTGTGTTCAGGGTGATGAGCATTATTACTTTTCTGCCACACATAGCGCTTTGCATTCAGTCCAAAAAGTTCAACTTCGGTTTCATCTGACCGGATCACCTTCTTCCACATGTTTGCTGTGTCCCCTACATGGCTTGTGGCAAACTGAAAACAGGACTTTTTACGTCTTTCTGTCAACAATGGCTTTCTTCTTGCCGCTCTTCCATCGAGGCCAGATTTGTGAAGTACACGACTTATAGTTGACCTGTGGACAGATTCTCCCACCTGAGCTGTGGATTTCTGCCGCTCCTCCAGAGTGACCATGGGCCTCTTGGCTGCTTCTCTCACCAGTGCTCCCCTTGCTCGGTCTGTTAGTTTAGGTGGACAGCCATGTCTTGGTAGGTTAGCAGTTGTGGCATACTTCTTCCATTTTTGGGTGATGGATTGAACAGTGCTCCTTGAGATGTTCAAAGCTTTTGATATTTTTTTATAACCTAACCTTGCTTTAAAGTTCTCCACAACGTTTTCCCTGACCTGTCTGGTGAGTTAATTGGTCTTCATGATGCTCTTTGTTGACTAGTGTTCTCTAACAAAGCACTGAGGCCTTTACAGAACAGCTGTATTTATGCTGATACTAAATTACACACAGGTGGACTCTATTAGCTAATTAGCTGACTTCTGAAGGCAATTGATTGCACTGCATTTTATTTAGGGGTATCAGAGTACAGGGGGCTGAATACAAATGCACACCACACTTTTCAGATTTTTATTTGTTTAAATTTTTGAAAACCATGCATCATTTTCATTCCACTTCACGATTATGTGCTACTTTGTGTTGTTCTATAAAATAATCTGTCAATAAAATACTTTTAATTTTGTAGTTGTGGAGTGACAAAACGTGAAAAAGTTCAAGGCACTGTACCTGCAGCTGGAGGAGGACGTGAAGAACAAAGTCTTTGAGACTGATTTGCTGTGGGCCGAAGAGGAGGATCTGAGGTAAAGACTGGTCTTCCTGCGGACACTTCAGGTTTATTGCTCTGACTACGACATACTCAAAGTCACTACTGCTGAATGAGACCTGGGGCCTGTTCTACGAAGCAGGTTCAACCTAGCGAGGTAGCCTTGGAGCTACCTCGCTCAACTTAGCGTGGTAGTCAGCGGTCTCGCTAAGCGGTTTTACGACGCTGGTTATCAACCTCATAAGTGGATCCAGCTTTGCTATGAGCGCGTGCATGCATATAAGGCGGAGCCCGCCGCATCTGACCAATCGCGAAGATGGATCCGTCTGGAGCGTCAGAGCAGGCTGGAGAGTGAAGGACCGCGGACTTTACAAACGAGGAACAGGAGACGATCATGAGAAAGTATGAAGAATTGAAAGCTATCATAAACCTCAAAAGCAACACCGTCGCCGCTGCAAAATCACGGAGGGAATGCTGGCAGAAAAGTAATCTTTGATGCCATTATCACCCTGAAATAGCACTGTTCAACATGCGCTTTTAACTAAGGTGACAGTCCCCGAATTGGATGATCTGTCCCCGGCTAAAGCTGTCTCCGAAAATGTCCCTGATTTAAGCGTTTCATGAATGAGAACAAAAATGTTGCATGTGGGCTAGAACAACGGTTATTACAGTGGGTAGGAAGCAGAAGTAAGCAGTCCTGAACAACAGTTTTTACGGGGTTATTATAAGGGGCGTGCGCTGCTACTTAATAGTACCGAGATGTTGTCTGTGATCGCGCAGCCCATGCCCATTCATTCCCAAGATGAATCATTCATGTGTTCATTCCTATCGTGTTTACATGTTTTGTGTAATATGTCGGCCATATGAGCCTTTCATAAAGGTGGTCATCCGGAGAAAACTCTCCCTGAAAACTCTTGCGAGCCGGAGTGCTCCTCCTCGGACAATGCGAGCACCGAGGTCTATAGGATCCTTCAAGAACGGACACGCCGTTTTTCGAGAGAGCTCATTGGTCAGTGGGCGGGGTTTTTATACTCAGTGAGTTCAATCTGGAACTTAACCTGCCCCGGAGCAGGTTAGCCGTTCAGCGTATATTGCTATGGAGACTCGCCTCGCTAAGAAGTGAACCCGCGTCGTAGAACAGGAAATCCCGAACTTATCCTCGAAGTTATCTCGCTAAGCAGTAATCCTGCTTCGTAGAACAGGCCCCTGCTCTCCAGCAGGAAGCCTGGATCAATATATCCCACATGGCATCTAGATTTCAACCAGAGACCTAAATACTATTTAGTCTCTAAATATTATTAAATCCAGAATGAAAGACTTTGAAAGCAGGTCCTCCAGGATGTAGTTGCTTTTAGCTTATCTGATAACACAACATACTGTCATATAGTTTCTCTGTTTCTTGTTGATTTGAGCTGCTGTCATTTATTTTGTGGTGCCCTGAATGTCTGTAACTGCAGCTTCGTGGATTTAGCTGCTGTCTTGGTCTCCATTAAAAATAGATTTTTAATCTTGGTGTGACTGAGAAAACTGTTGAAGAGATACAACACTTATTTACTTTTGTATCACAAACTTGGGTTGTCAAACAGTTGAGACCTCGTCACCTGGAACTGTTCATGTACATTTTCTTGGGGACAGTAGTGGCGGACACCTGTGGAAATGCTTCTGCTGGTTTGTTGACCTTTTAATCATCAGTTGGCTGCAGTCTTTTATTTTACCACTAGATGGTATTAAATCCCACACGTGGCTCCCTCCACTCACCAGAAATATATGTCATGATAATAAAAAGAGAATGTAAACACAGAAAAAATGAGTTATAACTCCTTTACCTGTGCTGCTCTGTATGGACCACAGACTCAAGTATGATCAATAAATCCTGAGCAGAGTGGATTTTTCATTCTTACCTTCACACACACAAGCTCCACGCTAAAAAAAAAAAAAAAAAAAAAAAAGGCTTTTGGTTTCTCTTGTATTTTTCTTTTCACAGGACAAAGAGAAGAAGTGTTCCTCCAGGTGGGAGATGGAGAGGCTGCTGGACATCCTGGAGAGTGCGGCCCCTCAGGGGACAGACTCCAGCCAACCACAGACCCCAAACCAGCGAGGTACTGGTCCCTGCTGGGTCCAGTCTGATAGTTTTACAACCACCGTGTGAACACTGCAGGAAGTTAAGACGAGTTTAGAAAAGCCTGGAATAACACCACCAGAACCAGATCAGAACTCTTCATGACTGAAATCTCTTCAGAAAAAAAAACAAAAAACAGATTGTTGAGTCATTTTTCGTGGAGATACTGTTTATTTTTCCTGTGAAGTCAAAGGAGAGAGAAAATCAAGTTTTCCTGAAGTTAAATTTGGGTTCATTTGAGCTCCTGTGAGGAACTTACCCTGTTCTCTGTAGAGAAAGCTGACCCTGTCTTGTACATGCAGGAGTCCAGAAGATCCTTAAGAAGTCTAAAAGGGTCTTGAACAAGAATTTTGAAAGTCGTGATCATAAAATTTCTTTAAAGTTTTATTTTAACTTGTGGGACGTTGTCAGAGTGAAATTTGAGACAGTGAAGCAGTTAAAGAAACAGAGAGGACCAGAAGAGAATAACACAGAGGAGAACCCAGAACCATCTGCAGCCCTCACGCCTAGACTCCAAGGAGTGGTCAGGATTCCCTTTGAGTTCAATCAGGTGAACCTGATTTTAGGTAAGGAAACACTGCTGCACATATAGACAGAGAGAGAGAGAGAGAGAATACAGAGACTGCAGGTTCATGTCCTTACTTCCGTTTGTTCTTTAAGGTGTCCTATTAAAAACCATTGAGCTCTCAGCACTGAAGATACATTTCCTAAACAGCTGTATGTCCAAACACATGTCGCTAAACAAATAACTTAACTTACCAGAGGCTGTGACTGAGCCAGAACCTCAGAGTCAGATGAGAGATGAACTCCCACATACAGCGACAGACGATGGGTGAGCTGTGAGAGGTCAAAGGTTGAAGCATCCAGACAAAAACACTCCTGTCTCAGAGTTTAACAGAGACATGAAGGTGAACTGAAGAAGTGAGGAGAGTTTGAAAGCAGATTAATGTGAAGAGATAGTAGAGGGATTAAACAGTTACTGTGGATTTACTCAGAGTAACACTGTCACGATCCTGCCTCATCTTCAAAGATGATATTCTTTTTTAGTGTTTTTTCTGCCTTTATATATATATATATATATATATATATATATATATATATATATATATATATATATATTCTTTACACATTAATATTTGGGCTTCATGTTGGCAGTTTACAATTCACATCAACATAAAGAATAATAAATCTTAAATCACGAGCTCTGAAATTAACAGAGAAACAAAGTGTGGAACAGAAGAAAAAACTGTAAAAAAGAGAAAAATTAGAGTTTAAACAAGGATAGCTGTCACAGAGTTAGTAGGTCAGAGTCATTTATTTACATATGAATACAACACAAACACTGTAATCACCTCCATATCTACACTTTAGTCACTTTGTGAGACTGGAAGCTTTCAGGTGATTAACAGAGTGTTTCTGAGACATCAGGAGCTTTTCTGTCCCAGAGTGAAGATCTGAGTATCTTAGAGGCTGAACTGGTTCAGTCCTTCAAAACAAAACAAAAAAGTTATCTGTGATGATTTATGAATTAATTTGAATAAAAATGTGTGACTCTTGTTGTTAACTTACTTTACTGATAGAAGGCTGCCACGTGTAAACACTGACAGGATGTATAAAGTGACCTTTCATGCACCACAGTGCCGACAGAGTAAAACTAAATGTAAAGAACAAAACTTAAAATTTGTTTTTCATCATCTTTAAAAGCTTTTTAAAGTAAGCTTTAAAAGGGGTTTTCGGTTTTAACATATGTACAGGCATAGCTTGGGCTGAGGTTGGGCCCAGAGTTCCTGGTGACGCCCCTGAACAGCACCGAGGCCTCCCTGAGCCATTATCCTTGGACACACAATCAGTCATAATACAACTGAGCCTTATGAAGAAACTCTGTTTAGATGTATCTGTCCCCCTTTATCATCTTATTTCTTTTGGATCAAACTTTACTGTTACTTGTGAGTAAATCTGCACTGCCCTCTGCTGGTAACTAAGACACACTACCACCGAGAACTTTACCTTAAGAAATCAGTCATTTTCATAAAACAGAAAATGAGGGAAACCTTATTTATCACTTGAAATTATTGTAAATAAAATAAAATAAATGAAATAATGTCCTATAATTCATTAATATGCCTAACTATGATATTTTAAATGTGGCCTGAGTCATTTTAACGACAGAAATGCAGCCTTTTTTTCTGGCTCTTTTATTTTAAAGCCATGATTTATAGCCCACAGGCCCATTTAAATATACAGTACACATGTTCTTAATGAAATAAAAGGACCGTAAAGTGTATGGGGGTGTAAACTTGTACTCACCTTTTCATGCAGGTGACCAGAAGTACCCTACCTGCCTTACTTCCTTACCTTCTTATCGCCTTGTTATCGGACTCTGACCGTGTGACGCCCTCCGTTACCTTGCGGAACTATCAAACAGGTACGAACGTGTTTTTACGGACTAGATGTTTTGTAGGTATATAAAATGTTTTTATGGACTAAATGTTTTGTAGGTATTTAACATGTTTTTAAGGACTAAATGTTTTGTATGTATATAATGGAGAAAGACAAGAAAATAGACAACTTGGAACGGCGAATCGAGGACCTTGAACAATACACAAGAATGGATGATGTAATCATAAATGGACTGGAGACTTCACACCGAACCTATGCTAGAGCTATGGCAGGTGGAGGTAAAGACGGTGAGGATGCCCCAGCAGAGGAGCTGCAAACACTCGAACAGCAAGTTATACAATTCCTCGCAACTAAAAATGTCCATATTCAAAGTCATCATATTGCAACCTGTCACACCCTCCCCAAAAAAGACAGCAAAACAAAGCCGGCAATCATTGTTCGGCTTGTGAGCCGTAAAACCAAGGCTGAACTACTGAAACAGGCAAAGAAACTAAAGGGGACTGGTGTGTATCTGAATGAACATTTAACAAAAAAGAACGCTGACATCGCCAGACAGGCACGCAACCTAAGAAAACAAAATAAGATACAAGCTACGTGGACAAGAAATTGCAAAGTAATGATTCGACTGAATGGCACACCCGAGGAAGCAAAAGCTGTAATGATAAGAGATCTCAAAGACTTAGAACAATATAAATAAAAGAGAAATGATCGCAACTGTCAATGAGAACATTCCTCCTTCCTATGGAAATGTGTGAAGACTGGACATTATGGACAGATAATATATTGGAATGTTTAACCATTGAAATCCATATTAAAAAAGCTGATAATATAATTATAAGTTGTGTTTATAGAACACCAGGATCATGCCTAGACACATTCAATGAAAAACTAGCGGCCGTGTTTAGCAATTCAAATGATAAAAAAGTGCGAATAATTTGTGGTGATTTTAATATAGATTTGCTAAACCCAAATGGACACCAAAAAACAACAGACTTTATCCATACAATGTACAGCAACTGCCTTTTCCCTGTAATTATAAAACCAAGCAGAATAACAATTAACACGGCTACACTGATAGATAATATATTCACAAATAAAATTGATTATGATATAATGGGTGGACTTCTTATAAATGATATAAGTGATCATCTTCCTGTCTTTGCAATTTTTCAAAATTATTTTGAGATAAAAGCTAAACAAAAGACTTGTATACTTGAAATGAAAAGATATCGAACACAAAGAGCCATCGCTGCCCTTAAGGTGGACCTAGGGGAACAAAACTGGAATGAGGTTTATGTTAATGATGACCCTAATAATGCATATGATGCATTTTTGTCAACTTTAATTCTGTTATATGACAAACATTGCCCTTTAATGAAAGTCACCAGGAAGCACCAGTGTTCAAATAAGCCATGGATTACAAAAGGAATAGGGAATGCATGTAAAAAGAAAAATATTTTATATAAGAGATTTATAAAACAGAGGACAAAAGATGCTGAAACAAAGTATAAAATATATAAAAATAAATTAGTAAATATTATGAGAACAAGTAAGAAAGAATATTATCATACATTATTGGACCAAAACAGGAGCAACACACAAGAAATATGGAGAGTATTAAATAGTATAGTCAAAAAGGGTGCTAATAAAACTGGTTATCCAGAATACTTTATAAAAGATAAAGATATTATTATTGATAAAATTAAAGAAATAGCTAACGAATTTAATGATTTTTTTGTACATGTTGGTTATAACTCGGCAAAAGACATCCCTAAGACGAGAACTAACAATGAAATAGATCAATATATAACTAAAAACTCCTCCTCCATGTTTATCAGTGCTGTAAATGATAGAGAAATAATTGATATTGTCAAAACACTTAAGAATAAAAAGTCCACTGATTGTTTTGATATAGACATGACATTAGTAAAAAGTATTATAGAATATATTGTGCAACCATTTACATACATTTGTAACCTTTCTTTTCAAACAGGTATTTTTCCTTCGAAAATGAAAACAGCAAAAGTTATTCCTATATATAAAAGTGGAGATAGGCACCAATTTACCAATTATAGACCAATATCACTACTTCCGCAGTTCTCAAAGATTTTAGAAAAATTATTTGATCATAGACTTGAAACATTTATTGAGAAACATAATCTTTTAAGTGACAATCAATATGGCTTCAGGGCAAAAAGGTCCACCTCGATGGCAGTGATGGAACTTGTGGAAGGGATATCTACTGCAATAGACAACAAGGAATATACAGTTGGTGTTTTTATAGACTTAAAAAAGGCATTTGACACTATTGATCATAGTATATTAATGAATAAACTAGAGAGATGTGGTATTAGAGGATTAGCATACATGTGGATGGAAAGTTACCTGGATGACAGATATCAGTATGTGCAATTAAATAATGTAAAATCAAATCAATTGAGGGTCACTTGTGGGGTCCCTCAAGGGTCTGTGTTAGGCCCGAAATTATTCATATTATATATCAATGATATCTGCTATGTTTCCAAACTGTTAAAATGTGTTTTGTTTGCTGATGACACCACTCTCTATTGCTCTGGTAAAAACCTAGAACAGCTTCTGACTACAGTTGAAAAGGAATTAAATATTCTGAAATATTGGTTTGACATTAATAAGTTATCTCTGAATTTAAATAAAACAAAGTTTATCATTTTTGGCACCAGAAAAATAAAAACTCAAGTTAAAATCAGGGTCAATTGCATCGAAATAGAAAGAGTGAATGAAAACAAATTTCTTGGTGTGATAATTGATGATAAGCTTTGTTGGAAGCCACATATAAATAATGTGAAAACCAAAATGTCAAAAACCATTGCTATACTTTATAAAACAAAGGATATCCTCAACAAGAAATCACTATACACGCTATATTGTTCTCTGTTACTTCCATATATGACCTATTGTGTGGAGATATGGGGTAGCACATATAAAACCAATACTGATCCTATCTTTAGGTTACAAAAAAGAGCTATAAGAATTATAAATCGATCCCACTTTCTTGAATCAACTAATGCACTGTTTCTTAATTCAAATACCCTTAAATTTTATGATTTAGTTGAATTTAAAATGGCTCAGATAATGTACAAAGCACATAATAATTTACTTTGCCGTAGTACTCTGAGGCTGTTTGAAACCAGAGAGAGTCAATATGATTTGAGGGGAACAGGTTTCTTCAAAAAAACTAAGACAAGAACGAATATTAAGCAGAGGTGTGTTTCTGTTAGAGGTGTTAACCTGTGGAATAGCTGTGATGATGAATTAAGAATGTGTAGTTCACTTTCCTTATTTAAGAACATGTATAAAACTAAAGCAATAAGAAAATATTTAAATCCGGTATGAAGAAGAGCAATAACAAAATATTGAAATTTTTGGTTGTGTCTGTATACTTGTTATGGAATATTGTTGGTTTATTTATTTTCTAACATGTTTTTGAGAATTTATCTTTTCTTTCTCTCTTTTTCCCTTTTCTTTAGAAGACTTGTGGTGTAACTCAGACCATGTTGTTAAAGAGTCGCCTTGCTAAAGTTTTTGTTTTTTTGTAAAAAGGGTAGGCAAAATAAGCATGAGCTTCAGCCTACACCTTTTCGATTAGCTTTATGATGCTTTTGAAATTTACTATGTATCTGTTGTGGGTGGATTTTAAATGCTAATCGAATAAAATAATTGAATTGAATTAATTGAAAAAAAATTGAAACATGTTTTTACAGACTAAATGTTTTCAAGGGCCAAATGTTTTGTAGATATATAAAATGTTTTCAAGGACTAAATGTTTAGTAGACAGGCCAATATAACGTGTTTTTCTGGTCTCTTTAAATGTCTGAAAATCTTTATTTTGTGTCTAGAGAGAAAAGCTGAGCGCCGTCTGCCTCCTCTGTCTGTCATAGACTTTCTTCACAGCAGGTAAGAAAGTCTGGGTAATAGTCCTCTACTCTCATGTGTGTTATATCACAGTTTAAAGTTTTAAAATAACAATTTGCATCAGTGTAGCTCGATGTTTTATTGAAACTATCGACTCTTTTGTTGTAAATGAAACTGAAACTGTTGAGCTGGTTCACAAAGCAATGAAGGACACTGGAGGGTTTGTTAATATTTAAACCACAAATGTCATAAAATCCGGTTCAAATGTTATGTTTGCGATCTTAGATAGACGCCCAAACCTTCACAGTATATAACCATCTTTATCTTGGACTGAGTGGAAAGCAAAGTTTAAAAAAAAACAAATAATCCATCACTTGTCATGGCACTTCTACCATGAATCAAACCTTATAGTAGAAACTCTGAGACTTTGAAATACAGGCCTGCCTTATTTAGAAAGGCTTGATAATCTTAGGGATTAAAATAAAAAAGAGAGACACAGCCTATGTTTCAGGATATACAGTAGTCAGTGTTGTAGGTCTTAAATCCAGGATTCGGATCTGGTCTAACACTGAAAACTTGGGACTTGGACTATAACTTAAGGATCCAGTTTGACTTGTAGGGTTACTGGCCCTTCTCATACCATCATGCTGTTGGTTCTCAGAGTCGTGTTTATAAGGAATTCCCAGAAGGATCATCTAAAAGGACTCTGAGGTCTCCATCAGCTAGAACTGAACACTGCATCTTCCCTAAACAAGTATTTTACAGCATCACTGTTCTCCCTGATGTTTCATCTGTCTTTAATTTTCAGACTTCAGGATGTTTCCTCTGATGGACAGACGCTCCCTCGGCCTTCACTTTGGTGCCTTCACTGACCTGCTTTTCCTTACTGTCATGCTCCTCACCCTGATAAACTCCTGTGCAGGTGAACTAACAACATTCAAGTTTAACTATTTTGTAGACTACTTAGAGTACTTCCTGCTGCTTTTTTAAAAACTGTTTATAGTGGCTATCTAATGTCTTATTTTTCCTAGTTGTTGCATTTCCACACTAAATTTATTATTACCACTCTTGAGTCACAACAAGGATATTTTACATGTTCAGTCAGCTTGATGGTCTACAAGCATATGTAAGACAACCGTGACACTGCTGCACTAATTTATTGAGAACAACAACACAAACCTTCAACACAGTACACTTAACTTAAGCCTTTGTCACATGACAACTGGAGCTACTAAGAACAGATATAAACAGGTATCAACTGCGGGAAACAAATTAGTAAACACTCAACAACATCTCCGAACCCAAACAAAACGTACTTCTTTCTGCACTTCAGCAAATTTTATACTCAAATAATATAAAACAATGTTTTCATTGCTGAATGGCGCTAACACTGTTCTCTGCCCTCTGTTTCAGGTCAGAGGCTGATTGGTTCGTCTCAGCCTATAGTCGCATTAGTCGGTGAAGACGTGGTTTTGCCGTGTTACCTGGACCCTGCTGTTGATGCTTATGACATGACTCTGGAGTGGGCAAGACCGGACCTGAACCCCAGATATGTCCTCGTACGGCGCTACGGTGAAGAAGCAGGATTTAAAAAAAATCCCTCCTACAGAGGAAGATCATCAATGTTCAGTGAAGAAATGAAACACGGAAACATTTCACTGAAAATCTCCAAAGTCAAACTCTCAGATGAAGGAGGATACAGATGTTTTAGTCCTGAGTTATCCCAACATACTACAGTCCAGCTGGTTGTGGGTAAGTCTGAACATTTTCAGGTTTTTAAACTGACCCTACATGTCTCATTGGTCTTTGCTATGAATAAGTAATGATATAGTTGAAGTGATATTTAATCACAGATGAAGTGGAGCTGTCTGTTTAATCATGCTTTATCTAAAATACTCCTGAGCTCAATGGTTTATGTTTTGTTTCAGAATTTAAACAAGGATCTTAAGTCCAAGATTTTCCTGTTACAAAAAAAACCCAAAACATTTTAGTAAGATGAATTTAACGTCAGTCAAGTCAGAAGATGGTGTTGAAACTGGTTATCAAACTTTGTCATTTCAAAGTAGTTTTGGGGGCTTTGTTGTGGCAGGTTTCTACTTAAAGAGTAGACAAGTACCAGAACAGGTACAAAGAGAAAACTGTGAAGCCAAAGACACCTCTCTCTCCTGTAGGAGCTGTCTCCTCACCTGTTTTAAGAGTGACCAGACACAACAGTGGAGTGTTGTTGGAGTGTGAGTCTAAAGGCTGGTATCCAGAACCAGAGATGTTTCTGTTGGACGCTGAGGGAAATCTTCTCTCTTCATCACCCACTGAGACCATCAGAGGTCCTGATGATCTCTACACTGTCAGCAGAAAAGTGACTGTGGAGGAGAAACACGGGAAGAACTTCAGCTGTAGAGTCACACAGAAGAAGATCCACCAGAGCAGAGAGACACACACTGTTATTCCAGGTAAATCTGAGTCAGGAGTTCATGATGTGATCTCTGAGCTGAACTGTAAATGTTCACAAAGTTCTCTGTTTATCATCACAGATCATTTCTTCATGGTACCAACTACTCCCAGTACTCCCATTCTCCCCAGTTCTTCTGGTTCTCCTGCTTCTTCTAGTTCTCAGCCTGTTATCATCGGCTCAGTGATCGTCTGTGCTGCTCTGGTTTTGATTCCTCTGGTCTTCTTCATTTTGTGGAGAAGGAGAAAAAATAAACTCAGTGAGTCAAAGAGTTTCTTTTTTTCTAATCTGGAGATATTTTCAGGTTGTCCTTCTTTCCTCTTATGAACAAGATATCACGGGAATGTGTGCTCCAAATCTGGTCCAAACTTCTCCAGATTTGCACAGATGTCCTTCTGGGTTCAGAGACTGACTGAGTCAATGTCTGTGGTCCTGGTCCAGGTTCAGTGTGACCCCCTCATCATTCAGTTCTCCTGAGCCTCATGTGTTGGCAGCTCTCAGCAAAGATTTTATATCATGTAGTTTATTTTTCATTCTTGAAAAAGTCTCTGCTCTTGGTGAAAAGTGGACAAAGCTTCTTTTCCCAAATGTGACCAGTTTCTCGTTCTTCTCTGTCCCCACAGAAAACAAGAGGGACCATGAGAGCGGGACTGAGCAGACTGAAGAGGGAAAAACAAAAACATCTAAAGGAGATTTAACAGAGTTTAATGTGGAGAAGGAAGGAGAAGAAAGAGAAGCACTTATGAAAGGAGGAGAAGAAGAGAATAAAGTGGATGATGAAAGAGAAGAAGACAACAGATCTCAGAGTGAACCTGAAGATCAGCTCATGACAAAACCAGAGTCAGTAAATGAAATGGACAGAACATCAGGAGGAAGAGAGATAAAGAAGAGTGATGAGAGAAAAGAAGAAATAAAACAGGTACAGGAAATGGAACAAGAGCAGACAGTGAGACCAGTTCAGGAAAATTCAGGACTTCAGATGGATCTGTTCACTGCAGACAGACAAAGAAAACAGCCTCAAAATCTCCACAATCAAGAGATAGAGCGAGAGACAGAGAGAGATGAGGACAATGAAGGAGAGAAGTCTGAGAAAAAGAGGAGAAAGAAAGAGAAAAAACAAGAGCAGAAGAAAAAGGGAGGCTCTGCATCGAGAGAGAAGAAGAAGTTAAAGGACAAACAAAGAGAAGAAATGAAACCAAAGGAAGAGAGTCTGACAGAGATGGAGGAAAGTAAAAAAACAGATGAGACAGAGCTTAGTCAACAGAAAGAGAAATGTGTTTTCAGAGATGACAAACATAAAAGAGATGAGACAGAATTCAAAGAGAAAACAGAGAAAGATCAAGAGAGAAAACAGTCGGATGTTTCTAGAATAAAGGGAGAGAAAGAGGAGAAACTAACAGAGCAAAGTGATGAGAAACTGAAGAGAGACAACAAAAATGAAGGACAAAAATAAGCATCCATCAACTGATGAAGTTTTAGAGAAGTCTGATCCAAAATTACATCCAGATACAGCAGAAAGAAAAAAAGGAGAGCTTCAAGGAGAAGCAGGCAGTAATGAAACTTGTCATGGACTTGTAATGGTTCTGGTAGCAGATGGACAAATAAAGAGGCAAGAACTTCAAACAAATCAGGAAATCAAGAATCAAGAGCTTAAAGGTGAGAAGGAGGTCCAGACAGAGAAACAAGAAGAAAAATCTGATAAATATCAGGAAGAAACCAAAAATGATCTGGAAGAATCCACCATCAAGATAAAAGCTGTGATTAAACATAGACAAGAAGATGAGTTTAGAGGAGATTTACAAACTGACAGTAATGAAACTTTGATGGAGACCAAAGAGAAGCTGAACCAAACCAAAGAAGACCGAGGAAAACAGGCAGAGCAACAGCTGGAGGTAAAGGAGAAAGACAGAGAGAAGACAGAGGAATCCACTGAGGAGGTGAAGGTAATGGATGAAGAAATGATGAAGACTGAAGAAGATAACATTAATGTCACTCAAAAGAAGGATGGGGGGGTTCAAAACCAAAATGAAAGGAGGAGAAGAAGAGAAGAAGCAGTTAGAAGAGCAGCTGAACAAAGAGGAACGAGACAGCAGAAGAGAGCAGACAGAGAAATTACTGAGGAGGTAAAAGAAGAAGGTGGAGGAGGACGGACAGAAGAGTCAGAAGAAGACATGGAGATTTATGAAAATCAAAGTGAGACAAAAAAGACAGAGAGCCTTTTTAAAGGAGCAGAAGGGGAGCAGCAGATCATGTTACAACCTGAAATCGATATGGAAATCAGTGAGGAGGGAAAAGAAGGAGGTGAAGAAGGACAGACAAAAGAGTCTCAGACTGAAGAACCCATGGATATTGAATAAACTAGACTGAGGGCCAACATGATACAAACAGAAAACAAAGTTGGAGAGGAAGAAGAAGAAGCGATGATGGATCAACGACAGGGTCCAGAGATGCTGAAGAGAAAGGACTGGAAGACTCATAGACCTGAAGCTTATGATAGAAAGAGCAGTAAAGAAAAACAAAAGAGACAGAGTTTCAAGATGACCATCAAAAGAGAGCAAGAAGAGAGTTAATGAAACAGTTAATGAAAGAACATGATGTTGATTAGGGAGAGTTACTGGAGAGATCTCGAGAAGAGGAACTGATGGAGATCAACTGAAACTGACATCAGGACTGTCAACAGAGAAGAGGAGACATGCTCTTGACATTGTTGTTTTCATGTGAGAGTAATGTATGAAATGTTGAAGAGAGAAACGTGAAGCCATGAAGAATTGATTATCACCGTGTTATTCAAACAAACACTGATCTGATCCTTACTCATGATTCATCCTCCAAATTATTCCATTCTGAGCAGAGGTTTATCAAAATGTCTGTGCATCAAAATTAACTGACACACACCACACTGCTGGTACCCTGTCAGATACTTGTGACACACACACACAAACACACACACACACACACACACACACACACACACACACACACACACACACACACACACACACACACACACACACACTGTTCTCCTTAAACTGCAGAACATCATTTCATCAAAGCATTTTTTTTCTCCTTAACAAAGTTAGTTTCCTTCCACTCTGCTGTGAACTTGTTTGGTCAATGTTCAGCTATTAAAGTTATAAAGTTGCCTGATCAATGCTTAAGGCTTAATCAATAGATTTAATGAACTCTGGAGCAGTACCATGAAGTTATTTATCTGTCAGTCCAAGTACTAAGGGAGCAGCAGAAAAAATAAATCAGGTAACTTTTCATCACCAAGATCACTTTCTTTAGTGATGTATCGTAAAAAAAACAATAGTTATAATCCTGAGCACTGACTGCTGTATATCAATGTGTGTTAGCAGAGACTCAGATATCAGAGTCTGAGCGGTTAAACATTAACACCAGATGAAACTGGAGCGCAGACTTGTTGGACTCAGACAGATTTATCTAAGGAGAGAAATCCAGTTTACAACTTTCAAAAAGAGTTTTGAGGATCTGGATCACAAAGAAATCTAAAGCTACTGTACTTTTGAAATGACTTGATTTTGGTGCTGCCTGTGGGGAAACATGTGCATCATATCACTTAGCTGATCTTGTGTTGTACAGGCTAGAGTTTAACTCTGATAAAAGTCTCCCATCCTGCAGCCTCCAACAGTCAGTTGTGTCTCTTTTTGTAAGTCTTTGCTGTTGATATTGTAAATAAAGGCTGTTTCTTCAGCATGCTGCATGATGTTGTCTGTTCTTGAGCTCAACCTCAGCAGTCACCTTGTTAGAAATGCTGAATCAATTTTGTTAACCTTGCAGGAGGCAAAGATGTGAAATTGAGCGAGACCTTATCCTTGCCAACCACAAGTGTGCTAATGTCTCAGTCAAGTTAGCTACACCTCTAATCAAACCAAACACTTAGTTTTTATGGCCTCAAAACTAATGAGTTATAAAATATGATGAGACTGATTTGCATCAGGCTGTAAACATGCTCGTTCCTACTGGTATCATTGGAGTCTGTTTGGCTTTTGGAGTCTGCCTAAGTGTTCCCTGAGGAGCTGACTCTTGCTTTTCTTAAAGTTGGAAAGAGACTTTGCAGATCTGTTAGAGTTGGGTTATTCATTCCAGCACTAGGGGATGGTGGAGGAGAGCAGTCTGACTTAATATGACAGAGTCTAAGGTTATCCAGTCATGAAGAGATTTCCCATAGACTGTATTTACTATGGACAACTTGGTTCCGCCTAACGCCTGTATACGGAATTGAAGCCAAAAATCTCTCTGTGTAGTTCCAGGATTTTTCTTCATTTCCTGAAACCAGCGCTGCACAGTAGCGATGCGCGCATTCAGCCATGCAGTCGCCATGAGTCACTGTGTGTCAATCATAGAAAACTTGAACCCCCTAATAACTTTTAGAAATGAAGCTTCACAGAAAAAAAGAGGACTTGAGCACAAACCAGTCTTACAATAACTACATGTCAACATCACAAGCAGGGGGGAGAAAAATTTATGTTCTGTGTAATAAATTTTAAAGTTTGTCCACAGCTCCATAAGCTTTGCTGGCGGAGGCGGGATTTATGACCTATACTGCAGCCCATCAACAGAGGGTGCTGTTCTCGGAGTGGCTTCACCCAGCGAGGAGGCAGACTCTGTCCATTCTATATACAGTCTATGAAATTTTCGAGTCTTCTTCATCATCCTGACACTTGTTTCTTCTCTCTCATCGAGAATTTGCACAACTCTGCCCTCTGAGGGTGACCAGACCATCATGACAACAAAACATTTATCAGCACAAATTTGAATTTGTGGGGGCAGTCAGAAATGTTAGTGGTAGTCCTTGAGCCAGACCAGATGTCGGTACCACTTGGGTGGGCAAAACCTTACATATACTAAATTGTTTTTAGGGTCAATATAAGTAAATTAAAATATGATAGACTTTTCATATGGGTAGCTTTTTATATTTTTTCTCATTTTGTTATTTTCCTCAATAGGCGAATTTTTGTTAACTCCAAAAGCAACACAGAAAGTCAAAAGCACATTAAAAGTCACACTCTATTTGGGTCACACTGCTCTTTTCTATAAATGAATCAAACCTGTGTCTAATTAAATGAGTTGATGAAGTGGGAGTGGCCCAATTTGATGGTGGAGCAGTTCTTTCAGGTATCATAGCACTTGAGCCAAGAACCAAAATTTCACATATCAGTACCACCTGGGTGGGCAAATTCTAGTTGTGATTTTTTTTTATTGCTATACATCCCTACAATAAGTTTTTATATGATAGACCTTGGTAACTGGTAGCTTTATTGTAGTTATCACTCATTAAAGTAATAGAGTGCAGCTGTTCAAAAATGAAAAATCGCCTTCCTTCAAAATTAGCTTTCTTTCATTTTAACCTCTCATTTAGGTGTGTTTGAACTATTGGCTAGTCATAGAGACTTGTATTAACCCCCTAAGTAGTATTTCAAGTAATTTATCTAATACAGGTGTGTATATATAAGCTTCAATTAGCCAATTGTCAGGTCTAAATCAAGGTCTAAATTAAGGATATTTTTTTACTTAGAAGTAGAAGTAAAAAAAATGCAGACTAATTATAATTATGATAACACAACTTTAATATGACACTGACATATTTTCAATGCAGGCACTCAATATACAATCATCCTGGCTGGAGCAGGGCAAGAAGACATTAGCAACAAAATAAGATCTACTGATGTATACACTCTATACAATCATCTGAGAAAAACTCCAATTCCTATTCAAAGTCCTATTCTTTCCATAAGGAACAGTGACAGCAAATATGACTGTCAAGTTTTGGCTTAGTACATAATACTGTCACTGAGTCACAGTGGGTCTGTTAACATGGCTCCTTTTGGTCATCGTTTATTAATCAACATCAGTAATCGACATCAGTATCTGTATCTTCTTCTACATCTGAATCTGCCGGTGTGCAAGGGGCTCTTCCTCACTGTATTGGTTGGCACAAGTTTGTAATTTGCACAGGTTTGTGCACTTCAGCCCATTGCTGAGACAGGTGCAGTCTGGTGGTTTGTATGTCCTCACACACTTGCAGGATAGCAACTGCAAGACCGAAGAAGTAAAGTAAATGCAGACTAATAGCATTATAATAACACAACTTTAATATGACACTGACATATTTTCAATGCAGGAACTCGATATACAATCATCCTGGCTGGTGCAGGGCAAGAAGACATTAGCAACAAAATAAGATCTACTGATGTATACACTCTATACAATCATCTGAGAAAAACTCCATTCCTCCACCAAGAACTTGATGAGACTGGCTTTGTTGGCAGGGCTGCAGAGAAGTTTCCTCCACTGCTGAATATTGTGGACAGAAACAATGTTTCTGAACTGGATCCCCATGTCTGCACCTCTGTTTAGTCTTTCAGAATTTTTGATTGACATGTCCTTGTAAACGTCAAAGACAACGTCAATCCTTTCACTATCACCACC